TTGTTAGTCATTTTATTTGTCGGTCAAAGTTCGTAAAAGGTCATTCTGACGTGACATGAACTGGGATGTTCTCCTATTTATTTTGTGGTGGTAACAAGCACAAAGATCTTATTTTATTATGGTTAGACGATTTATATTCCTTGGTTAACGTTCCGGGGACATTGAAACCCAAACGTAAGAATATGAATAAACTAACTTGTTTTAGTTAGTTTTACTTTATTGCAGGCGACTTACTATTTTCAAGTGTCCACGAAACAAAATGTCGCTCGATCTCTCAAAACACAATGTCTGAACGTGTGCACTACCTATGCACCAATACAGTCCCGCAAGATTTGCTTTTCCAGGTCCTGGTGACATCAACCACTGAGAATAATCGCGAATACTCGCCCTTGTTCCCTAATGTCCTGACTTGTAAAATATCCGACTTCAGGGAACGTTTGGCCCACACAGGCCGTCAAACATTGTCGTCACCTACAGAGAATGAATTTAATAATGGCTGCATGGCATGAATTTGGTGTGTTTTAACGCCCGTTTGAACGTTAGTTGGGGCATACTGACGTGTCAGCTAAGTGTATGGATTTGCTTCTCCGCTATCCTAGAACATGATTTACTTTTATATCACAAACTAAAATGCAACATGAGAATAAAATGTCATTGTTTGAAACCTGCCCAATATAAATGTCACCATGCCATCATAAACAATAGCTTTGATGTCTTATTCTATGTATACATACCGGCCTACAGTTGTGTTTGTTCCAGTGATAAGCGCGGCGTGTCTTACAAAGTGGGTTTGCGGGCAAGAGATAGCGTAGCTCTGATGCTAAGCACTGTGAAAATTCAGCCGCCCTCCAGCTGATGTATGGTCAAAAACCACATGGTCACGACCGCTTACTTTGAATCTACACCACAGATACAAATTAAAGTCCATGTTGTTACATTATCTTAAATGATATATTGAGTTAAAGAAGGAAAGAGTGAGTGAGTGAGTTTGGTTTTACACCACTTTTAGCAATATTCCAGCAATATCACGGCGGGGGACACCAGAAATGGGCTTGACTAATTGTACCCATGTCGGGAATCGAACCCGGGTCTTCGGCGTGACGAGCCAACGCTTTAACCACTAGGCTACCCGACCGCCCCTAAAGAAGGAAGAGAATATATGGATGTCATATACTCATACTCAAGTTGACATCCATATATTCTCTTCCTTATCGGTATCATTACTAAATGCCTTTCAAAGCCCCGAGTTAAAGAAGTTCGGACAGTCGGTACAGGTAACTGTCCACTGTGCTACATGAACTTAAATGACACATCGATTAAAAGGAGTTCGATGCAAGAGGAGTGTTGATACAGATTATGTTCACTGTGTAAAATGATCTCAAATGAGATATCAAATAAAAAGTTCGAGACAAGTGGAGCGTCGATACAGATCACGGCTGACGCTGCATATGTGACATTATCTTAATTCCTATATCGAGTAAACGATGTTCGAAACAAGCGGAGAAACGGTACAGATTACGATCTATGATATTATTTAATCTTAAATGATAAATTGAGTGAGGGATGTCGAGTCAAGCAGAATGTCGATACAAATTCCTGTCCACCATTTAATATTATCTTAAATGATCGATCTTATTAGGGGATGATGCTCATTCCTTTGCCACTTTTAAGAGGTAGGCAGCGGAGTTGGGAAGGAAAGCGAGAGACTTGAAGATGTTCGAGGTTCAGAAAGACCTACAACTGCCACCACTAAGGAAAATGTTGATAAAACATATGATACGATTCTGGATGATCGACGTTTCCCCACAAGTTACATGGTCAATACAGTTGTCATCTCTCATGAGAGAGTTGAGGACGTCCTGAAGAAAGAACTGGGCACAGCTTCCAAAGGTTCAAGGCGTCTGAATCCTGATCAGAAAAGCACAATGTTCATCATATTACTTGGTAAATTACGTCGTTTGAAGCGGACGCAGCTGATTATGTTGAACAATCTGTAACCATGGATGAGTTTTGGGTGTTGACCACTTTCAGTCAGGGACAACGCAACAGTCGAAGCAGTGGTAAAATCTAACGTCTCCTTTTCCGAAGAAGGCAAAGTCTATTCCATCAGCTGGCAAGGTTTCTTGTACTCAAATGATATCCTACTTTGGACTGCCTCCTCTCCAAAGGTCAGTTCGTTAATGGCCAATATCACACTTATCTGCCCAGACACTTGCATTAGAATATCAATGCTAAAGGTCGTGGAATACCCACTGAAGATGTGTTGTTCCACCTGGACAATGCATTGGCGTTGTGTAATGCATGAATGTGGCTTTGAACTCATTATACATCCTCCGTATTCACCAGATTTGGTCATACTTCCACCTCTTCCCAAACTTGAAGAAGAACTTACGGCAAGCATTATGCAAATAATGATGACGACATCATTTCTGCTGTGGAGGACTGATCACACCACCAGGAGGAAACCTCCTACACCAGTGGAATCCAGGCACTCCAGCATCGTCGACAGAAGTATGTAGACCTCGTAGGGGATTATGTTAGAAAATCATGAGCAACCAACTTCATCAAGTCAGTCAATCATAGTTAGTCTCAGAACTTTTCAGCCAGCCCTAGTATATCACATGCTATTTAATTTTTTTAATTTTTTTATGCAATTCAATGTAATCACTTGCTGAACTTTCACCACGACAGTAATGCTAATACCGACTATCAGGGTAAATACCTGATTCTGAACTGGCTGTCGATATATGCCATTAGATTATATCTTATATTTACCGACTGTGACGGTTTTATTGATCAGACAACATGGAAACGTGATTCAGAATATTTGATTAGCGTACGTTGGTGATAACAATTCTAAAAGCTACAGCTTAAAACGTTTGGCAAAAAAAGATGACCTACCTTAAGGGGAAAGATGTCTAGTATTTATTGCCGTGCAGGAACTGTGAATAAATCTTCAACTGTTCATTGATTAATACTGGTCAGGACGCCGGACCTCGCACTATAGTCTTACTGAGCATCATACAGATAATACCCTTTCAAATACAAATCATCAAGAAGGTTAATATTATTTCGTTGTTCAGATTTACCCTGGCTTTAATCCGCGATTAACAACCAAAACGGATGCCTATGTCGACAAAGGAGATAAACCTATGTTATACTGGATGGGTAAAAATATGAGTCAATATTGTAAGACAGTAACCATTGTTGAAATTAACATTCACAGATATAGATCACATTGGTTAAACACCCTTCTATTCTATTCAGCTTATGACTGTCATCCAAGGATGTCTCTCTATGTACACGCATATTACAAAAGTTATTCTGTAGCAGGAAATTCCCAGAAAAGACCGAGGAATATATGCCCATCGCTTCCAATAACATATGTCATTTGTTTCTGTGATCTTCATCAGCAGATCGGCAAGCGCGTACAACATGCACTGCAGTGCTTATTAAAGAGTTGACTTCACCTGTATGAACGTCGGAGCTTGCGACATACAATGTTTGGCCTTCACGTTATGAAGGACTCCAATGAACTCACACATACTGAAAATCAATTATTATAATTTTTATATCACGATTTTCCCCCCTCGAATAACAACGGCCTAGATCTACACACTTATGTTTAGCACGTGTGACTTCATGTTTACACTGACAGTCAAACAACAACCATCTGTGTCGCGGAATAAAATAGCTCCTCAAAAGGAGAGGTGACTTGAGTGCATGTATGATTAACTTACTCTACAGGAACATCTGTGGTAGTTTGTGTACAACAAATGTATTGAAATAATATGATCATAGGATGAGAAAGGCATGTTAAGAACGAGTAAGTCAATCAGATTGACAGCGCGTCGTGAGGTAAATGAAGTGCAAGACATTAAAATGGCCGACACTATAAAAGACGTAAATGAACCTGTGGCGGTTACATGTGTTGGTCATCATTGATCAATTGGCCGATCATTGAAAGGTGATCATAAAGATGTGTCAGATAGTTACTAAGGTAAATTCATAGATTGCAATAGACTGTCACTGTCATTCTAGACATGGATCGAGTCGATACAACGATAGTTTGGATGTGAATTTCTTCGTGTTGTTCACTAGGATGTGTCGTAGCGAGGACATTCGTGAACGATCATGCAGTCAAACTCTCTGACGTTTCTAATGTAATGTGAAAACGCTGAGTCAAAGATTAAAGGGTCATATTTTTAGAAACAACGCTTCTGTAAGCATTCGTGTTGGGGAATTCCCTGATCTTCCCCAGGAATATGGAAGTAGTCCGTCAGCGTTTGTCATTTCAAGAATACGGTCTCGTGAAAAACGTTTGAACGTCTAATTGTGTCGTTCATAAACCAATGAACATCAATTTCGCGATCTCGTTACCAACCTCTCGTCTAATGGAAAAGCCGCATATCGTGTAAACTTCCCATTAGAAAATTAATGAATTATGTCACTTCGTGCAGTGTGTGTATGCCTGTCTGTTACGGCTGTATTATGGCGGCATCTGAATAATCGAGTGATTGATCTCATGATCCACGCCGATCCATCAACATGACACATGACCCCAGTAGAAATGTCAGGACTAATGTGTCAAGTTGTACTATGAGGCATTATGTGTACAATTTGGTGCAAGTGTAATTACTGTTGACCGATCATGGCCGACTATACCTGGCTTCATTTAACGCCGCCTACAGCCCAGAAGAGAAGAAAGAATCACTTACTGATGTAGGCAAGCCATACTAAACTATGTATTGCAAGACTTTTTTAAAGTTTGTTTAGACGAACGTGAAAAGCAGAAATCAAATGAGTATGGTACAAAAATAATTGAGGCCTTTCAGGTCGTCAATTTTAACAAGTATATATGATGACACATTACGCGACTAAAAGCCCAACACATTAAATATTTGTACAGCAATCTTGCTTCGCATCAGCTTTTATTGATCCTGTTCATTGATCATCGGTGGTTCCATCTGAGTGTATTTCGTGTCGGCGAAATCGACGAGATGAAGCGCAAAATATTATTGTTGTGTGTGATACTTGTGGAGACATATGGCTATCCTTACGAGAAGGAGCTTCATCAGCATGTGTTTGCAAACTATAGCAGCGACGTGTTTCCATGTGATGCCGTTGGTCAACCGGTCAATGTCTCGATACAAGCTGAGATGAACTACATCATTGGGATAGATGAAATACACGAGATCCTCACCTCTGATCTTCAGTTAACGCTGACATGGACTGATGACAGTTTGAAGTGGGAGGAGAATAGGTTTGGTGGTATCAAAGACATTATTGTTCCCGTGAAGAGGATGTGGCTCCCCGATGTTGCCATACAGAATGCTTTGAGTGAGAGACGTCGCCTTCAGAAAGAGGATCAGCGTGTGGCGATAACATCCAATGGGACCGTGTCGTGGATAGCAGATTATGTCGGACAGTCTTTGTGCCCCCTGGTTATGACCAAGTACCCATTTGATACCCAGAATTGTACCCTTTACATTGAAGCAATGTCGCATGGTAAAGACAAGGTACAGTTCGTTCAGATAACTGCCCTAAATGGTTCTGGGATTTTCCCAAATGGCCAATGGAAGTTCGTGTCATCTTCATGCAGTCTGACCCAGGAAACGAGCGGAGACAGTGTTGCTTTGGTTAATCTGATCATTCAACGTAGACGAGACTACTACCTGCTTACCATTGTCCTCCCCACCGTTGTGACCTCCCTCCTCAACCCCTTCGTGTTCCTGTTGCCGGCTGAGAGTGGGGAGAAGATGGGGCTGTCCACGACGCTGCTGCTCTTCTACTCCGTCATGCTGACCCACATCTTCAGCAACATCCCCTCCAACTCCCTCACCATGCCTGTGATTGGTTTTTTTCTGGGAGGGCAGCTTCTGTTATCTGCTCTGTCCCTCGGCTGTACGGTTGTCCTTCTGCACGTGAAATATGAAGCGACCCCTACAAGAAACAGCGGAAGTACGGAGGCTCGAAGAGAAACAGACAGTCAGGATGTTAACAAAGAAATACCTTGGGAGGAGGAAAGAAGAGCCTTCTTTAGACGGGTCGACCGATTATTATTTTGGTCGTTTGCGATATCAGGGCTGATCCTGTTCATCGCAATCTTCATTTATATTCTTACCTAAACGTAATATTACTTTAAGTATTACTGTCCACGGACCATAGAAAATATTTCAAGTTATACATAGTTCGGGAGAAACAAGGTTTTTAACCAGGACCACAGAATTTCATCGCTTTTAAGGACATTCATGGAGTCAACCAGGTATTACTGCAGGTCAACTTGTTTTTTACACTGAGTTACCTAAGGAACCAGGGATACGAGATGTTTTTGGAAAAAATATTTTGTTCCAGAAATACTCCTAAAAATTATTTTGTCTCAGGTTTTGCAAAAAAGCAGTATATTTTTGGCTGGACATTCTGGATCTCCTGCAAAAATGTGTTGTGAAAAAATATATGTTTGACGCTTCCTTCCAGGACATAGATTGATTGGCCCCTTATGTACAAGGAACATCATCAATTTAGGTGATGTAATTGTTCTTTTCTTCCTGTAATTTGTATTTGAATAACCTATTTTTGACTTAATAATTTAAGTGTATGACTTGTATATGTTTTTAAATATTTGAGATATCTTTTGTTTGTGAAGGCTGTTTGATATTCAATATACACTCGTGGGGATTGCGGATTTCAACAGGACCTCAGCAGTGATTGTCGTATTAAGTGTTATACAGTAAAGTACGGTTATAGCGAACACACTTATAACGAACTGACGGATATAACGAACTTACTTTTTTGGTCCCGACTATTTGCTGTAGTTATGCTGTTTAAATGCTTATAACGAACTACGGCTATAACGAACTAAAATTAGAAGTCCCTTTGAGTTCGCTATAACCGTACTTTACTGTAAGTCACTGGTTTGCCTTGTCGCCTTTATTTACGGGTCATATAGTAGACTCTGGCAAACCTTACACAAATGATATGCAATTGCACTTATTATAACTGTGATATTTATGTATATACTGACAAGTTCATAATCAGGAAGTTTGTACTGAACGTTGTAGCTAGCATTTTGAAAAGAAATGTCTGTCGTCAAAAGTGGAGATGTCAAGAACTGTTGAATATACAAGCTACTCTATCAGTGACACACAGGATGTTTGGTCTGTCCGTATGGCAAGCCGTTTGATACTTTTAATTGGATTTTTGATATCAGTAACGGTCAGAATTAATGATATCTTGAATTGAATTAAAAATATCTTGAATTGAATTAAATATATCTCTAATTGAATTAAAGATATTTCTAATTGAATTAAAGATATCTCTAATTGAATTAAAGATATCTGTAATGCATTTGTGGATATGTATAACTTATTTCAAGATATCTTGAATTTATTTCTAATATATTTATGTACTGTAGGATGGTGATTGTTAATGATATCTTAAATACATTTAGAGATATCACAAACTAATTTGTTGATATCACCATAACATTTTAAGATTGTATTATGGATATCAGAAATGAATTTAAGATATCTTTAATTATTTTTTGATATCTTAAGAACATTATTGATATCTTTAAATAAAATACCGATATCTTTAAAACAATTGAAGATATCTGTAATTCCGTAATAAATGTGAAAACGGCTTGCCATATGTCCGTGTTCCTGTGGCATTGAACACTCTCTCAAGCGGTATTTTCACGTGTATTTTCGCAAATGCAACTTGATCTACTGCGATGATAGTCATCTGAAGGGCCTTGTTATCATTTGTGATGACAGTGTAAAATCCGAGGTTGCCATTCTAAAGTACGATGTCCGATTGTGGAATAGTTTGCCATCGGGCAAAATATCTGTTCACTTGTATTACAGTTAAAATTATTAATAACGGCCCTGGTCGCCATATTTCTTCTTTGAAACAGGATAACTAGTGTAGGCTAAGTGAAATCCAAAAATAAAGTTCAAAACACTTTTTGGTGTCTTGATGTTGTATTACAAATTCAGTTAATAAACTTCATACTTGGCACGATGTTTTCTGTGTCGTTGTGTAAATGTCACCAAGGACATCATTTAACACTTACGTTTTGGGGGAGATTTGGAGGTAAGTAACACAACTTAATGAATGCTTTTTATCTCACATTAAACTTTCCAAACACATTGTTTTCACATATTTTGTTAGAATTGGTTTATTACTTCTGTTACAAATACTTACAAATAGTTATTTTTATGATATTTAAATAGTCGGACAACGAATTCCGATCTTTAAAGTATCGGCTCACAATCAGTCTCGCATTGATTTACAGGTGGAGTTGTTTCCCATGATCATGAAAATGAGGTTAAGTGTTACAGCTCTTATAGGTGTTGACCTACACTGTGTTTTCCACTGTTGGACACGGTGTAAATTGATACGATGTTTATTAAGGAGATAATATTTCTGAGATTTGTGGCGGCATCGAATACCCAATATAAGATTGCTACGCGATAAATCACAAAGAACAACGAAGAACGAAGCGTTGTTTATTTCACGATAAAACACTGTTCTGTCATGACGTCATTTCTGGAGATTCGAACATGCGCTCGCAACTTGATGACGTCGTAAATTGGAGGACGCTATTTTGGATGAAGGTGTCCAGGGAGTTGTTCCCGTAGATGTAGCTCGGCAACGCAATGGCCGAACATCTTGCTTGACATTGGAGTAAAGAGCAAAAAAAACCTGAGTGTTACATGAATGGACTCTTGAAAATCAGTGATGGAATCGGGTGCTTGCGAAACGGGTAAGCATAAATTGCCCTGCCCTGAAGTAGCACCCCGCCATTCACACATTTTGTACAAAAGAGTATTTGTTGTCTGACGCCGCACAGCTGCACTCCTGCCATCTAACGACGGCCTTCAAACAAACCAGACAATCAAGTGATAGATAAATCAGAAAATACAGTGACACGATAGCGCATTTACTGATTTCGTTGCGACTTAAACACGATATGTTAATTTTGAATTACATCTACTGTGTACAAGTGCAGATATTCTGCTGCTTATAAGTAAAAAGACGTTCAAGACATTAATGTATTCGTTTTACAAAACTCGTGGAAGTTTTAATGTATCGGCCTAATGTTGACGTTGACTGAGCATTGATAAATGCTACTGAGTTTGTGATGAAACCCAGGAATTTCAGTCCGCAAGCAGAAACATCTACCCAGTTCAAGTGCATATTAATTGTCATAGCAAGACAAGAGAGTGTAGATTTTCCACTGAAAAAGATTCCATTTGAAGCAAAGGGCAAAATAGCTGTGAAAGTTATGCCCATTGATGCGTTTTGCAATCATACATTACATCAGTACACACACATGCTCATAATACTGCTTTCGAATGACGTCAATGACGACTGATGGCTGCAAAGAAATATGATGTTCATCCATAATGATGTACAGAGCACGCACGCACACACACAGCGCACATACACACACACATACAGCGCACATATACACACACACATATATATATACAGCGCACATACACACACACCACACATACACCCACACACATTCACACACTGTTACACAACCACAACACACATACAAACACTGAAACACAACCTCAACACCCAGACCAATACAGACACACACTCATACACATATATACATACACTGACATACATACACACTCATACACAGACACACACACATACAGACACACACACACATACATACACACTCATACACAGACACACACACATACACACACACACACACATACATACACACTCATACACAGACACACACACATACAGACACACACACACATACATACACACTCATACAGAGACACACTCATACACATACAGACACACACTGACATACATACACACTCATACAGAGACACACACATACAGACACACACACATACAGACACACTCATACACAGACACACACACATACAGACACACACACACGTACAGACACACTCATACACAGACACACACACATACCGACACACACACATACATACACACTCATACACAGACACACACACATACAGACACACACACACACATATATACACACTCATACAGAGACACACACACATACAGACACACACTGACATACATACACACTCATACACAGACACACACACATACAGACACACACACACATACAGACACACACACACATACAGACACACTCATACACAGACACACACACATACAGACACACACACACATACAGACACACTCATACACATACATACACACACTGACATACATACACACTCATACACAGACACACACACATACAGACACACACACACGTACAGACACACTCATACACAGACACACACACATACCGACACACACACATACATACACACTCATACACAGACACACACACATACAGACACACACACACATACATACTAACTCATACAGAGACACACACACATACAGACACACACTGACATACATACACACTCATACACAGACACACACACATACAGACACACACACACATACAGACACACACACACATACAGACACACTCATACACAGACACACACACATACAGACACACACACACATACAGACACACTCATACACATACATACACACACTGACATACATACACCCTCATACACAGACACACACACATACAGACACACACACACACATACAGACACACTCATACACAGACACACACACATAAAGACACACACATACATACACACTCATACAGAGACACACACACATACACACACACTGACATACATACACACTCATACATAGACACACACTCATACAGACACACACACACATACAGACACACACACACATACAGACAGACTCATACACAGACACACACACATACAGACACACACACACATACAGACACACTCATACACATACATACACACACTGACATACATACACCCTCATACACAGACACACACACATACAGACACACACACACATACAGACACACTCATACACAGACACACACACATACAGACACACACACACATACATACACACTCATACACAGACACACACACATAAAGACACACACATACATACACACTCATACAGAGACACACACACATACAGACACACACTGACATACATACGCACTCATACAGAGACACACACACATTCAGACACACACACATACAGACACACACACACATACAGACACACTCATACACAGACACACACACATACAGACACACACACACATACAGACACACTCATACACATACATACACACACTGACATACATACACCCTCATACACAGACACACACACATACAGACACACACACACATACATACACACTCATACACAGACACACTCATACACATACAGACACACACTGACATACATACACACTCATACACAGACACACACACATACAGACACACAAACATACAGACACACTCATACACAGACACACTCATACACATACAGACACACACTGACATACATACACACTCATACACACACATACAGACACACACTGACATACATATACACTCATACACAGACACACAGACACACACTGACATACATATACACTCATACACAGACACACACACATATAGACACACACTGACATACATACAGACTCGCACACGCACACAACACTTACCACACATACACACACTGTAACACCCAGACACATACAGATATACACTGACATCCATAAACACACACTCATACACACACACTCACACACACACACATACAGACACACACACAAACTGTAACACCCAGACACATACAAATATACACTGACATACATAAACACACACTCATACACACACACTCACACACACACACATACAGACACACACACACACACACACTGTAACACCCAGACACATACAGATATACACTGACATCCATAAACACTCACTCATACACATACAGACACACACTCACACACACATACACATACAGACACACACATACACACACTGTAACACCCAGACACATACAGATATACACTGACATCCATAAACACACACTCATACACACACACTCACACACACATACACACACACACACATACAGACACACATACACACACTGTAACACCCAGACACATACAGATATACACTGACATCCATAAACACACACTCATACACACACACTCACACACACATACACACACACACACACATACAGACACACATACACACACTGTAACACCCAGACACATACAGATATACACTGACATCCATAAACACACACTCATACACACACACTCACACACACATACACACACACACATACAGACACACACACACACACTGTAACACCCAGACACATACAGATATACACTGACATACATAAACACACACTCATACACACACACTCACACACACATACACACACACACATACAGACACACACACACACTGTAACACCCAGACACATACAGATATACACTGACATACATAAACACACACTCATACACATACAGACACACACTCACACACACATACACACACACATACACGCACGCACGCACACACACACATACACGCACGCACGCACGCACACACACTCATACACATACAGATATACACTGACATACATACACACACACTCATACACACACAAACACACACACACACACACTCACACACACTCTCTCTCTCTCTCTCACACACACACACATACACACACACACACAGAGGCAGTGCGGTCTGCTGCCTGAGGCAACTCCTCTGTCGAAGCATTTACACTTTGGGGATCCGTAATGGTGTACCCATTAAGATTTTCTTTTCATGGGCCACAAATTTAATTCATAAATGAGAGTGGTTGAAACAACACACATAAAATGGTAACATTTGTATATAAGTATAAACAATGGAATGGGGGAAAGCTGGAGGTATTAAGCACAAAATAGAGCTTATTCTGAACAGTAATGAAAATTACGTTAATTTATTCGTGTGTTCCTTGACACCGCACTCAGCAATAGTCTAGCTACATGACATCGGTCATAGTTACACACGACCACACAATCCAGTGATTTACAACATGGGCATCGATCTACGCAATTGCGATACGATAAAGTCAGTCAGTCTAACCACCCTGTCCCTTTAGTCGCCTGGGTTGCCGAAGAACAATAACCCAGAATCTTCACGGTTTAGTTATAAAAAAACCTAAATATTAGTGCCATGAATATTTAACAATTATATGATGAATGATGAAACAAAAATGCTCCAGGACTGGTCGGCTCGGGGTCAGTATACTGTGTCTGAACGGGGTATTCATGATAAACTGCGGCATGGTATCTCAGTGAGCTAGTACTATAAAACGATATCAGTCCGGACTAGTACAAACATCCACAGACACACACACGTGCATGCACGTCGCCATATAAGTGCAATAATCTTGGATGTGACGTTAAACCCAATTTAACCTCACCTCATGCTCACAAAAAGCAGGCAACCCCAGCCAATATATTTTCCAGAATAAGAATTTACACAATGACAATCAGCCAAGTAAGAAGTAGCTGTTTCCAACAATCTACAAAGTCATGCACATCCCGATCTTCAAAGATCTGTTTCGATGGAACGTACGAGGGGCGTTCAATAAGTTTTGCAACTTCAATATAAGACCAAGTCGCAGAATATCTTTTGCACTTTTATTTTTCAATATAATCTCCATTTACCTTCATACTCTTGTTCCATTGGTCCTTCAAGCTTTTAATACCAGTTTTATAGAAGTCCGTAGATTGGCCCTCTAACCACGCCTCTGTTGGAGCCTTTATGTCCTCGTCATCCTGGAAGCGTCTTCCACGTCCGACAGATGTCATTTGCCGGAACACTGTGGGTTAAGACTAGGATGTAGGGTTGGTGATTTAACTGTTCAAATCCATCACTTTACACAAGCGATCATGGATTTCCTTTGCTTTGCATCCCTCCTTGGTAAGGAACTTTATTACAGCGCGTTGTTCATGTTTGAGAGAATCGATGATTGTGGCCACTCTTAGGTGAATGAAGCCATCACATCTAACTCATTGTTGTGTCTGGAACTTGTCATGACACGTGTCAACCTAATGTTATGACTAGTGTCACACCTGCCACAAGTTGACATTTATTATTAAAAATAATCAATGTTTCCGCAACGTTCCCCTACCACCCATGAATATCACATTTGGGATATGTGAGTGCGTGAGTGCGTGAGTGCGTGAGTGAGTGCGTGAATGAGTGAGTGAGTGAGTGAGTGTGTGTGTGTAGATGGGGGGGGGGGGGGTTAGTAAGCTCTGTCTGGGTAATGTTGTGTAAAATATGGTTCAATGAAGACTAGGCTAAGAGTTGAAACGACCCTTACCATGTTTGAAATTTATTAATTTTCAAAAGACAACATGTCTAAGATAAACATTGGTAGTTGTGTATTTTGCGAAAACAGTTTTCTGTAGTTATAAAAGGTTTTAAATCAAATTATTTAAGATCAAACATATAAAAAGTCAACTGAGAGGTTTTGTGTCGTTGTTCATCAGTTAAGTAAAAACATTATGCTATCAATGTGTTTTAAGTAAGGGACAACGAATGATTGCATAACGTGAACTGCTAAACATGAAACAAGAATATTTCCATTAAATAATTTACTTGAAATAAAAAAAAACACATATGTATATAATCACCATTTATACATGCATTTCATTACAATACAAATAATATTTGTTCCTCACAGTAAAATACTATTATTATATAGTACTTTACCTTCGTGGAATTTCGCAAAGCGTAATACTCCGTTAATTAAACATATCAATGATAACTGTCACGGGTTTCTTCACAGGTAAGTGGATATCCTGCTTTCTAATTGATTAAAAGGTACGGGTCATTACTCATTTGCAACCCATGCTTGCCGTAAAAGGTGACTATGCTTGTCGTAAAAGGCGACTAACGGGATCGGGTGGTCAGGCTCGCTGACATGGTTGATGCATGTCATCGTATCCCAAGGAGGAGGATCTATGCGAGGATCGAGGATCATAACGTCAATCACTGGATTGTCTGGTCCAGACTCGATTATTTACAGACGGCCGTCATATAGCTGGAATATTGCTGAGTGCGGCGTTAAACAACAAACAAACAAACATTACTCATTTGTATCTACAAACTGTTATCTGCTGTTAGCAAGTGTGGATATTAACCGTTATTCATGGTGTTCAGTCTTTTTGAATGAATGATTGAGTGAGTATGCTTTTACGCCGCTTTTAGCAATGTTCCGGCAATATCAAGGCGGGCGACACCAGGTTATTCCGTAAAGGGGCCACCGGCCCAATATACAAGGTACATTTACATTGGACTGATCAGTTCACCTCTACGGGGCGCTGACTATTACTATCGGGGGACCGATTCACAAAGCGCCCGCAAGCCACGAACAAGTGGTCAACACTCATTGGAGTGCTGAGAAGGATGCACATCTGCTGGTCAGATACATCTAAGGACATAGTGGCTTAGTTCGGGCAGCACGTTGAGCCCTTCGCTGTAATGGAGATATAAGCACAATGACATCCATGTCATCGGCACCGTCGGTCGCGTCCGTCGAGCCAACAGCATCGGGTACGTCTTCACCACCATCGGAGAGAATGTAAACCTTGGAACAAAAATGTATAGGACTGAGAACTTTCTGAGACACTTTCTGTTTTCAAACTTTGCTTCCTATTTATCAACAAGGATGCTGACCATTATCAAAGTACTTTCAATTCTTTTGAATATTGTCTTCAGTTCGACAACACTCGTAAATGCTATGGCCAACGGTCAATATGCGACCTCATGTTTAAACAGTACCCAATCTCTACCTATTACATCGGTAATGGTATGTGTAGGATATAACACGTCAGAGGATTTTTATGCGGTAAAAAAACGGATCCAAGGGATAAAACCGAGGGCGTCAGCCCTGAGGTTTATCCCGAGGATGAAGGTTTTAAATCTCATAAAAAACCGAGGGTAAGCGTTTTATCTAATTCTTATAAACCTATTCATTGGGATCGCTATTAAGTAAGAAACTTCTTTCTATAGGCATTAAAACCTATTGTAAGGTTTTACTTTCCAGTCGGGTTAAATCTCATAAACAGGGGCGTTGTAATGTTCCTGGGATTTTATATAATATCCCTGGGGGTCGGGAAAAACCGCGGGGGCTTTGCCCCCTTGGTTTTTCCCTCTCCCCAGGGCATGCTCTGTCTACCAAAACCTCGTGAGCGTGTTTTCTCCAATACATAAACAGAAAAAAGAAACTTTATCATTTATCAACATCGTTTATAAACATTTTTATGTTTCAAACACACTTGGCATGAACCTAAGAAAACGGGCGTAAAATATTTCTGGCTTGTGGACAGGTGCTTGCAAAAGACATTCTTAAAAGCATTGTGATTTGTCAGCCTAGTGGTACACTCACTAGGCTACAGATACGAAGGTTGCATGTTCGATACGCAGGGATACAAAAACCATTTGTCATTTGATTTTACATTTCATTACTCTGTGTTCAAATGCAAATAAATTTCTAGCAAGAAACATTTATATGTCACAATGTAAACGAAAGTTGTATTAATAAAAACCCAGGGATATTATAACATCCCTGTTTATGAGATTTGACAAGACTGGAGAACAATAGGATGACGTCACTGGAGGTTTATACTATGTGATACTCTGGATTCACTCGCCACCATGTTTTACTTCGTTCTTGGACCGATTGGCAGTTCTGGGCGCTACAAAATGCCGCCAGATTTCATTACTCTCCGAGGCGAAAGGATGGTTTGTTTGTTGGTTGGTTTGTTGTTTAACGCCGCACTCTGCAATATTCCAGCTATATGACGGCGGTCTGTAAATAATCGAGTCTGGACCAGACAATCCAGTGAATGACATCATGAGCATCGATCGACGCAATTGGGATCGATGATATGTATCAACCAAGTCAGCGAGCCTGACCACCCGATCCCGTTAGTCGCCTTTTACGACAAGCATAGTCGCCTTTTACGGCAAGTGTGGGTTCCTGAAGACCAATTCTACCCGGAATCTTCACGGGTAGCGAAAGGATGTAGATATTGTTACCTCCGAAACGAAGCTAATTACGAATTGGTCCTGGGTACTTATGGATAGAATGGAGATACAATACCTTGTATAATCGAGGATGAAGACGTGACGTGAATGAACATATCAATAATCCAATTTCTAATTTAACTTTACAGCATGCACGATGATTAACGAGTTTGTGTAAGCAACAACGTTACGAGCGTGTACAAGAAGTCAAACTCATATCATTTGCATTCTCATTGGATATTGTTATATGAAAGTACAGTATGAAACAGACCATGTTTTTGCTCCCTTCCGTTTGTTCTTGAATTCCTGGTCTTGTGAAAGCACTTTCTCTGGCACGATCTTCGGGGGACACTATCAACCAGGAATGATATAAGACATGAAGGCGCTCGAAGTGCGACAGACAACGGTGGCTGATCGATACCATGAATTTATTTCTCTGCAAAGGATCATTATCTGGTTTTAAAAAGGTCACACATGAATATTGTGCCTAAAGGAAGAAAAAGACAATTTATTATTTACTGTAACTATGACTGTAAATACGTGTGTGACTGCAGCTTTTGGCCTTACAATTCCAAACACAAAAATGTTATATTAGTTTATAAGCTGTAATTTGACACATTACGTTTTAATTTCTTTTCCTACGCCTTAGTCTTTGTTTGTTTGTTTGTTTGTTTAACGCCGCACTCAGCAATATTTCAGCTCTATGACTGCGGCTTTTAGATAATCTAGTCTGGACCAGACAATCCAGAGATTGACATCATAAACATTTTTCTACGCAATCGGGATACGATGACGTGCATCAACCACGTCAGCAAGCCTGATCACCATATAGCCTCTACGACAAGCATGGCTCTATACCGGATCTTCACGGGATCTTGAACTGACGCCTACCTTGTATTACCCCTCTGAGCCAAGAATGGTCTAAAATAGTTGGCCACGAACAACGCTGCTTAGGTTCCTTCTTCAACATGTGCTGCAAGAGTTCCGTCGGCTCTGCTGGGATGTTGTCCGGCCACACCACGTCACAATGTACAATATGCTCCACAAGAGTTCTCACTTGTTCTTGTCCGTCGTTTGATTCGTCGGGCTCGAACGGCGGTTTACCAAGAAACAGCTCGTATACCATGGCCCCGAGGGACCTGCGAGACGAGAGAACATGAAGGGACAGCCCATTTAATATTCTTGGGTTGGGTGTGGAACATGTTTCTTTCTCTGAAAGGACGAGCCCATTATTTGTGTTTCACAAAATACTGTTTTCAGGAAATCCAGCATATCACTTGACAAAATTATTTTATTCCAGTGTTTGGGACATATTATAATAAAAAATCAGAAATATGAAATATCTACTGAATTAACTTTTATTATTGGATATTGTTTGACATCCGTGTGAATGTGGCAAAGAGACACGTTTGACTATGACAAGGAGACACGTTTGACTATGACAAGGAGTAGATCCGTTTAACTGTGACAAGGAGTCATTTTTGACTGTGATCCGTGTGACTACGCCAAGGAGAAACGTTTGTCTATGACAAGGAGTTATGTTTGACTGTGACACGTGTGACTTTGGCAAGGAGACACGTTTGACTATGACAAGGAGACATGTTTGACTCTGACACGGAGACACGTTTGACTATGAAAAGGAGACACGCTTGACTATGACAAGGAGGCATGTTTTACTGTGACAAGGAGACACTTTTGACTATGACAAGGAGACATGTTTGACTGACAAGGAGACACGTTTGACTATGACAAGGAGGCATGTTTTACTGTGACAAGGAGACACGTTTGACTATGACAAGGAGACATGTTTGACTGACAAGGAGACACGTTTGACTATGACAAGGAGGCATGTTTTACTGTGACAAGGAGACACGTTTGACTATGACAAGGAGTCATGTTTGACTGTGACACGTGTGACTGTGGCAAGGAGACGCGTTTGATTGTGACAAGGAGATACGTTTGTCTATAACAAAGAGACACGTTTGACTATGGCAAGAAGACACGTTTGACTATGACAAGGAGACACGTTTGACTATGACAAGGAAACACGTTTGACTGTGACAAACGTTTGACACAAAGCAACACAACAACCGTCCGAGCATAAAACTAACAACATACAAAAAACTGATTAAATGTAATTACATGTCACACATACCAAATGTCCACCTTCTCACTGTAGTAGACGATGCTGTTCCCGGCAATTTCGGGGGCCATGTACATTGGTGTAGACTGAAAGGATGGACACTGTTGTAACGGCAACATCGACTACAACATAATCCTTCTCGATTAGACCACAGTTTAGATACCACAGTATATGGGCTTCGTTTTGCTTCATTTGGCAAAACCATCAACCAAGTAAAGCATTCCAACACACCGACTTGCATCACATAAGTTTACTTGTGTGCATGCTATTTTACACCGCACTATTACAGCTATTTTGCGACGGTCAATAATTATTGAAGCCTGTACTGGAGCAAACAGTGATTGCTATTATGAGAAACATACATAGCCGCGAGTTACAATCAGCGAAATCGTTTCCCCTCTCCTGATCCATTTAAACGCCGCTTAAGATAAGAAATTCATAACATGCATGTCCACGAGGCACCTCGATATGAGCCACGACTGCGACACCCGCCGCCTCATCCCCGAAAGAAAGTCATCTATTAATAATCAATTTTAAAGAGTTTTAGTGCTATTTAATTGCTTACATGTAAGTCTTTTTGTTTAAAAATGAAAGGGTAGAGCAGGACATACTTACCCTTTTCGCGAACACCTGGGCCCACTTGCACAAAGCGATCTTAGCGCTACGACTATTGTAAGCCTATGTTAAAGTATGGGAGTTACGATCATCTTAGCACTAAGATCGCTTTGTGCAAGCGGGCCCTGGTGTCATCACTGATTATCAGTGATCAATCCGTATAGGTTTCACCTCTATTTTGACTTATACCTCAATGGAATCTGTTTCTGATACTCGCAATTGGTTATTTTCTCTGGCGTTCACGTTTTATATATGTATATCGAGATTACCTTGATGGTGGTGGGTAACGACCCGATTTCAGTGAAGTATTCACGGGCGAAGCCGAAGTCGCACAGTTTGACGGTGCCGTCATCCATGAGGAGGACGTTCTCGGGCTTCAAGTCTCGGTGTAGGATGCTCTTGGAGTGAAGGTGGAAGACGGCTGAAAACAGCTGACAAGCTATCTGACGTACCTTATATAACAGATAGATTCACATTGTACTATATTGACATGAAAAGCAGTTATAATGTTATTCATCGGTCAAACCTCATTTACAATAAATCATTAACCGACGAAATAGCATATTATCCAATATAATATTTGACACAATCCACTTGTTTTCGTTATAACCAATTCATCATCACTCATTCTGAAGCTTTGATCATGATGTCAATCACTGGAATGTCTGGTCCAGACGCGATTATTTACAGACCGCCTTCATATAGCTAGAATATTGCTAAGTGCGGCGTAAAACAACAAACCAACCATAATTATCCCAATCAGGGGTGCAATTAGTGAGTGAGTTAGGTTTTACGTCGCTTTTAACAGTATTCCAGTCATATCACGGCATGTCAGCTTAATGTGGGAGGAAAGCCCGAAGTGATGCAGGCCTCAGACCTTTACCACTTTAGTGAATGAAATAAAAGCGCCAAAACCCTTTCCATATTTATAAGAAATCTCTCCAAAAAGCAAAGTCGATCGTACGTTTACGACTATATCATGCGCATGTGTTTATGAATCACTACCAACCCACGAGCACGGTATAATCATCATTATCATCATAATCATAATCATCATCATCATCATCTTTATTTGTATCATCGCCATCATCGTAAACATCGCACACCAAGCTGCTTACATAATATGCCTTGAGTGATCCAGCAGAATGTTTGGTGCCTTAAAACTCGCACAAGACACAGTTTCTTGAGTGAAATATATTGCAATATCGATAATTCAAGTCCCAAAGATGATATTACGTCCCAGCTCTTTGTCCAAACATATGATACTTATTTATTGGTCAAACTTAATCTCCATATATTAAACCTATATATCTGTACTGAAATATATACTGACGTAAATGTTATAAAATTACTCAACTCTGTTTTCTGGAAAGCTCCCTACAATCCCCAACTCGTGGTAGAGCTCTCCCGGAGCACACTCCATTGCAAGGACACGCTGAAACAGTAGACGGCACAGGTATGAATACAGACGACCCCAGAAAGACGTCACGTTTACATTTTGATACAAAACATCCGAAAACGATACTTACGTAGTTCGGTATTTCGTACTTCTCCAGGAAAAGGATGATGTTTGGGTGGTTCAGTTTCTCCATAATGTTTGTTTCATGTAGAAAATCATTAACTTCGTCTTTGTTCGATGTTTTTATATATTTCAGTGCGCACACCTGTAATAGATATATTTATTATGTATTTGGTGATAAAATACTATATTTTATTTTGAAAGATATATCTGATATCCCTCTCGAGCGAAAGAACACTCTATGCCCTAAATTCTTTCACTCTACCTCGGGGACAGGCGGGTAGTCTAGTGGTTAAAACGGTCGCTCGTCCCGCCGAAGAGTGGGTGAGTGAGTTGGGTTTAACGGCGCTTTCTTCCAGTTATATCACGGCGTGTCAGCTTAATGTGGGAGGAAAGCCCGAAGTGATGTAGGTCTCAGACGTTTACCACGTCGGTGAAACCCACGAGCACGGGTATGGTGCTGACAAACCTAGAAACATAATTGGGGCGAACCGGGATTCGAACCCACTATCATAGGTTTCTGGCGCGTCCAAGGGACGCAACTCTGCACAGCGAATCGCAGCGCCTTAGACGACAGGGCCACCCGTGCCCCGTCACGCCGAAGACACGGGTTCGATTGCTTGTTTGTTGTTTAATGCCGCACTCAGAAGTAATCCAGTGATTGACATCATGAGCATCGATCCACGCAATTGGGATACGATGACATGCATCAACCAAGTCAACGAGCCTGACCAACCGATCCCGTTAGTCGCCTCTTACGACAAGCATAGTCGCCTTTTACGGCAAGCATGGGTTACTGAAGACCTATTCTAACCCGGATCTTGACGGGTCTGACGGCACTTTCAAAAGTATTACAGTTACATCCTTTAATTAATTTGATGTGGCAAAAAAACATGAACTGAAGCAGTTGTCAGAGATGTCAGATGTTGGCATGGATAATTTAGTGGTGGGACGATACACCGATGCATTGGTGGATCGCGGCTTTTAACTTATCGATACAAGTATCGATCACAGTCGCACACGAGGTAAGAAAATATCGATTCTTACCTTAAATGTTTGCTTTAAATAACTGTCACACCAAGCACTAAGTAGTGAAAGTTAACAGTGAAAACGTTAATGTTTTCATCCATGGCGCCATACTTCACACTGCCTAGTGTAAATCGTCAGTGTGCCAGGTATTTGGCCATCCTGTCTACGTAAAAGATGGCTTGTGTACCACAGATAACAGCACATGCAAGTATCGTGATACGTATCGGACCATGAGTAAGGTATCATGATACGTATCAGATCGCACAGTTGGTGTATCGTCCCAGCCATAATGGATATGGTGATGAACAACAATCAGAGCGAATCTGGGATTCGAACCCATGTGCTTATGCCTCTGGCGCGCCTAAGGGACGCAGCTCTCAATGCGAATGCGCGCCTTACCCAAAAGGGCCAATCGTGTCTGCCAGTAAAAAAGCAATTTGAAGAACTCTAAAAGTGCACAATAAACCAATAGATAAGTTAAGTGTAATACTGCCTCACCTGCCCAGTGCCATCTTTTCTTTTCCCCTTGAACACCACGCCGTAGGATCCTTCCCCGAGGAGTTCGGAAACAACATACCTGTCATCTTGAATACCCCGCTCCGAGAGTAGCTGGTGGTCGCCCATTGTACGTGGTGAGACTGTACCTTGAAGGCAACATGTTTTTATGATGTTAAACATACAACATATCTAACGATCGATAGCTTGTAAAGCCCTTCTTACTCATTCACTCTCCTCGCCTGTGGTGTGTGGTGTGATCAGGTACATCTTGTTGTGTAGTGTGGTGTTGTGATGTGCGATCTGCGTTCTTTAGCGCACTATGTGTTGTGTGCAGAGTAATACAGGTTTGTTGTGTGCAGATTAATACAGGTTTGTTGTGTGGTGAGTGTGGTGGTACATGTTTGTTGTGGTGTTGTATCCGGTACGGTCTATGGTACTTTCATAACAACACTTCATAACATACAAACTCATAAAATGTAAACACTTCATATGAACCATTGCCTCACCTTACACGATCACGTTCCCCGTGTCACAGAAACTCGTCTCCGACGTCTTCCGAACAGGACGCTTCCGTCTGTGACCTGGCTGTCGCGTCACGTCTTATTATAGACCAGTCCGGGAATTCCTGGGAAATCCAAAGCGCGACTGGTTATGCAGGTGCGTTGATCTGTATGTCCAAACAGCTGCTCAGTGTGTTGTGATAGTGTGTTGCACCGACTGATAGCAACGTGTTCATACCAGCAGTGTAGTGTTCGCGTCTCTATAAACGCTATTGACACTCGTCGCCTGCACAGAGTGTATGAATAGACATCGGAATTCTTCCGTACGTTCCACCTGAACAAGCTACACAAGCCAAACTCGTCAGACAGGCTGTCACTGGGGCACACGGTAAGCGTAATAGATAAAATGTACTTTCATCAGGACGGAAACAGACTATTCACTGGTATGCATGTAGCTTAAATATAATCTTTTATACAGTTTGTAATATGAAAACAAACCATTGTCATCAGTTTCATATTCTTATTTTTCTTCATTTTCTTCATTTTCTTCATTTTCTTATGTTTCCCTGAATAATTGTAATTTTGTTACTGTTGAAACTGAAGATGTGGTGTCCTCAACACCCGGTGTTCATTTTGTCGCCGAAGTTGGTTAGTTTGTTGTTTTACGCCGCACTCAGCAATATTCCAGCTATATGACGGCGGTCTGTAAATAATCGAGTCTGGACCAGACAAACCAGTGATTGGCACCATGAGCATCGATCCACGCAATTGGGATCGATGACATGCATCAACCAAGTCAGCGAGCCAGACCACCCGATCCCGTTAGTCGCCTTTTTCGACAAGCATAGTCGCCTTTTACGGCAAGCATGGGTTGGTGAAGACCTATTCCACCCCGCATCTTCACGGGTATGTCACCGAAGTGCGTGTGCCCACAGTGATTTACGCTTTATTAATATCCAGGTAGACAATGGAACTCTCTCTGTGTGTCCGCGTTGGCTATAGAAGCAGTGTGTGAATTGACTATGTGAATCCATTACAAGAAGTGACAAATGGTTGTTCAGGAATATTGTATTTTTTATTACGAAGGTCAAAAATAAAATAACGAATCGTTAACTCTTTTACTTTCATAATTCAAAGTTTTCCCATTTACAAATCTGACATCACTGGATAATGTAGGTAAATAATATTAAGGACAGTCTATTCTGGACAACTGCAAAACGCGGCGGCGACGCCCAATCGTTACCTCCCTTCCATCCATTAACCCTCATGATTCCTGAATATATCCCTATCCCGACCCGTCTCCACAGCCCCAGCAACATCAGGCAATTCCTTGAGGCATTCTGAGACGGTCGGGTAGCCTTGAGCTTAAAGCGTTCTCTCGTCACGCCGAAGACACGGGTTCGATTCCTGACATGGGTACAATGTGTGAAGCCCATTCCTGGTGTCCCCCGCCGTGATATTGCTGGAATATTGCTACAGGGCAGCGTAAAACCATACTCACTCACTCACGCATTCTCAATATAGGTGAGGTGAGGTGAAATTGGGTTTAACGTCGCGTCCAAGATTATTGCACATATATAGCGACGTGCATGCACGTGTATGTGTGTGAGTGGCTGCTTGTACTAGCCCGGACTGATGCCGATTTATAGTGCTAGCTCACTGAGATACCATGCCGCAGTTTAACATGAATACCCCACTCAGACACAGTATACTGACTCCGAGCCGACCAGTCCTTGTTTTAGCCCCTTAATGCCGAGCGCCAGACAGGTTAACAACAAGTACAATCTTTTAACGTCTTTTTGTATGACGCGGCCCGGGATCGAACCCTGGACCTTCCGCTCTCCGGGCGGACGCTCTACCACTAGACCACGGAGGCGGTCTCTCCATAGAGGAAACATAGAAAGGTAATACTGGCATTAAGGTAATGAAGAGACAGCATCGTGTATAAACAGATCAACGCCAGCATGCGCAGTGTGTAATGCCTGTCAACATCCGACCCGTGAAGATCCAGGTTAGAATGACTGAATGAATCAGTTTTAACGCCAGGATTCAGTTATATCACACTTCAGCAACCAATGCTTGCCATAAAAGGCGACAATGCTTGTCGTAAAAGGCGACTATGCGTGTCGTAAAAGGCGACTAACGGGAATCGGGTGGTCAGGCTCGCTGACTTGGTTGGTGCATGTCATCGATCCCAATTGCGTGGATCGATGCTCATGATATCAATCACTGGATTGTCTTGTCCAGACTCGATTATTTACAGACCGCCGTCATAAAACTGGAATATTGCTGAGTGCGTTAAACAACAACCAACCAACTGTTAACATCCTGCATTTAAGTACAAGTGACAAAAATCAATGATCATAAGAAATCTCCACTAAAAGCAGAGCCCGTTGTGCGGTTCCGACTATATCATAAGCATGTGTTCATGAATCACTATCAAATAGTGATGGTCTCTGTGTTCGCGAAAAGCCCCATTAATTTGCAGACTACTAACCAAGCGTGTAGTTTAGCGTAAGCAGTCAAGTACTCATGAGAAAAAGTATTTTTACTTTCTGTTCACATGTGACTAAAACCCCGAACGCATGCACCATTTACTCGCTTTGTCAATTTACACACATCCGTAATATAACACAAGGAGTACATTTGCATCTTGTTCGGCTGTGATTCAAAAGTATATTTACACATTAGCAAATCTACTCTATACATGCTCGTACAATTAGTCATGCGAACGCTGAGCAATATTATATTTACTCATATGAGTAATTTGTTTGACCTTCACCGTAAGTCTGTTTCATCATATCTATTTTAAACAACAATCTGTCTAAACATGTTTGTTGTTTAACGCCGCACTCAGCAATATTCCAGCTATATGATGGCGGTCTGTAAATAGTCGAGTCTTGACAATACAATCCATTGATTGACATCACGAACATCGATCCACGAAATGACATGCATCAACCAAGTCAGCGAGCCAGACGACTCGATCCCGTTAGTCGTCCCTTACGACAAGCATAGTCACCTCTTATGGCCAGCATGGGTTGCTGAAGATCTTTTCTAACCCGAATCTTCCAAAAGCAGTCATCATGCACAGACTAATTTTTTTTCAAACATACACAGCTAATATTTTTTTATATTACTTGTGGACAGGTCTTGCTCTGGGATTACGCCAGGCTAAAAGAATACAGATGCGGGTGAGATCCGAGGTTGGTGGAGGTGAGGTGAGGTGAGGTGAGGTGAGGTGAGGTGAAATGGGGTTTAACGTCTGGTCCAAGATTATTGCACTTATATAGCGACGTGCATGCATGTGTCAGTGGGTGTGGCTGCTTGTACTAGTCCAGACTGATGCCGATTTATAGTGCTAGCTCACTGAGATACCATGCCGCAGTTTAACATGAATACCCCACTCAGACACAGTATACTGACTCCGAGCCGACCAGTCCTTGTCTTAGCCCCTTAATGCCGAGCGCCAGACAGAGTAACAACAAGTACCACCTTTTAACGTCTTTTGGTATGACGCGGCCGGGGATCGAACCCCGGACCTTCCGCTCTCCGGGCGGACGCTCTACCACTAGACCACGGAGGCGTTCCGTGGCTGGTGGAATCATGTTGTCAGAGAAACCTTTGACGACGACCAGTGGGTTCAAAACTACCGTTTGGCGAAAAACACTTATAATGTTCTATTTGAAGAACTTCGTCCAACTTTGTCCAACCAAGCAATGCGTGTACGTGTACGTGACTTGGACCATAGAGCGGCACACTCTGTCTACTGGTTGGTCTCGTGTCCCTTGACACTATCTGCATAGCAAGCTTTTTCGTTTTCTACGCCGTACATAGTTACAGCTATATGGCGGAGTCTAGATAACACAATCCAGTGAGCATTGATCTACGCAACTGGGATATGATGACATGCATGAACAAAAGTCAGCGAACCTAATCACCCAATCACGTTAGTCGCCTCTTACTACAAGCATGGATTGCTGAAGAACATGTTTAACCCTGAATATAGTAAGTGAAAGTAATAATGGGCAATCATAATGTGCAGTGCCTCTGTTGTTTTAATGAGTATAGATACTTCCTAGTAAAAGTCTACATGTGAATGTTGGTAGAAGAGAGGCTACACGCGGCGAATTGACAGCCCCAGCACATTTGAGACCCGTGAAGATTCCGGGGTAGAATAGGTCTTCATCAACCCTTGCTTGCCGTAAAAGGTGACTATGCTTGTCGGAAAGGCGACTAACGGGATCGGGTGGTCAGGCTCGCTGACTTGGTTGATGCATATCATCGATCCCAATTGTGTGGATCGATGCTCATGACATTAATCACTGGATTGTCTTGTCCAGACTCGATTATTTACAGACCGCCGTCATATGGCTGGAATATTGCTGAGTGCCGCGTTAAACCAACCAACCAACCAACCCAGCACATTTGACACACGTTCCTTGATACCCGTTTCTTGGCCTGCTACTTCAAATATTCTGATGTATACAAATTGAGCAAAAAATGGTAACCCTAATAACACAGACACAATGCCTAAGTTTCACACCTTTGATTATTATTTATAGTGGTAAACATCAAGGAACTGAATCACCCCGGGATTTCCTCCCAGATCAAGCTGCGAGTCCGAAATACTGTTAAAGACCGCGTGGAACCAAACGCACTCACTCACTGTAACACTTCTTTGCACACACATGGAATGTCAGCACAAACGTCTTCATGAGTGAAGGCATTGTCATATGTACGTGGATTTCTTAAAGCATGTAGACACGAAATAAACTGTCGGGTAAAAGAAAGTATACACTCCACGCCAACATGAAACAAACAAAACATGGTTATTCGATGGTGATGTTTGCAGTGTTTCGTCGATTGTTTTCAGCCTTGTAGGTTTTGATAACGTTTGCTATCCAGATTTCAAATTATACTTTCTTTTGTCCGGCAGTTTGTGTGTGTTGTCATTGAGATACAACAGCTCTCAAATTGTTCTATTTTCTGTCCGTACTCATATTGGTTAAAACCTTAAAATCTTTGTTGAACAGAATCGTTTTTCCATTGATGTCCACAGGGAGAAGACAAACTCTTAACCATCAAGTCACTTTGTGACGACTTCAACACATATATCAATTCCGGCTGGTCAATTAAACAGTAAAACAAGTGTCACATCTTGAGTGTTTCACACTATCTAAGTGTACCTTGTTACACGCATCATCGTTAGTGCAAAGGTCAAGCAATCCCGGATATTCCTCAGGGAGCTGAGAATGCAATTTGAATGACATCGGTTATGGATTAGTATGTGACATGCTTTGAGCTTTGGCGCTGTCACGCCCCTTTGTGGCCTGGAGTATTGTGCTTTATGAATGACAAATCATCTTCATTATCATCATCCTCATCATCACGATCATCATCATCATAATAATAATCATCACGATGATGATCATCATCACTTACATCATTATCGCCATCGTCATCACAATGATCATCATTATCATTAATAATTGTTATCCCATATCATTCACTGCATCCAGGTATTTAAATGCTGAAGCTTGACTTCGTGGAACCGTCTTGTTCATCTCCCATGCGAATAACGTCATAGAAGGTTCGCTGGTCTTGAGATCATTAGGGGCAGGTATAGGTACCGATTAAGCCGCTGAATCTATTGAATTGGCACGGGCTGATTGGCAGTGGACTTTTTAAGTCCTTCAAACACCAGTTCATCTGCTAGCTACATCATAAAAATCAATCCAATTACGTTAATTCCACAGATAGAGGGCACGGTTGTTGGTGTGGTATGTTCCGAATCGGGGATCTATTATGAAAACACACTGGGACAGCCTGTAGCAACAAGTCAAGATCAAAATTGTTTCATAGGGAGCAGCACAGAGATACCGTTACCACAGCTAGTGGTGCAGAGAGTTCCTTTACCATTCAGAAAAAAACCGTTTCGTGACATGTATTTTCTATTTCACATGACGTCCTCTCCAATGACAACTTCCACACCAATCAACATCGCCGTGAGAGATCTGCTGACAACGTGTGGCATGTAACGGTAGTCCCAGTGGACACAGACTACTGGTCAGGTCCTGAAGACCCAGCAGGTGATTCTGCACCTCCTCTCCTTCGTGGGGGTATCATGATGACTACATCCATGTCTTCATCTCCATCAGTGACGTCTTCATCTCCATCAGTACAGTCTTCACCTCCATCAGCAAAGTCCTCACTCTCCGGAAGCTTCCCACCACGTCCAAGTATACGTACCTTGAACAACGCCAAATGTGCATTCATTAAGAATTCATTATATCCATTCCACAAAGTGTGCACAACAGGCTTTTCGTTTATAACTCAACAACTGCAAAACATGTTGGCGCCAATTTGTATAACTAAATAAGTTAACAATAATAACTTCGCAGACTGCTAATTAATTATCACACAAAAGGTGGAGACAATAATATGAGTCAGTGAGTGAGTGAGTATGGTTTTACGCCGCTTTTAGAAATATTCCAGCAATATCACGGCGGGGGACACCAGAAGTGGGCTTCACAAATTTTACCCATGTCGGGAATCGAACCCGGGTCCTCGGCGTGACGAGCGAACGCTTTAACCACTCGGCTACCCGACCGCTCCGACAACAATATGAAGTTAGGCGTAATAATGCAGCACAAACCCCGCCCATTTAAATGTCAGCCAATCAGGAAGCAGTAGTTCGTTAGAGGGCGTAGCCTAATCCTTTTTGGTTTAGTGAGAGAATCTTGGTTAGCCAATGAAATGCCACGGAATCACATGCAATTTATTTCTTTTTATTTAGCTATGGAAATATTACATAATTGAAAACTAGGAATATTTCAGAAAATACTTAGATTTGACTTCAACATTAAAAACAGGTGGGCACACTGACGGGTATTTTTTCGTTCATACTTCCATAAAGGCAAATGCTGAAGTCAATTCTTATAAATATGTACCTTAACAATAATTAAAATTACAGACTACATTTTTAATCATTAACACACAAAAACTGAACACAACAATACGAAATAATTAACACAGCTCAACAATGCAACACAAGCCCCGCCCATTGTATTTTGAGCTAATAAAAAAACAGTGGTCTGCTTGTGGGCGTGGTCTAATTCTTTTTCGATTTATGGAAACACAAAAAACATACTTAGTGCTTGGCTAGCCAATCAAACTGCCATGGTATCACATGCAGTGATTGAGTAATTGAGTAATAATAATCAATTTTAGCTTTATGCTGCTTTGAACATTATTTGAGTTATATGCCATCGTGAAGGACGGCATGCCAGAGTAATACATATTCATCTTCAGATTTGACGAGTAAGTGAGTATGATTTTACGCCGCTTTTAGCAATATTCCATGCATTATTTACATGCAAAGATTAAGTCAACCTTGCATTACATAATTACAATTATCGAATTGTCGAATGTTTGTACCCATACCCATACCATACCCATATTTGTACGCCCAAGTTATATTTTAGATATTGTTAACAGAAAGGAACTCACAGGTATATTAGGTATATTCATACAGGCATACAAGGCATGGTTAATCTTTATTACTTGCTTTTAAGATTTGCCCCCCCCCCCCCACCCCAAAAAAAGAAAAGAAATAAAAAAACAACAACAACAACCAACAAAACAACAGGCGGTCGATGGTCGAGATAAAAATAATAATATAATTTGAAAGTTGTATAATCGGTAGGGTAATACAAAATATACATGACCGGTTTGTTTTGCTACTGTTAAAAACGAAACACAACCGCAAAATCAGTAAGCAACGGTAAAGAATATTAAATAAATACCCTCTTTTATACCATTTACGTTATGGGCCTATGCCCGGTTAACTAGTTTTAGTGAAATATATAAAAAGATTCAACGGGAATAAAAATTGACTGTCTCACACAGTTTTAATTATATTTCACATTTGTGAAATTGGGGTAGGCGATCCGTAAACGAGGTTTTAAAAACACAAACGCCCCACCTTCTTATTGTGCTCCTCGGCCTTCCGCTGTGCGACATCTGGGTTGGTGTATGGGCTGTCTCTGGCTCTGTCCTCGGGGGACACTAGGAATATATCATAGGGTTAAGTTACCAACAGACCTTATTGATAGCAGCCGATAGTTCACAAATATAATCATTAAATTTGCTGTTTCGAAACACTATTTCAGAAATATTCAAATGTCGGTTATATAATCACAATTTACCTGCTGGGATGGTGCGATTTTTAAAACAAACACCAGGTAGTGAAATAGTGACGAGTTAGGATAAGGGTCATTTTGGGCTTAATGGAAATGTTAAATTTGAAAGTTTCGAAAAACTTTGAATTATTGGTATGAGATTATAGGTTTGTTGGTTGGTTGGTTTGTTGTTTAACGCTGCACTCAGCAATATTCCAGCTATATGACGGCGGTCTGTAAATAATTGAGTCTGGACAAGACAATCCAGTGATTAATATTATGAGCATCGATCCACGCAATCGGGATCGATGACATGCATCAACCATGTCAGCGAGCCTGACCACCCGATCCCGTTAGCCGCCTCTTACGACAAGCACAGTCGCCTTTTACGGCAAGCATGGGTTGCTGAAGACCTATTCTAACCCGGATCTTCACGGCTCTGAAACTATAGGACAAGTGTAAATTGCTGACACTATTTTGTTCTTGTTTTTGACTCCTGGCATGACTAACTACATAAAAATGTGAAATGTGGGGAAAAAACGCTGTATGTGAAGAGGGCCTTTATCATACCCTGTCCTTGTGTACCGCCCCTGTAGTTAGAAACACGTTTCACTATCATTTCAGAAGCTCTTCTTCACCTTATAATTATATTCATACAGAATACATTTTAAAATCTCTCGGGCTTACCAGTTTAAATCATTTTAAGTTTCAGATTTTATACATAACTAATCCATAACACGTACACGCTTCATTTGTCAAGTGGATATAGCGTCTGTTCGGAAAGCGGAAGGTCGGCGGTGGCATCCCCTGGTCGCGTCATAACAAAAGAAATTAAAAGACGGTACTTGTTGTTACCCTGTCTGGCGCTTGCTATTAAGGGAATGAAACAAGGACTGGTTGGCTTGGAGTCAGTGTTCTGTGTCTGAGATGGTTGGAGGGTATAGCCAGGGGCATTTTTTCGAAATTAAACATTTACAACTTAACAACATGGTCTTAACTCATTCTACACAGTTATAAACATAAGACTCACTCACTCACTCACTCACTCTTCCACTCATTCACTCTCACTCACTCACTCACTCACTACATGAGTCCGAACGTAAAACCCAAACACTGATGCTTCTCCAGGATGCTGAACAACAACAATTACCAATAATCCCGCCTTTGAACCAGGGATGGGATAAAATGGTTGGCCATGAACATCTCTCCCTGGGGTTCTTGATCAGCATCATCTGCAGGAGGTCCTTCAGGTCCGGCGGCATGTTGTTGGTCCAGGGCACGGAGGAGTTGAGGATCTTCATCCCCAGAGTGACCATATTGTTGGAGAAGAAGGGCGGGTCGCCGACCAACAGCTCAAAAATGATGCAACCCAGTGCCCTGCAACAAAAGTATGACACATTACTAACTAAATGAAAAACTAACGAATTGATCAAGGATTTCATTCCAACAATTTCGGGTTGACATAAACATGGAATTACTTTGCCGACATGTCACCATATTACCCTCTGCTGGAGATGATTAACGCCACAGTTATATTCCAGCTATATTACGGCGGCCCGTAAATAATTGAGTCTGGACCAGATAATCCAGGGATTGATGTCACAGCAAAAACGGTATAATATCAAAGAAATTTGAGTCTGTGTAGTTTAACAATATGTAATGAATTTCATTTCTTACTAGTATGTCCATCACTAATTGATCAAAGAAAAGCCTTTTTACCAAAATATCTTTGTACAAATGCCTGAGTTGAAAACATTATGTATCTAATGCAAAGTGATAATGCCCCCTTGGTAGTTGACCGCTCAAACTATATTAAAAAGTGTGTGTTTGATTTGACTTGTATATATTATGTGTGCGTATATAATGTAATGATGCATGTTCACTGTGCCACTGTGTGTTCTGTTCTGTCGTGGTACGCTGACATACAATCAACCAAGGCACTGTCTGATCACCGATTCATAAGACGCCTCTGATGACAAGTATAGGGGCGGTCGGGTAGCCTAGTGGTTAAAGCGTTCGCTCGTCACGCCGAAGACCCGGGTTCGATTCCCGACAAGAGTACAATGTGTGAAGCCAAATTTCTGGTGTCCCCCGCCGTGATATTGCTGGAATATTGCTAAAAGCGGCGTAAAACCATACTCATTCACTCACTATGACAAGTATAGGTTGCTGGGAGCCCACTCTAACATGTAATCATAATTACATTGAAACAAATATTCAAAATATATATTGATACAGACAGCATACCAACTATCCCAGATAATAATATCCAAAGCAATCTACAAAATCTTGTAATTCTTGGATACACATTCGACTGTTGGAAATTTGGGAATTATCCGTTCTCAACATAAGGCATGTTTGAAATGAACGCTAATACCGCGTTCTGTACAATTTCGACAAGAAACCATAGTTTCCAGGGTAACATAATTAACAGAGTAATACTTATAGATATAATAAATAGACGAATGAACTAAATATTTTGTTATTGATACATAAATACTTAAAAGATATATTGAATATATGAATTAACTAAATATTTTGTTATTAATACATAAATACTGAATAGATATATTAAATATGTGAATGAACTAAATATTGTGTTATCAATACATAAATACTTAATAGATTTACTTAAAAGATGTCTTAAATATGTGAATAAACTAAACATTTTGTTATTAATACATAAATACTGAATAGATATATTAAATATGTGAATGAACTAAATATTGTGTTATTAATACATAAATAGTAATACATATACTAAATATATGAAAAACTATATATTTTGTTATCAATACATAAATACGAAATAGATTTACTTAACAGATGTATTAAATATGTGAATAAACTAAATATTTTGTTATTAATACATAAACACTTAATAGATATATTAAATATGTGAATGAACTAAGAATTTGTTATTAATACATAAATACTGAATAGATATATTAAATATGTGAATGAACTAAATATTGTGTTATTAATACATAAATAGTAATACATATATTAAATATATGAAAAACTATATATTTTGTTATCAATACATAAATACTAAATAGATTTACTTAACAGATGTATTAAATATGTGAATAAACTAAATATTTTGTTATTAATACATAAACACTTAATAGATATATTAAATATGTGAATGAACTAAGAATTTGTTATTAATACATAAATACTGAATAGATATATTAAATATGTGAATGAACTAAATATTGTGTTATTAATACATAAATAGTAATACATATATTAAATATATGAAAAACTATATATTTTGTTATCAATACATAAATACTAAATAGATTTACTTAACAGATGTATTAAATATGTGAATAAACTAAATATTTTGTTATTAATACATAAACACTTAATAGATATATTAGATATGTGAATGAACTAAGAATTTGTTATTAATACATAAATACTGAATAGATATATTGAATATGTGAATGAACTAAGAATTTGTTATTAATACATAAACACTTAATAGATATATTAAATATGTGAATGAACAAAGAATTCGTTATCTATGAACAGAGACCCACGGCCGATGTAACGACCTGTCAAAAACAGTCAAGTGAAAAATGACAAAAACCGGGACATGATATGTGCCGTACCAGATATCCACTTTTTCCGTGTATGAGACAAAAGACTCCGTTGCTATTTCTGGGGCCATGTACACAGGAGTTCTCTGCAATAAGCACAAAACACATTTAAAATGTTTCTCATCATCGTGAGGGTACGGAGGCGACGTAGGACTTAGTATTTTATACGTAGGACTTACTATCTCGTACGTAGGACTAAGTATCTCCTACGTAGGACTTAGTATTTCCTACGTAGGATCTGTATCTCCTACGTAGGAATTACTATCTCCTACGTAGGACTTAGTATTTCCTACGTAGGATCTGTATCTCCTACGTAGGAATTACTATCTCCTACGTAGGACTTAGTATGGACTAGAATAACTAGCTCCTAAGTAGGACTTAGTATCTCCTACGTAGGACTTACTATCTCTTACGTAGGACTTAGTATGGCCTAGAATCAGTATTTCCTACGTAGGAGATAGTAAGTCCTACGTACGAGATGGTAAGTCCTACGTCAGAGATACTAAGTCCTACGAAGAAGATACTAAGTCCTACGGAGGAGATAATAAGTCCTACGTAGGAGGCACTTAGACCCCAAAAAAATCACCGTGGCCCTAATACGCTTCCGTATGAGGGGAATATCAAACATATAATCTTCCGATTGTTATATCTAATAATGTTGTAATAACTGATACATGTATATAATAAACAAGAACATTGACATCGCACGAAGTAGGATACGAGTTTTCACATTTACCAGTACGACAGCTCGGATCGTTACGCAAGCCGACACACGTCATACTTCAATATGCTGCAAGTGCGCCAATGTATATTCTGTTCTATGTTCTAATACCATGTGAATCACAGAATGATTGTTAATGTCGAGCGAGGGACATTCGATCATAGGTTTGTAATCAAACACTTTTTTTCCAATGTATGCAAAAACGCCGAGTTTAAGATTAAAGTGTCCTAATGATAAGAAACAATGCTTCTGTATTTATTCGTGTTGGGGAATTCCTAGGGGCTTTCCCAGAACTTTGCAAGTAGTCCGTCAGTATTTACGTCAATGAAGAAATAACGTCTCGTGAAAAACGTATGAACGTCAAAATGCGTCAGTCATGCTCTTATGAACGTCATGTTTCACTGTCATGTGACCGGTGTTTCGTCCAATGATATAGCCGTATATAGTGTAAACGTCACATTAGAATATACTGAGGGAAACAAATAAGGGAACACATTGAAAGTACACGTTCCTTTATTCTTTTCCAGGTTTCTTCGCATGCTTTGAGTTGCTCTGTGGGTGAAAATCTGGAAATGAATAAAGGAACAGTGTGATAAAGTGGTGTTCCCTTATTTGTTTCCCTCGGTATATTATGCGATGATGGCAGTTTTTCTCTCACCTTTATAGTAGTTGCATAGTAAGTCTCCCCCATGGCACGTGCGAAGCCGAAGTCGCACAGTTTGACGGTGCCGTCTTCCATGAGGAGGACGTTCTCGGGCTTCAGGTCTCGGTGTAGGATTCTGTTGGCGTGAAGGTAGAAGACGGCCGAGGATAGCTGACATGCAATCTCATGCACCTACATTGAAAGAGGCAGTCAGTTTGGTTTTCCTCAGTATTTCAGGGGACGGTGGGTTAGCCTAGTGGTTAAAGCGTTCGCTCGTCACGCCGAATACCCGGGTTCGATTCCCCACATGGGTACAATGTGGGAAGCCCATTTCTGGTGTCCTCCGCTGTGATATTGCTGGAATAGTGCTAAAAGCGGCGTAAAACCATACTCTATCACTCGGTGTTTATGTTTTACAAGAGTATGACATCGCGAGAAGGCCATGATGTAGACTAGTGGTTAAACTGTTGGACTGTCACGCCGAAAACCCGGGTTCGATTCCCAAAATGGGTACAATGTGGGAAGCAAATTTCTGGTGTCCCCCGCCGTGATATGACTGAAATATTGGTAAAAGCGGCGTACAAGCCCACTTAATACTAGTATATGAGGCAAGTCGTGGACGGTTATCAGTTTGCACGGGGGTGCTACAAACAAACCAAGGGTCATATATTAGGGAGAGTCTGGGATTCGAACCCCCAACACGGCGAAAGGGCACAGCTCTTAACTTTGTCCTGCGAAGGACAATGTATGACAAGGGACATTTTAGGACATAAGGTCTACATACATGTAATTGAAGAAATGAACAAAACATAAATCTGGATTAGACTTTGCTCATCTCAATACCTGTACCTTTTGGGCTTATAACAACACTAAAAGTATAGGTAATGTTTAAATGGGTCAAAAAGGCTAATTACGGTAGTTTTTCGGAAGCGTTTTCCTTTTATTTGGACACGAGAAAATCTTTGTTAAGTGAGTGAGTGAGTGAGTCTGGTTTTACGCCGCTTTTAGCAGCCGACAACAGAAATCGGCTTCACACATTGTGGGGAATCGAACCCGGGTCTTCGGCGTGACGAGCGGACGCTTTAACCACTAGGCTACCCTACCGGCACCATTTATTATTTACAGTGATAATAACATTACCGTACGTGAGTGACCCATGCTTGCCGAAACAGGCGACTATTCTTGTCTTAAGAGGCGACTAACGGGATTATTTACAGACCGCCGTCATATAGCTGAAATATTGCTGAGTGCGGCGTTAAACAACAACAAAAAAGAATATAGTATGCTGCAACATTCTAGTCAGGATAACATTCTTTCGTGACTAAATAAAATTTAAAAAAAACACCAAAAAAAACATTCTTTCGTACTTTTTAATGACGACATTCTTTAGCTATTAAGGCTGGTGTCGCCGAGATCATGAAAACATTATAGCAAAATCGTCCCCAGAAACATACGGGAGAGTGGGAGAAACATATGACAGTTCATAGACTTCAACTTACAGTCCGTTTGCAGCAATATCGTACCGATGAAATGCAAAATAGATATAAACCCACAAGCAACTATCAGCCAAATTATTACTTCAGTTGGCAGTAACAGTGACAGTGACAATGGAAATATTTCAGAATAAAGGTTTTGAGACTATCCCTGTGTTCCGCAATGCCTTTCCGCTGTTATGTTTCTTGCGCAGCCCCCCTTGTAACAACAGGCATTGAAACACCAACAATTACATGATAGTTTGTTAAACAACTTTTTCTACACTTCATGACCGTGGCTGAAATTATGGTGACGAGTTGGTATGGACAAATAAATAACTTGCATGCCATTTAAGACGAATTGTTGCTTTCGCATTTCATCTGTACGATTTTGCAGTGAACAGACTATAATGTCTGATATCAGCGCGTAACTTCACATTGTCTGAAGCTGCAGTACAATGTAAGTATGTTGAGGGACCTGAGGTCATATGCCGTCAAAAGTTATCTCCCTTGTTTAAGTCACGTAGATGCACATGACACTTGTTACAAGACACAGAACATGCCAGCCTGGTTCACTCGTGTAGCGCAAGCGCAGCCAATCAAGGGAACCAGGCTGTCAGATATGCTGGTCTGAATTCGTCGCTAATTCGTGCTGAGCATTTCAAACCCTCGATGCTAATTGGCTGATAAAGCGACCAATAGGGTGTTCTCGGTGAGTAAAAGGTTATTTTATTTAGATTGCGCCTTACATGTCCAGTATTTCTTTGACAACAGTGATATGATTGCCGCCCTTAATATGTTCTTTACTAATAGTTTTATCACAATACTCAATTGTAGTTTTCACAAGTTTACTGTACCCTTTTTTCTGGAAAGCACCCAGCAGCGACGAGTGTTTTGTACAGCTCTTTAGAAGCACACTCCGTGGCCACGACCAACTGAAGAAGATAACACACAGTCATGTCATTGTGTGTGTGTATAGTGTGTATATGCGTGCATGTATGTAGGGGGAGAGGGAGGGATGTAGTGTTTGTGTGTGTTTGTGTGTGTGTGTGTGTGTGAGAGAGAGAGAGAGAGAGAGAGAGAGCGACTGAGAGAGTATGTGTATGAGAGAGAGAATGTGTGTGAGAGAGAGAGAGAGAGAGAGAGAGAGAGTGTGTGTGTGTGTGTGTGTGTGTGTGTGTGTGTGTGTGTGTGTGACAAACTTCCTAACTTAATATTTAACATTGTGTTGGTTTATGTCTTGATTTATCTTATTCTGATCTATGACTTTATACATATATGCTTATATGGCTTAAATGACATACTGTTCAGAGCGGCCGTAAAATAATACGTATTTATAAGAATTACAGCAACAAAGCGATACTACATTAAAGTTTTGTTTTGCATGCTTTCGTTTCGATATTCATATTTTTCTTCAGAATGTGCATTTGTGGACAACATGGCGTGTATTTGTGGACAACCTGGCGTGTATTTGTGGACAACATGACGTTTACTTGAGGACAACATGACGTGTACTTGAGGACAACATGACGTGTATTTGTGGACAATATGGCGTGTATTTGTGGACAACATGGCGTGTACTTGAGGACAACTTGGCGTGTATTTGTGGACAATATGGCGTGTATTTGTGTACAACATGACGTGTATTTGTGGACAACATGATGTGTATTTGTGTACAACATGGCGTGTACTTGAGGACAACATGGCGTGTATTTGTGGACAATATGGCGTGTATTTGTGGACAACATGGCGTGTACTTGAGGACAACTTGGCGTGTATTTGTGGACAATATGGCGTGTATTTGTGTACAACATGATGTGTATTTGTGGACAACATGACGTTTACTTGAGGACAACATGGCGTGTATTTGTGGACAACATGATGTGTACTTGAGGACAACATGACATGTATTTGTGGACAACATGATGTGTACTTGAGGACAACATGACGTGTATTTGTGGACAACATGATGTGTACTTGAGGACAACATGACGTGTATTTGTGGACAATATGACGTGTATTTGTGGACAACATGACGTTTACCTCAGGAAAACATGACGTGTACTTGAGGACAACCTGGCGTGTATTTGTGGACAACATGATGTGTACTTGAGGACAACATGACGTGTATTTGTGGACAACATGATGTGTACTTGAGGACAACATGGCGTGTATTTGTGGACAACATGACGTTTACTTGAGGACAACCTGGCATGTACTTGAGGACAACTTGGCGTGTATTTGTGGACAACATGATGTGTACTTGAGGACAACATGACGTGTATTTGTGGACAACCTGGCGTGTATTTGTGGACAACATGATGTGTACTTGAGGACAACATGACGTGTACTTGAGGACAACATGACGTGTACTTGAGGACAATATGGCGTGTATTTGTGGACAACATGATGTGTACTTGAGGACAACATGACGTGTATTTGTGGACAACATGATGTGTACTTGAGGACAACCTGGCGTGTATTTGTGGACAACATGATGTGTACTTGAGGACAACCTGGCATGTACTTGAGGACAACTTGGCGTGTATTTGTGGACAACATGATGTGTACTTGAGGACAACATGACGTGTATTTGTGGACAACCTGGCGTGTATTTGTGGACAACATGACGTGTATTTGAGGACAACATGACGTGTACTTGTGGACAACATGATGTGTACTTGAGGACAACCTGGCATGTATTTGTGGACAACATGATGTGTACTTGAGGACAACCTGGCGTGTATTTGTGGACAACATGATGTGTACTTGAGGACAACATGACGTGTACTTGAGGACAACATGACGTGTACTTGAGGACAATATGGCGTGTATTTGTGGACAACATGATGTGTACTTGAGGACAACATGACGTGTATTTGTGGACAACATGATGTGTACTTGAGGACAACCTGGCGTGTATTTGTGGACAACATGATGTGTACTTGAGGACAACATGGCGTGTATTTGTGTACAACATGGCATGTACTTGAGGACAACATGGCGTGTATTTGTGGACAACCTGGCGTGTATTTGTGGACAACATGATGTGTACTTGAGGACAACATGACGTGTATTTGTGGACAACATGGCGTGTATTTGTGGACAACATGATGTGTACTTGAGGACAACATGACGTGTATTTGTGGACAACATGATGTGTACTTGAGGACAACATGGCGTGTATATGTGGACAACATGATGTGTACTTGAGGACAACATGATGTGTACTTGAGGACAACATGGCATGTACTTGAGGACAACTTGACGTTTACTTGAGGACAACATGACGTGTACTTGAGGACAACTTGGCGTGTATTTGTGGACAACATGACGTTTACTTGAGGACAACTTGGCGTGTATTTGTGGACAACATGACGTTTACTTGAGGACAACATGACGTGTATTTGTGGACAACATGGCGTGTACTTGAGGACAACATGATGTGTATTTGTGTACAACATGGCTATACTTGAGGACAACTTGGCGTGTATTTGTGGACAACATGACGTGTACTTGAGGACAACTTGGCGTGTATTTGTGGACAACATGACGTGTATTTGTAGACAACATGACGTGTATTTGTGGACAACATGACGTGTATTTGTAGACAACATGACGTGTATTTGTAGACAACATGACGTGTATTTGTGGACAACATGGCGTGTACTTGTGGACAACATGACGTGTATTTGTGGACAACATGACGTGTATTTGTGGACAACATGACGTGTATTTGTGGACAACATGACGTGTATTTGTGGACAACATGACGTGTATTTGTGGACAACATGACGTGTATATGTGGACAACATGACGTGTATATGTGGACAACATGGTGTGTATTTGTGGACAACATGACGTGTATATGTGGACAACATGACGTGTATATGTGGACAACATGACGTGTATATGTGGACAACATGACGTGTATTTGTGGACAACATGACGTGTATTTGTGGACAACATGACGTGTATTTGTGGACAACATGACGTGTATATGTGGACAACATGACGTGTATTTGTGGACAACATGACGTGTATATGTGGACAACATGACGTGTATTTGTGGACAACATGACGTTTACTTGAGGACAACATGACGTGTATATGTGGACAACATGACGTGTATATGTGGACAACATGGCGTGTATTTGTGGACAACATGGCGTGTATATGTGGACAACATGACGTGTATTTGTGGACAACATGATGTGTATTTGTGGACAACATGGCGTGTACTTGTGGACAACATGGCGTGTATTTGTGGACAACATGACGTGTACTTGAGGACAACATGACGTGTATTTGTGGACAACATGACGTGTACTTGAGGACAACATGACGTGTACTTGAGGACAACATGACGTGTATTTGTGGACAATATGGCGTGTATTTGAGGACAACATGACGGGTACTTGTGGACAACATGACGTTTACTTGTGGACAACATGACGTGTATTTGTGGACAACATGGCGTGTACTTGAGGACAACATTACGTTTACTTGTGGACAACATGACGTGTACTTGAGGACAACATGACGTTTACTTGTGGACAACATGACGTTTACTTGTGGACAACATGGCGTGTACTTGAGGACAACATGACGTTTACTTGTGGACAACATGACGTTTACTTGTGGACAACATGACGTTTACTTGTGGACAACATGACGTTTACTTGTGGACAACATGACGTGTACTTGAGGACAACATGACGTGTACTTGAGGACAACATGACGTTTACTTGTGGACAACATGACGTTTACTTGTGGACAACATGACGTTTACTTGTGGACAACATGACGTGTACTTGAGGACAACATGACGTTTACTTGAGGACAACATGACGTTTACTTGTGGACAACATGGCGTGTACTTGAGGACAACATGACGTGTATTTGTGGACAATATGGCGTGTATTTGAGGACAACATGACGGGTACTTGTGGACAACATGGCGTGTACTTGAGGACAACATGACGTTTACTTGTGGACAACATGACGTGTACTTGAGGACAACATGACGTGTATTTGTGGACAATATGGCGTGTATTTGAGGACAACATGACGGGTACTTGTGGACAACATGGCGTGTACTTGAGGACAACATGGCGTGTATACGTACGTATCCCGGAATCTCATAGGAGTCGAGCAGCTTGATGATGTGTGGGTGGTTGACCTTCTGCATGATGAGGATCTCATTCCGCACGTCATTCATCTCCTTCTTGGACCTGTAGGAGGAGATGTACTTCAGAGCGCAAATCTGTAACACAAGACTCCAGTTGGTATGTTTGTTGTTTGAGTTGGTTCAACTACGAAATAAACATGAGGTGAGGTGAGGTGAGGTGAAATGGGGTTTAACGTCGCGTCCAAGATTATTGCACCTTAATGCCGAGCGCCAGACAGGGTAACATCAAGTACCATCTTTTAATATAACGTCTTTTGGTATGACGCGGCCGGGGATCGAACCCCTGACCTTCCGCTCTCCGGGCGGACGCCCTACCACTAGACCACGGAGGCGGTCAATAAACATATGAGCGCATGTGGTCCAGACGAATGAACATAACGGGAAGATAGACGGGTAGAACTAATGCTTCAGTTTGTAGTTTACTTGTGCATGGAGCGGAAGGTCGGTGGTTACAAAAAGAAGTTAAAAGGTTGTTGTTGCCCTGCCTGATTCTCGGCTTTAAGGGGCTAAAACAAGGACTGGTCGGCTCGGAGTCTGCATACTGTGTCTGACTGGGGTATCCATGTCAAACTGCAGCATGGTTTCTCAGTGGGCTAGCACTATAAAACCGACATTAGTCCGGGCTAGCATCAGCAACCACACACACACACACAACGAATATACACGTGGCTATGTAAGTGCAATAATCTTGAACGCGACGTTAACCCCATTTCACCCCACCATTTACTAAACCACTGCCTAAGAGGCGACTAACGGGTTCGGGAGGTCAGGCCGATTTGGTTGATGCGAGTCATCTTATCCCAATTGCGTAGATCGATGCTCATGATCTCAATCACAGGATTGTCTGGCCCAAATTCGATTATTTACAGACCACCGTCGTGTAACTGGAATAATGCTGAGTGCGGCGTTACAAAAAAAAACACACCCAAAAAACAACATTACCTCCCCTGATCCACCCCTCTTCCTCCCCTTGTACACGTCACCATAGGCGCCACTCCCTATCTGCTCCAGCGTCTCGTACCGCTCGTCCTGCATCCTGGCTGCACCGTCCTGGGGAGAAAACACACACCATCCATCTTACTGTCATATTTCAATGGGAAACGAAAAAAATACACCTGAATAAAGGAAAGCACCACCCGTTCTTCACTTTCAAATGTCCATGTATCTTTAATTTGATATATACCTACAAATGAACTTGATCACATGTTGGGAAGACCCGGGAAAATCCGTGGTAGAATAGATCTTCAGCAACCCATGTATGCCGTAAAAGGTGACTGAGTTTGTCGTAGGAGGCGACTAACGGGATCGGGTGGTCAGGCTCGCTGACTTTGTTGAAACATGTCATCGATCCCAATTGCGCTAATCGATGCTCATGATATCAAACACTGGATTGTCTTGTCCAGACTCAATTATTTACAGACCGCCGTCATATAGCTGGAATATTGCTGAATGCGGCGTAAAACAACCAACGAACTAGGTTGATGCATGTCATCGTATCCCAATTTCGTGGATCAATGTTCATGGTGTCAATCACTGCATTGTCTGGCCCAGGCTCGATTATTTACAGACCGCCGTCATACAGCTGGAATGTTGCTGAGTGCGGCGTTCAACAACAAACAAACAAACGAAACATCTTGAGAAACATTGCTAAACAGCAGCGACTTACAGACTGAGTTCTTCAGGTCATATATGATGCAACGAGTGTGAGTGAGTGGGTTGGGTTTAACGCCGCTTTTAACATTATTCCAGTCATATCACGGCTTGTCAGTTAAATGTGAGAGGAAAGCCCGAAGTGACGCGCGCAGGTCTCAGACGTTTACCTCTTCGGGTATGGTGCTGACAAACCTAGAAACATAATCGGGTCGAACCGGAATTCGAACCCACAATCATAGGTTTCTGGCGAACCCACAATCATAGGTTTCCGGCGTGCCCAAGGGCGCAACTCTGCACAGGGAATCGCGGCGCCTTAGACTGGGCCACGAAGCGAGGAAGGAGTTGAAAGGACAGTCAATACACCATCACCACGAAGTAGTTAAAACATGACATTTCAAGATTTCGGTTTCTGTAATTCAGTATTTATGATATGTTGATGACTATGCTTTCATCTTGTACATTTTGTTGTTTAACGCCGCGTTCAACTATATTACAACCATATAACGGCTGTCTTCAAATAATCGAGTGTTGATCAGATAATCCATCTCATACGGGGCGGTGAGGTAGCCTTGTGGTTAAAGCGTCCGTGTATTACCCTAAAGCCCGGGTTTGATTCCCCACATAAGTACCATGTGTGAAGCCCATTTCTGGTGTCCCCCGTCGTAATATTGCTGGAATATTGATACAAGTGGCATAAAAGACAATTCACTCACTCATACGTCACTATATATTATAACATCGATCTGTTGTTTCTATTAATAAGACTTAAAATATTTACTAAACTGTACTAGTAAAAAGGAATGGATGAATTCAACAGGAACGCATACGGTATATATTTCATTCGGCAACTCTATTTAATAAGTAGGGGCGGTCGGGTAGCCTAGTGGTTTAAGCGTTCGCCCGTCACGCCGAAGACCCGGGTTCAATGGGTACAATGTGTGAAGCCCATTTCTGGTGTCCCACCCCCCACCCCCTGAAATTGCTGGAATATTGCTAAAAGCGGCATATTTTTTTTATTATAAGACCCATAAGGAAAGTCGAACAGCGTATATTGATGTGATCCACGTCACTATCAACGCACGAACCCTTGGATTTGGTCAAATCATCAAACACTGTCTCCGTCATTTACCTTACAAATACTACGTGATATTAACAATTACATTTTGACGTGAATCATTTCTAAAAACATGTAAGAATTCTATTTATATGACAGGGAAAACGCAATTCGCATGAACTATTTATATCTACAACACATTGTGACGGTCGTTTTCTTCAGCAATGATCCTTCCCGTGAATTCAACACGTCAGTACTTACGGCTTCACCTCTAGTAGAGACCTAGATCAACTGGATAAAGGGTATTTTACTTATCCACAGCGCAGATACCAGTCTTTAACGCGCGTAATAACAACGATTGGGGATATTATCAACACCTGAAGAGTATTAGCGAGTCTTATCGTGTACACAGTTTTGACATAGAGAATATAAGTGTTTCACACACGTACTCTTAATTCTAAGGTTACAAGAGGGAACAAACAACAAATTAGTCATATATTGTTCATTAATCTAAATGATCACGTCTTAATAAAGTATATTTGTTCCAGGAAACAAGTATAATCAGTGATTAAGTCTAATAACTGGAAATTTCAGTGATTATGTCTAATAACTGATTCACTCGGTGGTTATGTCTAATTACTGAAATACCATTTTATGAAATAAAAGATTGAACTGTTTAGGCTTATTTCTGTGTTTTTTGTGTAAGGTATCTGGTTACAGGAGGTTGTATTTACTTTGATAGCTAATCTAATTTCAAAACTAGCTCACATTATAAAAACAAGGCAGGAATATGCTTTCAGTAAACAAGTATAAAATCCCTTGGTTCATTTCAGTGATTATGTCTAATTACTGAAGATTTCAGTAATTAGATATACATGTAACCACCGAGTGAATCAGTTATTAGACATAATGACTGAAATTTTCAGTCATTAGACTTAATCACTGATTATACTTGTTTCCTGTAACATATATACTTTTGATCGCTTTGTGAATCAGGAACAGGGTATTTAGAAGACCGTATATATATTTAGATAAAGTAAAAAGGCTTGTCACAGTGAAAGATGACTGTATGCGTATTTATGTCTTACCGTTTCAATGGAAAACAGTTGTCCTCTGTAGTATAACGCGAGAATGTGTTACTGTAAACAGTCCTCGGCGGATATGCACTGTATCTCCTCGCGTTTGTATTCCCACTGGTCAATGTATTCATGAAATATTATCTCACTACCGCGTCTAGTCGCTATTCTTGGGCCTGACACGTACATCAAGTTTGACTGTTACGGGGGACCCGTGAAGATCCGGGTTTGAATAAGGGGCCTGAAGTTAGCAGCGGGTTCGTTATTCGTTTTTCGAATAACGAAAAGCAAGCCAGCACCAGGTTCGTTATTCAAAGGCTGTATATTAAACAACTACAGTGATGTGGTCAAATACACTGAAACTCATTTAATATGTGACAGCAGGTTCGTCTTACATCATCCAAAAGCTGTTTAGTTATTCAGTATTTTTGAATAACGAAAAACAAACCAGCATACTCGACTATTTACATACCGCCGTCATATAGCTGGGATATTGCTGAGTAGGGCGTTAAACAACAAACTAATGACTACGAGTAAAACGTACAGCATAAACATTAAATTGTGATTTATCGCACTTATTCTGTCTCTGTACCCACATGCATCAGTAAAGTGAGATAAGTAGCTGAAAAGAACACGGTAAATCCATGCTTTGTTTCAGGTTTCTTGAAAACTACGGGTCGAGGTTAGAAATGAGAACACCAATTTTAGAAAATATATATTAAAGTCATCTATTCACAGTTTGACAAAACTAAAAATTCAGTATTTCGTTACTTCACATTTACGGTTTATTCAGGGTAAGGATAAGGCGGTTAGACTCGGAATAAAGAAAATAAAATTATTTGGTTCTAAACATGTCTATGCAAATCCGTAAACCAATTAATAATAATGTAACCGCTTGGAGCTATTTAAAAAATATTGTCATTGTTATCTTCACATATTATCGTAACTAAATTGATAACATCGAAAATAGCTTTCTCTAATTTGGTAACTGTAAGGTGGAGACCAAGGGATTAAAGGCATCAGTGATTTTATGCCTTTACAAATAACGAGGAAACATGTGGAATGTCTACTCTGATATAGTTCCACACAGTGTGACGGTCTTATAGGTGAATTGAGGTGGCCAGAGTAAGCAACGTAAAGCAACGCGATGCCCCCTACCCACCAAAGAAATAAATTTAAAAAATAATAAAAATTAAAAATAATAATGAATTAATGACATATACGGTGTATATATACTTAAAAAATAATAAAATCAAATATAAAGTAAATTACGTTTATAACGAACACGCTTATTGGCATATATTTATGTATTTGCTGTATATATGCTTATAACGAACTACGGTTATACCGAACTAGAAGCAGCGGTCTCTTTGAGTTCGTTATATCAGTAGTATACTGTATAATACAAAAAAAATATAGGAAAAGAAATGAAAAGGGTTAAAACAGAAAACATTTTGTGAACCACAAGTTGTCCTTATTATACAAGATAGTAAGGAAACAAGATACGAGTTATTGTGTTCGCATTTGTAATATAAAGAATGAAAGAATAAAATCAGCGTGTTTCTACCTGGGGCTACAAGGTGGGCTGTAAGTATACCAACACGTACCCTGCCGTCGCCAGTCTTAAATCTACTCCTGTCCAGGTAAACAACAATACCAGTGAGGTCACGACCAGGTCAAGGATCATTAGAGAGGACTGGCTGGATTAATCAATAACTTACAGCCACTCTGGTGTGTTAATTGTACCTGGGGCTTCTTAGTGCATTATATGCCTCACACCTCGGAGCGTTGTCTACTTGATAACGGTCACTTCAACCAGGTCAGGTACACTACGTGTATTCACTCTCCATGTCAACACATAAGGGGAGTGAGTGAGTATGGTTTTACGCCGCTTTTAGCAATATTCCAGCAACACCACGGCGGGGGACACCACAAATGGGCTTCACACATTGTACCCATGTCGGGAATCGAACCCGGGTCTTCGGTATGACGAGCGAATGCTTTAACCACTGGGCTACCCGACCGCCCCCAACGTATAAGGAGAACTACAGGTAACTGATTGAATACATACATCATCCTAACACAAAATATATCTTATTTAAATGAGGGACGACTTCTTTAAAACAATGGGTCGAGGCTAGAAATGGGAATGTAAATTGAATAAAATATATAAAATTGATCTGTGTGTATGTGACATTTTTAAAACAATGGGTCGAGGTTAGAAATGGGAATGTAAATTGAATAAAATATATAAAATTGATCTGTGTGTGTGTGTGTGTGTGTGTGTGTGTGTGTGTGTGTGTGTGTGTGTGTGTGTGGCTTCTTTAAAACAATGGGTCGAGGCTAGAAATGGGAATGTAAATTGAATATAATATATAAAATTGATCTCTCTCTCTCTGTGACTTCTTTAAAACAATGGGTCGAGGCTAGAACTGACAATGTAAATCGAAGAAAAGATATAATATTGATCTCTCTCTGTGTGTGTGTGTGTGTGTGTGTGTGTGTGTGTGTGTGTGTGTGTAGGGGTTGGGGGGCAGGGTGATGGGTAATCGCCCTCTTTTTTCAGTCCCTTCGGGTGTTTTCTATTCACATCACGCGGCACTAAGCAATATTCCATCTATATGAGATGGATCGGGTTTTGTTTCCTGTTAAAATCAGGGCTACTTGTATTCAGTTCTGTAAAGACCCCGACGATTCCAATTATTCCGTACATTAATAGTCCACATATTTTGACATTAATACACTATTAACCATGTAAATATTGACCCAAATAACACCACGATCATTTCATACCACTGACTGAACCGATCTGAACCATTGAATACAAGCTTACAAATACCTCGTGTCTGTCCAAATGGAAAGCCACGCGGGTGAACGCGAAGCAGTAAGAGGAATTCCCCAAGAGCTTGTCAAGCTCACGTAACGCCATACACAGCCTGGGCGAGGCCGTGACTCACTTGATAGCGACCAAAGCGGCTTGATCAGACAGGTATACCTGTACAGGTAGGTATAACGGAAAACAGAGTACCCGAGTGAGGACGGAGCTACGCTACACACAGGTAAGTGCAACTGTAAGCTCTGCTTACTGCTTGTTCAGTGCTATGCTGGATTAAGGGTGACTGCTGCCTATATTACCTTGTCAGGAGCTTGAGGAACTAATGTTGACGTACATGGTATAGGTGTGTGGAAGTCATGTGTATATGAACTGTTTACTGTTTACTGACAGTAAATGCTATCAACGGTACTGTATTGTTTCATCTAGATTGTCATAACTGCCCTAATAGGATAACATCATTTATTAGATCAAAAATTACCCTGGTAAGATAACACCAGTTATTATATAGATCGCTGAAACAGATCATGAGATCATAAAAATAGCAACTGACAATTATTATAAATAAGTATACCTCTGATCTATGACATAATACATGGTGTGACGTCTCTAGTAATACAGACTTTATGGTCATATAGTTTATCTCGACAGAGAAGAGAAGGGTTGATAAGATAGTGAAGAAGCTACTCACGGGTTTTGCAACGACGCCAATATGTCGGTCACCTGGGTCCGGAAGTGGAGACAGTGAGACTACTTCATTCACGATAAGCGATTGCTGATCCTTTAAAACGCTACTGTGTCACGTTGACATCGCTGATCGAGATTTGTTATATCCAGAGCTGTGAGCGAGACCTGCAGAGGTATTGTAAATGCAAGTAGTCACAACATTGAATCAGCCATGCTTGCCATGTGACCTCTGACATTCAATGTGAAGGACGTCATTATCAGAGCATGGCTGTATACACTATCTGTGAACAGGCTGAGCGAGGCTGGTTATGTCCTAAGTACACTGTGTTCAGTCGACAGGTATTCATATGGCTCAGGTCGGCGGAGGTTTGTGTGTTTGTTGTAAATGTTGTTGTACATACGCGTGTTTTACCTGTAGTTGTTATGACGACGTAAGGGGCGTGGTCTGTTACAGGTGTGACGATGTCCGAGGATAAGTACGAGAGGTTGAAGAGGATCGGCGGGGGGTCTTATGGCGAGGTATACAAGGGCAGGAGACGGGACAACAAGGACAAGGTATGTCAAGGAAACTCAACAATATAACTATACATATGTAGACGCGGTCGAGAGTGAGTGAATTTGTTTTTACGCCGCTCTGAATAGTGAGTGAGAGAGTATGGTTTTACGCCGCTTTTAGCAATATTCCAGCAATATCACGACACCAGAAATGGCCGCTCTGAATAGCATTTCAGTTATGTCAGGTCGTGTTAACTTTATTTGGGTGCACATACCGAAGTAACGCAGGTTGTTTGTCGTTAACGCCGCTCTCAATATTCAAGCTATATCGACGGTATGTAGATTATCGAGTCCAGACCGGTGATTGACATCATGAGCATCGATCGACACAGTTGGGATACGAAGCATGAACCAAGTCAGCTAACCTGACCACCTATTCCCGTCAGTCGCTGCTAATGACAAGCACGGGTTGCTGAAGACCAATTCTAACCCGGGTCTTCACGGGGTAGTGATGCAGATCTTAGGCGTTTCCCAAGTTGGTGAAACCCTCGAATATGGGTATGTTGCTGACAAACCCTAGAACCAATGTGGCACTGGATCTAACAAGGAGAACTCAGCAAAGCGAATCCTGGCACCTCAGACTACTGGGCCCACTTGCACAAAGCAATCTTAGCGCTACGACTATTGTAAGCATATGTTAAAGCATGGGAGTTACGATCATCTTAGCGCTAAGATCGCTTTGTGCAAGTGGGCCCTGGGCCGCCCGTGTTCCCACAAATGTCAGCCGCCAGTAGGACGGCAGAATCTGAGGTCAGAGGCGCTGTAATTCCCCCATAACGTGGACCGTGTCTCACTGACTGGTTTGTCTGGTCCAGACTCGAATATTTCACCGTGATACAGGTGGACTTTGCAGACGGTGGCGTTAAAAAGAGTGTCATGTCTTGTTGAAGAATCCAGGCCGGTTGCCGTCTTGTACAAACCCGGCCTGCACGAATATTATGAGTGAGTGAGTGAGTTGGGTTTAACGCCGCTTTTAACAGTATTACAGTTATATCGCGGCGTGTCAGCTTCATGTGGGAGGAAAGCCCGAAGTGATGCAGGTCTCAGACGTTTACCACTTCGGTGAAACCCACGAGCACGGGTATGGTGCTGACAACCTAGAAACATAATCGGGGCGAACCGGGATTCGAACCCACAATCATAGGTTTCTGGCGTGCCCAAGGGACGCAACTCTGCACAGCGAATCGTGGCGCCTTAGGCGACTGGGCCACCCGTGCCCCCCGAATATTATGACGTCATCATGTTATAATGTTAACGTCACAGTTGACCTCGTATCATACTTCGTGTTAACTACTGAAAGTTCCATGGCGATTACAAGGCGTTTGTTTCACCACAGGACCATGTAGCTAATAATGGTAACAAAAAGCCCGTAGGCCGAGCCTCGTCTGAAACATTCTTTGTATCGTGTGAACTGCTAATGATAGGCGAGGCGAGGTGAATCGGGGCTAAACGTCGCATGTGCGCAACATGATTATCATGATTACCCCACTCAGACACATTATATACAGATGTAGGCAGGGTTAACCGAACACCAGGCTGGGTAACAACAAGTACCATCTTTTAACGTCTTTTCGTTTGACACGATCGAGTATCGCATCATCAACCTTCCGCTCCCCTGGCTAACACGCTATCCACAAGACCACCTGGGTGGGCTGGTAATGATAAATTCTTTATAATAATGGGGAGTATGGGAGTTTTACGAGCTGGATGTTCGTGTACGACCCTCAGCCTTCAGTCTCGGGGTGTATAAGTTTATTGATACATTGAACTCATTATTCACTCACTATTTTGAAATGTGTTTTTGTGCATGCTGTGAATATCAGGTTTATATCTATTCCGTGTTTCTAGGTGTGCGCCCTCAAGTACATCTCCAAGAACATGACAGCCAAACACATCAAGGATGCTCGGAACGAGATCCTCATCCAGGGGAGACTGCGACATCCACACATCATACAACTGCTGGACAACTTCGAGACGGACAAACACGTAGGTTTAGTACCAGTGCACCCTTAAACCTTTGCCATTCAGTATTAACGTCCACCGAGGCATTATCAGGGCCGTCCCCGTGGGGACCCAGGTTGAATATTTTTGTTTGTTTCTTTCTTTCCTTGTTGTTTAACGCCGCACTCAGCAATATTCCAGCTATATGACGGCGGTCTGTAAATAATCGAGTCTGGACCAGACAATCCAGTGATTGATATCAAGAGCATGGGATACGATGACGTGCGTCAAGCCAAGTCAGCGAGTCTGACCACCCGATCCCGTTAGTCGCCTCTTACGACAAGCATGGGTTGCTGTAGACCTATTCTAAACCGGATCTTCACGAGTAGGTAGAATAATGGGTCTGCAGGACTCATTTGCTTGTAAGAGACGATTAAATTGGACCGGGTTGTCCACTCAGGTACTTTGCTGGTTGCGTGTCATCGTACTCGGCGTGGGACGCTGCTCAGAATCTCAATCTCTGGTTTGCTTACTACGTGTGAATAATATAACATATTCCGTATTCGACGTAATAAGCGCCGAGGGCGCTCTCGAAATTAGCAATAGGGGGCTCTTAATAGAATATAATTTTGGTGAGAAAAAAAGCAGAGTTGAAAAATCGTAAATTTCATGGTTTATGCTGACAGCCTGAAATGATACAAAAATGTATGTGCGTATTATACACGACAGGTATATTTTCCAGAATTTAATTGCCCATAATTAAGGGTGCATATTAAACAAGAGTGCGTATTGTACACGAATAAATAAGTTTTGTGTTCATTGATCAATCGGAAGGGGTGCTAATTGGGATTGTTCACTAGCCAATCTATTAGCAAATTTCGCCGTGGGCGCTTATATATTACGTCGATTACGTTAATTGTTTAACAAATAGTGAACTGTTTCAAACCTAATCTTCTTGTATAATAATACCCGTGAACTGTTTCAATCATAGCCTTCTTGTGTAACAATACACTTTTAGTCTTCACTGTCTTCTGTGAAAAACTCCAAACTCATTAAAATCAGATGTGTTCAGCGATAGCGAGAACTAAGACCTGATGTTAATGAGATTGGTAATACTGTATATTAGTGCCCATTGCTACATGTAGATATGTTTTCAGATCGTGCTTGTGTTTGAGTACGCTGTAAAGGAGTTGTTCCGAGCTATGAGGGCAGAGCCGAAGGGGAGATTCAAAGAAGACAAGGTGCGTTATAGAGTTCGTCCATGGCATTATTAATACATTAAAACATTGTTAACTCGAAAGACATATGTATCAAAGAGGGTTAAAGTAAAACCTCGATAACTCGATTAAATAAACGTCTAATACACAAGTAATCCGTAGTTCGGTACAAGCGGAGTAATGATGATTAAATAAACGTCTAATACACAAGTAATCCGCAGTTCGGTACAAGCGGAGTAATGATGATTAAATAAACGTCTAATACACAAGAAATCCGCAGTACGGTACAAGCGGAGTAATGATGATTAAATAAACGTCTAATACACAAGTAATCCGTAGTTCGGTACAAGCGGAGTATTGATGATTAAATAAACGTCTAATACACAAGTAATCCGTAGTTCGGTACAAGCGGAGTAATGATGATTAAATAAACGTCTAATACACAAGTAATCCGTAGTTCGGTACAAGCGGAGTAATGATGATTAAATAAGCGTCTAATACACAAGTAATCCGTAGTTCGGTACAAGCGGAGTAATGATGATTAAATAAACGTCTAATACACGAGTAATCCGTAGTTCGGTACAAGCGGAGTAACGATAGTAGATTACATATAGATTCATAATGGTGGAGACTACTGTTTGGGTTTGAGTAAACGAGGCGTAACCAATGTGTAGGGGGTTGCGTTCTTCATCTTGAGCAACACACATATATGATTTTGTAGAAAGGTGTATGATCTTGTACCCTGCTGATAGAATTCATAATGAAATCGACGGCTTCGTCGGACCGTTACAAAAAGTACATGTGTTAGTGATCATTAAATGGACATGCAGCTTTAAAAGGTACAAACGAAACCCTACTTGTTTGTGAGCTCGTTTTTGTCCTGACGTCACCATTTCTAATGAGCCAATGATTTACAAATTTTCGGATTAACGAATCGTTGTAATGTAACTTTAATCGATACATAAATTTTCAATTGTAATCGTCCAGATCCGAGGTTTCCGGACGAACCGTGTCAAGTTAAGAAGGCGACAGAACGGTCACGTATCATAAACAAATATAATCGTCTCGTGGTAGAGCGTCTGCCCAGAGAGTGGTTGGATCACCCGGAGAGCGGAAGGTCGGGGATTTGATCCCCGGCCGCGTCATACCAAAAGACGTTAAAAGATGGTTCTTGTTGTTACCCTGTCTGGCGCTCGGCATAAAGGGGCTAAAGCAAGGACTGGTCGGCTCTGAGTCAGTATACTGTGTCTAAGTCGGGTATTCATGTTAAGCTGCATGTTCATGTATGTCGCTATATAAGGGCAATAGTTTTGAACGCAACGTAAAACCCAGTTTCACGTCACCTACTTCGCCTTTTAAATACAGAAACCACCAGATTCAGTTAAATACATGCAATTCAGTGTCACGTTTATGTCACTAGTACGACAATAGGTGTCAGCTTGTTTGAATATATTCCTCTGTAACGAATACCTATTTGTTTGTTTGTTGTTTAACGCCGCCCTCAGCAATATTCCGGCTATATGACAGCGGTTCGTAAATAATCGAGTCTGGACCAGACAATCCAGTGATTGACATCATGAGCATCGATCCACACAATTGGGATCGATGACATGCATCAACCAAGTCAGCGAGCCTGACCACCCTCCTACGACAAGCATAGTCGCCTTTTAGGGCAAGCATGGGTTGCTGAAGACCTGTTCTACCCCGGATCTTTACGGGTCACCTGTTTGTTCGTGTGGCAGCGTTAAGCCTATCCCCTCTCTAAATGTTCCAGGTGCGTGCGATCTCGTGTCAGATATGTTCTGCACTGTATTACCTGCATTCCGAGAAGGTGCTGCACAGAGACCTCAAGCCACAGAACATCCTCGTAACCAAGGACGACACAATTAAGATTTGCGACTTTGGCTTTGCACGGATGATGGAAGAGAAATACTATGCAAGAACTATCCAGGTGAGCTAGTCACACTTCCTTATACTTGTGTCCACATGGTTTCAATGTGTGAAGCCCATTTCTGGTGTCCTCCGGCGTGATATTGCTGGAATATTGCTAAAAGCGGTGTAAATTCATACTCACTCACTCACTCATGAGTGTTTATACTCATGGATCTTCAAATCACAGTTTCCCCGTAAAAATATATCTTCAAGTTACAAATTATGGGTCATAAGAAAATTCAAAGACAATCGAAGCGGGAATTAATAAAGCAATTGTAATCTGACAATGACACCTTCAGGTGATCATAAAAAGTGTGCCATGACAAACTCTACCGGAAGTACCTCTTGTTAGCGTAGGCCAAGGTCACGAAGGAGTGAGTGAGTGAGTATGGTTTTACGCCGCTTTTAGCAGTATTCCAGCAATATCACGGCAGGGGACCCCAGAAATGGGAAACGTCTAAAAGAGAGCTTTTCGTCAAGGGAACTTTACTTTAAAGTGGGTTTTTTTTATTAACAGGGGACGCTGATCTACATGGCGCCGGAGCTGTTTGGTCATGAGGCCTATGTCCATTATACAGAGAAGGTGGACATCTGGTAAATATAACTATTACTAGCACAAGCCTAGAGTGAGTGAGTAGGAATAAGTCGTTTTGAATATAAATGTGAAAAACGATATAATAGACATGGAACTTAAAACAAAGAAAGCTACAAATTAGTGAGTGTGTGAGTTGGGTTTAACGCCGCTTTTAACAGTATTCCAGTCATATCGCGGCGTGTCAGCTTAATGTGGGAGGAAAGCCCGAAGTGATGCAGGTCTCAGACGTTTACCACTTCGGTGAAACCCACGAGCACGGGTATGGTGCTGACAAACCTAGAAACATAATCGGGGTGAACCGGGATTTGAACCCACAATCATAGGTTTCTGGCGTGCCCAAGGGACGCAACTCTGCACAGCGAATCGCGGCGCCTCAGACGGCTGGGCCACCCGTGCCCCCAGCTACAAATTAAACAAACCATGAAACAGTATAATGGCTTACCGTAACATCCACAAAAAGGAACTATTATATCCATCTACAATGGAAACATCCTTTCATTTGATGCGAAAATTGATGTGAGGGAATGAATTGGGTTTACCGCCGCCTTGACCAGCATTCAGCCATGTCACACTTCAGCAACCCATGCTTGTTGTAAGAGGCGACTATGCTTGCCGTAAAAGGTGACTATGCTTGTCGTAAAAGGCGACTGACGGAATCGGGTGGTCAGGCTCGCTGACTTGGTTGATGCATGTCATCGTGTCCCAATTGCCTGGATCGATGCTCACAACGTCAATCACTGGATTGTCTGGTCCAGACTCGACTATTTACAGACCCCCGTCATATAGCTGGAATATATTTAGTTATGGTGTCTTCAGTTGCCGTATACGGTGTCATATTAGGTTAGCAGACACCATAACGAATTTATTATGCCGAAAAGTTTACACTTTCTGCTAGCCATATCGCACATTTTGCCTTTGATCAGAGATTTTCTCATCGGTGCTACTGGCAAAGTGTTTGACAGCCATTGCTAATGTCAAAGGGAGACCACTCTTCAAACCTAAGAGGCCAAACCTTGTTGAATAATTTAAAAAAATCTTTATCAATGAAGTCACGAATGTGATCTAAAAACAGATTAATGTCCTTGCACATCTCAATTAATGATAGTAAAACACAAAACAGTGTCAAAAAAAACGAATTTCGGTACCAGCATTTCCATGTGAAATATGTGAGGTGGGTGTTGGAAAATCCAAGATGGCTGTTACTGACGGTATACGGTCTCATATTAGGTCAGTATCATCGATCTTGGATTTTTACTGACGGTAAACGGGCTCATGTGGGGTGAGTAGTTCTGCTCTCTGATTGGTCAATCTCACTTTGAGGCTTAATAATGCTGAGTGCGGCGTTAAACAACACACAAACAGTTTTTTCACGGCGTGACAGCTTGATGTTTGAGGAACGTGGTGCTAATATGATCGTAACTCACATACTTTAACATAGACGTTGCCAGTCCTATCCGTTCGATCGCTACGTGGAACGAGGCCCAGTTCTAAGACGTTTATAAATAGCAGAGTTGGCGCTGATAAACCTGGTAACAAACTGACCAAATCTGTGTCGATAATGTTATATATGGAAGGAAGTCTGACGAAGCCTACTTTTGTCGTTTCAGGGCTCTAGGGTGCATTATATACGAACTGTTTGTTGGTAAACGGCTATTTGAAACAAAAAGCTTAAAAGCTCTTTGTCAGCTTCATCGGTCTGTTCAACTCCCGAAGAAGATGAGCAGCAAGCTGACGGACCTGCTTCAGAAGCTGCTGGTGTGTGATCAACATAGCCGACTCAACTGGCCCAATATACTCAACCATCCGTGGTTTCACAATGGCATAGCAGGTAGGAATTAGACATCCCCTTCAACACGAATCGGGGTTATAATTGTGATACTTTGCCATAGGTAACTGTCAAGTAATGGTTCTCAAGGTATAGGAATATGGGGCCACCTTTGTGCCAATAAAACCTATGACGTAACATGACTTATATGACGGAAGAGCATTTGGGCTTGATTTGGCGATATACATGCACCTGTGGAAGTTTTTATTCAATCTCATAGAAATCAGATCTTAGTTCTCGCTACCGCCAAACAAAGATTTGAGGACATCCCATTAGGGGTCACGTCAGAACGACCTTTCATCCGACCAATCAGAGCGTCGCTTACCAGATCGTGAAAGTGACATTCGGAATGTGAATTCTAAGAATGTAACCTCGAAAACTTTAACACGGGGTATTCCGAACGATAGTTACGGGTTTAACGACTGAATTCATACAATGTAGACCATCTATTAGCCATTCCAGAATGTTCTTTTGTTCAGGTTTCAAGTTTGTAATCAAGAATTTGTCAAAATATGTTTCGAAGCGTAGTCGCCAATTTGAAATTAGTGCCGTAAAGCACGAGAAAGCTACCTTCTGATTGGCTAATGTCGACTTTTTGTCAGTCCTCCTATCGGTCGGTCAAGGTTCGCGCAAGGTCGGTCTGACGTGACCCGTAATGGGATGTCGTCAGGTCTTTGTTCAGCGGTAGCGAGAACTAAGATCTGATTTTAATGAGATTGGTTTTTATTGTAAGGTGCAACATAATATTAATGTCTACATGCACCAAGTGCATATCACAAAATTCAATTTGTGTCTGCCTCACCTTTACTTGTCCACACAACATCAATCTTTGAAGCTTTATTTACAATACTACATCACTAATCCTTTGTATCATTAAAATGACCGCCTCCGTGGTCTAGAGATAGAGCGTCCGCCCGTAGAGCGGAAGGTCCGGGGTTCGATCCCCGGCCGCTTCATACCAAAAGACGTTCAAAAATGGTATTTGTTGTTACCCTGTCTGGCGCTCGGCATTAAGGGGCTTAAACAAGGACTGGTCGGCTCGGAGTCAGTATACTGTGTCTGAGTGGGATATTCCCGTCAAACTGCGGCATGGTTTCTCAGTGAGTTAGCACTATAAATCGGCATCAGTCCGGACTAGTACAAGCAGCCACACACACACGTGCATTCACGTCGCTATATAATTGCAATAATCTTGGACGCGACGTTAAACCCAATTTCCCCTCACCTTGTATCATTCATGACGTCAGTCATCAGACATCTGACATTTTACTTATTTTGACCACTTTATGCATCTGTGTTTCAACTTTGATAAATTAATGGGACCAGGGTGCAACCTGGTTTAGTCTGGTGCAACCTGGTTTCATCTGGAGCAACTAGCTTTTCATGTCAACTTGCACCTGTTTAGGGTTGGGGTATTGGCACATAAATCGTATCTCAATTTTGAAAGCTGTATTGCGATACATATCGCAATACGTATTGGGACTCAAAATATATATATTTTTACTGTTCGAGTGGTACTTCTTCATTCAATAATCCAGACTTCAGACTGCGAGATGGTAGTATGGATAAACGAGACTGCATATTATGTCTTCAATATGTAAAGTGAATGTGAAGAGCGTGGAAGTGTGTTGTTTACTTTGTTTAGATAGGAAACCAGTCCATCTAAATGCCCAAGATAGTAGATATAATTTCTATCATTATATAATATTATTAATTCGTCTGTGACTGTATCGGAAAGACTTGATCCCTAAGATTCGTATTTGGATACGTGTATTTCTGGCCGGAATACCAGTTATATTGCACACCCCTACACGGGGTGCAAGTTAAATCAAGCTCCTTAAATCGAGCCCTGTTAAATGAGCTGTGACAGTGATCAGCGAGGTTTTTTGCGTTCCCTTGGACCGACCGCTTACTTGTCGAGGGGACCCGTGAAGATCCGGGGTAGAATAGGTCTTCAGCTACCCGTACTTGCAGTAAAAGGCGACTATGCTTGTCGTATGAGTCGACTAACGGGATCGGGTGGTCAGGCTCGCTGACTTGGTTGATGCATGTCATCGGATCCCAATTGCGTGGATCGATGTTCATAATGTCAATCACTGGATTGTCTGGTCCAGACTCGATTATTTACAGACCGCCGTCACATAGCTGGAATATTGCTGAGTGTACAAGTAGCGTTTAACAACAAACAAACAAACAAACAAACAAACAACTTGTCGAGGGGGTGGCTGAGGCTTTTGTTAGAGACAAAAAATATTTCGGTTACTGCTTAAAAAAATATAAAAATTCTGAAAGGAAGTGCAATTTTCTTTTCTGAGTGTTTTCTCAATATTATTTTCAACAAAAATTACTGTGGTCTGTCAAATAACATGACCACTGCTACATGTACCTGTAAAGTATGTGAGAATGTAATATGCCAGAAATATCACGTCCGGGACTCCAACTTTGTACTTTTCGTGACCAATCATGTCATTCCGGGACAAGCCTAACGGCAGGTTACGGAAAGAGGCAGATAGTGAAGATTGATACTAAACCTATATCGGGAATCGGAATCATTAATGAAGACAGCAGATGCAGTAACAAACAGTAACAACTTCTTCATTGCCTTTGAATGACACTGTACCAGGCTACCACTGTTCAATTGTTATGTCCACGCCTTGGGGATATTATCGTCTTTCTCTAACATGAAGGAGGAGGAATACTAGTCCAAAGTGAAAGGCGTTCCTTCACGAGTATTGGCATCAGGGGGGCACATCTCTTAATTAACTTTGTGTTTTCTATTTCTCAGTGTCAGAAGCTGACTTGGCCAGAGAAAGTCCATACACTAGACCGGAAATAGGAGCACGGAAACGCCAGGAACATCTTCAGAAGGTTTGTTTGTTTATTTTTGGTTTAACGCTCCCCTCAGCAATATTCCAACCATTTGACGGCGGCCAATAAATAATCGAGTCTCGACCACACAATGCAAAGTTCCGACGGGCGTCAGGAAGCCACACCTACCTACCTGAATTAACAATAAGTGCCATCTTTTATTGCATGTTCTTAATAATACATCTAGTCGTTGTAAAGGCCTTGGATTCCGTCAGCGCTCGGGGACAAGATGGCGTCCTTGTTACAAGCTGTTCGGCAGTGAAGGAAAGCAGCGCTCTGATTGATTAAATTACTTCCGCTCGGAACTATGATACAATGATTGATATTGTGAGCAACGATCCACGCCGTCGGGTATGATGTCACACAAACAACCACGTCGCCGAGTCTGACCACCCGATCCTTTTGGTCGCCTCTTACCACATGCATAGGTTGCTGGGGACCTAATCTATTACTTGGATTTTGTCCACGGGTGTCCTCAGAAGGGAAGGGACAACTCGGCCATGATACCGTTTGCCAATAATAAACAGGCAAACAGACAAGATGGACGGTATATGATATTCGCATATGTACATGATTCGAATGATATACGTGGCCAGGCTTGTTTGTATAACCACGTGGTCCCCCTTTGTGTGGCGCAAGGTGGAAGAGAGATTATATGAGCGCATGTATGAATACGAAGGGAACGGTTCGCGTGTGCACGTTACATTCCCAGTACAAATACAGATAATATGAGCGAAAACAACCCCACCAAATAATGGATGCTATAAGCAAAAGCATGCTCCAGCAATAATATACATATGAGTTGTCAGCCGGTCTCGAGGGAGTAATGTACCCTCTATGTCAGTTTATGTGTCGCCGAAGGGCGAGGGGTCATTCACTAACATACAGGGAACATCAACCCATGTTCCCCAAGGGACCGGTGAACAACACATATATCTCATCGCACGCCTAATTACATCGCAGGTATGTCTTCTGCATGCATCTTTTTGTTCTAATCGGTAAGAATTACCACAGTTAGGCATTTATAGCAGACGGGAAACAATCTTCGAGTTATTCCCCCTAGATCTATTACATTTGGAAAATATCGTAAAAATCCGGGGAATGGCGTCTTACATATGTAATTCGAGATACAAAATTGCGGTTGCTTTGTTGCAAATGTAACAGTTCGGCAATTCGAGCGTTGAACATAAGAAATGTACCTTATTTGTTAGCGGGATATATTGAAAATAACAGAATGGGCCCGCGCGATCTGAACCCTCCATTCATGTGTGAAGTAAGATTAAAGAGATTATATGTCCAATTGAGAAATGATTTTAAGCGGATGCATACTGGAAAAAAGTAAATATGAACCCATGGATGACCAAGAAAAAAGATAAGATATATGCATACAGATTCAAGAAAATAATAGGTGAGTTAATGCATGCTCAAGAAAAAGAAATGTCATATAAGCGTATTCATGTACCAAACAAGATATGACGAGCGTATGCAAGCTCAGGAAAAAGGAATGATACGAGCTCATTCAGAGTGAGTGAGTGGGTGAGTTAGTGAGTGAGGCTTCACACAGCCTGAAGTGAGGCAGGTCTCAGACGGTTACTACTTAGTGGAACATACGAGTGCGGGTATCAGGGAAATGAGATAATATTATCTTCTTTATGCTCAAGGACAAGAGAGATCAAATGAACGTTTCGAGGTATAAGGAAAAGTTGTTCATCCATTTGGAAACCCGAATACCGTACAACATACATTTTTATGTTGCTACCATGCAACTTTGTATCGAATTCTATTATTAACCAAAAGTTAATCTTGTTACAGGTTCGAATTATCCGACATTCCAAAAGTCTCCATCGAAAGAGACCTGATGCAACGAGAGTAAAAGGACTTCAAGTTGAATCTAGACCTGATAATCGCAATGCAAAGGAACGAGAAGCGGCATCTAGAGGCACCAATCTTGATGCCAAGAACGACGATGCTTCCAGAACCGACAACCTTGACGTAAAGAAAAATGAAGCTGCATCGAGAATCGACCACTTTGATCCAGGGAGTGCCGTCTTTCCTCACGTACCGGACAGATGGGTGGCATCTGGTACCGATGTTGTTGACGCAGCAGAGTCTGATGAGGACGATGTCGATGGGGTTGGGGAGTTAGGGGATGATGAGGACGATGCGATGTTGGAAATAGCAATGGCAGAAGCAGGTATTGATGATGATGTTGACGTCGTAGTGATCATTGGACTTGAAGATGAGGACGAAGACGACGACGACTGTGTGGGACATTTAGGTCACGAGATTGAAGACGATGAAGATGAAGATGATGAGGATGGGGATGAAAGTTCAGGAGACTAAGACAAAACCAATTTGGCAGCAACTTAGTCCATTAACAATGCGACAGATTCAACTCAACACAGCGCACCGGTCTTTTGGATCTGTACACACTTAAATGTCATTCTCAGCTCCTTGGGGAGTATACATTTGTACCAAGTGTTATCGACAAACAAGTAGGTGTTGGAGTAGTTACAGATCATGTTCCTCAAACCATTCGCCACGTGAATAATCATGGTGCTATATCATTATCACCCCGGGGTTTTTTTAGGATCTGAGACGGGGCACGGGTGGCCCAGTCGTCTTATGCGCCGCGATTCGCTATGCAGAGTTGCGTCCCTTGGGCACGCCAGAAACCTATGATTGTGGGTTCGAATCCCGGTTTGACACGATTATGTTTCTAGGTTTGTCAGCACCATTCCCGTGCTCTTGGGTTTCACCGAAGAGGTAAACGTCTGAGACCTGCATCACTTCGGGCTTTCCTCTCACATTTAACTGACACGCCGTGATATGACTTGAATAATGATAAAAGCGGCGTCAAAACCCAACTCACACACTTCGGACCCGAGTGCACTCACATTTCATTCTCAGCTCATAGGGAGTAAACATTTGTACAAAGTATTAAAAGCGGATTTAAGAGTTGTTACAGATCATGTTACTCAAGCTGAAATTCAAACTGAAAGACAATTTCCACTTGTCAGAGGGGTGCTCAACACGTGATCTAGACTACCAGTTGTCGGACTTTCACATTTTGGGTTAGATCGCTGACTTTGTATGCTGGCGATTAGGTGCCTCACTCCGGGAGTGTTGGTTTGAATCCCGGATGGGACTCAACGCAATAAAGTATGAGAATCTGTACTTAACTGCGAAAGTGTTATCCTATATATAACATTTGTTACATTTGACCCTTTCTAAATGGCACTGTGTATTCGAAACTGAAATTCCATTACAAAACCACCAACCATCCATTTGTATCAACAAAGGATGTAAATATATGCTACGCCCATCCCCTTCCTTTATTTAGCAGCATAGCAACGTTATAGAACTTCAGGCAAGGGTGAGTTGGGATTGACGCCGCTTTTAACAGTATTCCACTTACATCACGGCGTGCCAGCTTAATGTGGGAGGAAAGCCCGAAGTGATGCAGGTCTCAGACGTTTACCACTTTGGTGAAACATCGAGCACGGGTATGGTGCTGACAAACCTAGAAACATAATCAGGGCGAGCCGGGATTAAACCCCACGATCAAAGGTTTCTGACACGCCAAAGGAAGTTCTGGCAAGAGGAACCGAGGTATCTATACCTTATTTAGAATGTAGTATTTACAATGCAAATACTGACAATAAGCAAACGTTCACACCAACCCATTAAAATATCCTTGTTCAGTGTAATTTATTAGAGTTCAATAAAAACGCACATAAAACGACCAACAAACATTGATTTCACTCATGGGCCCCTCTTCAAACAGCGTGGGGAGGAATACGTTCACTTTAGCCTCTTACGTTTCTTCGTAGCATGAGGGGGCACGGGTGGCCCAGTCGTCTAAGGCGCCGCGATTCGCTGTGCAGAGTTGCGTCCCTTGGGCACGCCAGAAACCTATCATTGTGGGTTCGAATCCCGGTTCGCCCCGATTATGTTTCTAGGTTTGTCAGCACCATACCCGTGCTCGTGGGTTTCACCGAAGTGGTAAACGTCTGAGACCTGCATCACTTCGGGCTTTCCTCCCACATTAAGCTGACACGCCGCGATATAACTGGAATATTGTTAAAAGCGGCGTAAAACCCAACTCACTCACTCTTCGTAGCATGACCTGTTACTGACATTACTACATTACTACTACCTGTTGTATTTTCTTTGTATATTCTTTGTATTGTCTTTCTTTGTTTTGTTTCTTATGTTATTAAAGCCAAAATCAGCAATATTCCACCTATATGACGGCGGCAAATAAATAATCGACCAGACAATCCAGTGATATTATGAGCAACGATTCACTCCGTCGGTTTACGATGACACGCCATCAAAAAAAAAAACCAAGCCTGGGACTTCAGTATTTTTTTCAGTTCAATAGTTAAGGCCCAAATAATGATTATTGCTCGTCGGAATCGCGGCTTCATTTTGTAGCCTTTATGTATTTCTGTAGTAAGTGCATGAATTGCCATATTTAACAACCTTGCTTCTTGAAAATTAACTACAAGCAAACACTCCTAATGTAAAGTCCTAAATGTATTATGCTGACACACTTTAAAAACACATATTCGATTTTTGTAATTTTTTGCAAAATGTCCACAAAAATTAAATGATTTTTTTTCTGGGCATTTAGGCATGAGGTTATCATACACAACAGTGTCGACGTACGGGTTCGTATCTCATTCTATGTTTTTCGAGGTGTACTGCCAAAATAATTTTCTTGTTACTTATTTCGAGTTAAAGTAGATTATGCGTTTTCATTGTGTTTCAGTGGAGTAATAGTATACATACACCAGGAGTCTTTGTTTCAATTTCTCAAGATTGTTTTGTACAGCTGCAGACAAGCACATAGGATCAAACTATATTGAACTATAAAGTAAGGGTGACGTGAATACTTTAGGGGACAGTTTTTTTGTAGTGAAGGTCGAATGAACACACCATGTCAAGAACAAAAAAATACACGGCCCCTTATTTTGTCACAATGACACTGTTATGGTCTATAAGACAATTTATATATACTTTGTTAAAGTTCAATAAAGTTATGTTTATTTGTATATGTACTGACGCTGGTTTTGTTCTCACAAAGGGGCGCGGATGGTACATGTGTCTAAAGTGCCGCAATTCGCTGTTTCGGGAATCTACGAGGGGTGTTCATTAAAGATTTCCCCTGACCCACTTCCGAATGACCTAGTGGAATGAAACTTGGCATAGGTTTTTATATTTTCTCCACATAGGAACCACCAAGAGTTACACACTTCTCCCATCGTTTTATGCAACTATGGAGACCTCGCTTTGTAAAAGCCCTCATTTTGCGTCTCAAACCAGGACTTGACTTCAGAAATCAGTGTTTCATCATCTGTGAAACGTTTTCCCTTCAAAAATGACTTCATGTTTGGAAAGAGAGTAAGGAGGATGTGGAAGGATTTCATAGCCACAGGACCGCGCTGCTGTTTGGGCAACATGAGCGTTGTGTACTGGAGCATTGTCTTGCAGGAGACGGACACCCTTGGTCAGCATGCCACGCCTCTTAAGCTTGATAGCGTCCCACAATTTCCGCAGCAGTGAAGCATAATAAGCTCCTGTAATTGTTGTACCCTTTGCCAAGAAATCCATCATCACTACTCCGTGCTGGTCCCAAAACACCGTGAGCATGTCCTTGCCTGCAGAGGGTTGGACACGTGCCTTCTTTGGGGGTGGTTACTCCACATGCTTCCATAGCATCGACTGAACTTTAGTCTCAGGATCATAGTGATGGACCCATGTTTCATCCTGTGTGATAAGTCTGTCAAAAAAGTTTGCCTGTTTTTTTTGGCACATGTCCAAAAGGTCCTTTGAGCAATTGACTCGTTCCTGCTTTTGGAAAGGTGTGAGCAACCTGGGAATCCATCGTGCAGACACCTTATGCATGTTCAAATTGTCATGGTTGATTTTTTCCACAGACCCTACACTGATCTTGACATTTTGTGCTAACTGGCGAACAGTTATACGTCGGTCTGCCAATATGGCGGTCTCCACTTGATGGATAGTGTCCTCATCAATGGCTGAATGGGGGCGACCAGAAATGGCAGCTGTTTCCACAGATGTCCGACCACACTTTAACTGGCGATGCTAGTGTTTAACAACGTCATATGATGGGGCATCTTCCCCATAAGTTGCTTTCATTTCATCGAAAGTTTCTTTTGGTGTGCGACCTTTCAAATATAAAAACCTTATCACTGCTCGGTATTCTACTGGCTCCATTGTCACACCCTACTCGATCATAACACCTGTAAAAGTGGTAAGATTAATAGTTCGGTGCTGCAAATTCAGACATAACCCATAGATACATGTATCATTACACATGTGAAATTTCAACCAAATATGATAACCCTAAGTGGTTTAGGGGAAATCTTTAATGAACACCCCTCGTATGATCGTTGGATTGAATCCCGGGTCGCACTGATTATGTTTCTAGTTTTGTCGGCACCATTCTCGTAGTCGATCTCCTATTCGAACTACTGATTACTGTATTCGGCGTAATAAGCGCCCACGGCGATAATTGCTGATAAATTGGCTAGTGAACAATCCCAATTAGCACCCCTTCCGATTGATCAATGTACACAAGACTTATTTATTCGCGTATAATACACACTCGTGTGTTATATGCACCCTTAATTATGGGCAATTAGATTCTGGAAAAATATATCTGTCGTATATAAACATTTCAGGCTGTCATCATAAACCACGAAATCTATCTTTCACCAACATAATATTCTAATGGGCCCCCTATTTCTAATTTTGAGAGCGCCCTGGGCGCTTATTACGTCGAATACGGTATTGTTTTCTAAGGAACTCAACTGAAGATATGTTAAATATTTACTCGCTAGTTTCACACTAACGTCAGTAGTAACAGTTTATTCCATACGCTTCTATTTACATTGAGTCAGTAAGTTTGGTTTAACGGCTCTTTGGATAGTATTTTAGTTACATCACGGTGTGTCAACTCCAAGTGATGCAGGTCTTAGACGTTTACCACTTTAGTGAAAACCACGAGCACGGTTATGGTGTTGACAAACCTAGAAACATAAATCGAGGTCAGCCAGGACATAAACCTACGATCATATGTTTCTTGCAAATCTGGGGGGCACGGGTTGCCCAGTCGTCTAAGGCGCCGCGATTTGCTGTGCAGAGTTGCGTCCCTTGGGCATGCCAGAAACCTATGATTGTGGGTTCGAATCCCGGTTCGCCCCGATTATGTTTCTAGGTTTGCCAGCACCATACCCGTGTTCGTTGGTTTCGACGAAATGGTAAACGTCTGAGAACTGCATCACTTCGGGCTTTCCTCCCACACTATATAAGCTGACACGCCGTGATATAACTGTATTACTGTTAAAAGCGGCGTTAAACCCAACTCACTCATCACTCACTCACTCTTGCAAATCTAAGGGACGCAACTCTGGATAGTGAATTCCGGTTCCTTAGAGGACTGGGCCATTTGTGCCATTGCTACACATGAATGTACACGTGATTTGGTATCTGTTAAAACAAAAGACAAATACTGTTCAGATGATTAATGAATGAGTATGGTTTTATACCGCTTTCAGCAATATTACAGAAATGTTACGACGGGGTTCATCAGCAATGGATTTCACACAATTTATTCATATGGGGAATCAAACCAGGGCCTTCAGCGTGACCCCTGGGTCTCGTCGTGGAAATAGTAAGGCCCCAAGCTCTACTCGTGGAAATTGTTAGTTACGCCCCTGTAGCTCTACTCGTGGAAATTGTTAGTTACGCCCCTGTAGCTCTACTCGTGGAAATTGTTAGTTACGCCCCTGTAGCTCTATTCGTGGAAATTGTTAGTTACGCCCCTGTAGCTCTACTCGTGGAAATTGTTAGTTACGCCCCTGTAGCTCTACTCGTGGAAATTGTTAGTTACGCCCCTGTAGCTCTACTCGTGGAAATTGTTAGTTACGCCCCTGTAGCTCTACTCGTGGAAATTGTTAGTTACGCCCCTGTAGCTCTATTCGTGGAAATTGTTAGTTACGCCCATGTAGCTCTATTCGTGGAAATTGTTTCCTTTCGCCCCTGTAGCTCTATTCGTGGAAATTGTTAGTTACGCCCTTGTAGCTCTACTCGTGGAAATTGTTAGTTACGCCCCTGTAGCTCTACACGTGGAAATTGTTGGTTACGCCCCTGTAGCTCTACTCGTGGAAATTGTTAGTTACGCCCCTGTAGCTCTACTCGTGGAAATTGTTAGTTATGCCCCTGTAGCTCTACTCGTGGAAATTGTTAGTTACCCCCCTGTAGCTCTACTCGTGGAAATTGTTAGTTACGCCCCTGTAGCTCTACTCGTGGAAATTGTTAGTTACGCCCCTGTAGCTCTACTCGTGGAAATTGTTAGTTACGCCCCTGTAGCTCTACTCGTGGAAATTGTTAGTTACGCCCATGTAGCTCTACTCGTGGAAATGGTTAGTTACGCCCCTTGAGCTCTACTCGTGGAAATTGTTAGTTATGCCCCAGTAGCTCTACTCGTGGAAATTGTTGGTTACGCCCATGTAGCTCTACTCGTGGACATTGTTGGTTACGCCCATGTAGCTCTACTCGTGGAAATTGTTAGTTACGCCCCTGTAGCTCTACTCGTGGAAATGGTTAGTTACGCCCCTGTAGCTCTACTCGTGGAAATGGTTAGTTACGCCCCTTTAGCTCTACTCGTGGAAATTGTTAGTTACGCCCCTGTAGCTCTACTCGTGGAAATTGTTAGTTACGCCCCTGTAGCTCTACTCGTGGAAATGGTTAGTTACGCCCCAAACTATTTAACAAATTAAACCCGAGAGTCCGAGCGATCTAACTTTCACATAGTTAATAAGTCCTCCGTCACAGGTTCCACCAAGAGGACTTCTAGTGTTTTCTGATAGCTTGCTTGTCTTAAGGGTGTTTGTTTGACAAACACTCGTTATTAATGTGCGAGCAGGTGCTTTTCAAGTATCAAGCGTAGAGATATTTAGGGCAATGTTTCGGCCAGACTTGATCTGAAGCTCGAAATAAAAAATATACAAAAGCTTTCAACCGGGTTCTTTTATACAGGACCACAGCAAACATAATTGAAAAGGTAGATGTAATAAAATATTGTTGTTACATTGTGTTGATACTTTAAACATAAACTTGTCTCTGCTTTTTGAGGGATTAAAAAGCACTCCAAACACTGATTTAGTTTAATATTTCAATATTTCAGCTTTTATGTAAATAATCGCGTCTGGACCATACAATCCATTGATTGACATCATGAGCATCAATCAACGCAATTGGGAAACGATGACACGCATCAACAAAGTCAGCGACCATGACCACTCGATCCATTAGCCGCCTCTTACGACAAGCATAGTCGCCTTTTACGGCAAGCAGGGGTTGCTGAGGACCAAAAAGTAACCCGGCTCTTCACGGGTCCGGGAAGTACGTGTTTGTTTGTTTGTTTGTTGTTTAACGCCACACTCACCAATATTCCAGCTATATGTCGGCGGTCTGAAAAAATAATCGCGTCTGGACCAGACAATCCAGTGACTGACATCATGAGCATCGATCCACGCAATTGGGATCAATAACATGCATAGCTATCCAAGATTAAGCAGCAGCGTGTGTTTACTTAAAGGGTAATCGTATGATAATAAATAAATTCAAGATTGAAATCTATGCATTAAAAACATCTGTATGTATTTTTAAATTTTTGACCACATGGGAATCATGAGAAAATTTGTGTAACCTTTTTTATATTTTCCCATCATCAAATTTACATATCGTTAAAGCTTGTTTCTGTATTGTTCCTTTAAACCTTAATAGTTCACACTCTAAATTTGACCATATGTTTATCCTTCAAATCGTCCTGTTCTCCTTGTCCATCTATTCCGATTCAAAGGTAGTAACAACTTTGTTCAATAGATAGTCCATGATTGGTGAAAGAAAAAAATACTTTTGGAAAAATAGGCAAAAAAAAAAGAATTTAATTCTGTGTCCGACAGTACCTTAATTATGTCTTTGGCTAAATCACATAATGCATCCTTCACATTTTGTAATATTGACATTTTTTCTTTGCACGTATATTGTTTTTTTACGTGGTGTATGTATGAAAAGCCCAAACGCTATTTGGGTGGCACGGGTGGCCCAGTCGTCTAAGGCGCCGCGATTCGCTGTGCAGAGTTAGGCACGCCAGAAAACTATGATTGTGGGTTCAAATCCCGGTTTGCCCCGATTATGTTTTTAGGATTGTCAGCACCATACCCGTGCTCGTGGGTTTCACCGAAGTGGTAAACGCCTGAGACCTTCATCACTTCAGGCTTTCCTCCCACATTAAGCTGACACGCCGTGATATAACTGGAATACTGTTAAAAGTGGCGTTAAACCCAACTCACTCACTCTTATGTGCAGTGATCCATTGTGACTATGTGCGCTATTTGATTGGCTGGATTTCGAGGGTATTCGGAACTCTACAGTGACGCAAATATAACTGTATTTTGTACGCAGATTCAAGATTTTGAAAAAGATTATGTTGTTCGTAAAAAAATATTTATATTATTATTATATTTTGCCGATATTATTTTCTTTCTGTAATTTAACTTCAAATCGCACCCTTTTTCTCAAGTCATTTATGATTTGTGTTAAAGTTGTATTCGGGATTCAGGGGTGAGAAATGAGAACGATTATATGGTATTTGGTATTATGGATTGTTTTCGGGATTTTGTGGGGTGGGGGTGCGGTGGATCGTTTTAAAGATATTTCTTGGCACACTGCACACTTTTGTTCGGCACTTAGCTCTAATTTATACGTGTTCCTTGACAACAAAATGGTTCTCCTTTCCTAAATAATTCGCTATGGAGTGGTTTGTTAGTATGGGTCAAGTAGACAGTATATATTTATGCATCACATCAAATTTTCAGGAGTAGTTGTCAGGAAGACCCGATGTGTTTGCCATATCAAATCGTTCACCGGGTTACCGCAATCCGTGAATACCGTTTCAACAGGATACGTCGATTGTAGATTAGAGCGTGACGCGTCCTGTCACCAGACAAACGCGAGAGGCACGTGCGGCACGAACGAACTCTTAAAAACATCCCCCATTGCATTGCAGCGCCCTCCCCTCGCAACAACACCGTGTGTCAGTGGGTGTGCTCCGAATGACTGCCGGTCATGTGCACTTGTTACGCACCTCGAGTAACTCAACAGCACATTTTCAGTGAACGAGATTTGCCGAGTCATGCTAATTGATCAACAGTTTACGATACGGTATGTCATTTGTTCTCTATCGATTCATGCACAATACGCTACCCGCTTAGAAGGGAACCTTTGAACTGTACTCTCTGTTGAGGAGGGGTTGTAGAGTGCAAAATTACGAATTATTCAACATGAATTTACTTCAAACTCCACGTTGATAACAGTCTTGCATGTGTTGAACAAGCATCTCGCCCGACGTGTTTCACGCAGTAAGTATGTGGTTGGCTGCATGTAGTGATTAAGAACGTAATTTTGTAGAACCTTTTATACTGTGAGACATTTAGGGATAGCGTTTAGGATGTCGTGTGTGCATATAACATAATTATAAACATTTTGGATCGCCTCCGTGGTCTAGTGGATAGAGCGTCTGCCGGAGAGTGGTTCGATTCCATGGCCGCGTCATTCAAAAAGACGTTAAAATAAGGTACTTGTTATTACCCTGCTTGACACTCGGCATTAAGGGGCTAAAACAAGGACTAGTCGGCTCTGAGTCGGTATACTGTGTCTGAGTGGGGTATTCATGTTTAACTAGTGCAGCATAGTAGCACACGTCGATTAATCTTGATGTTCAACACCATTTTACCTTAACTATGAACACTTAATTAATGGAGCGTGTAGCGGAATTTAACTTGATTATGAGTGAGTGAGTTGGGTTTTACGCTGATTTTAACAGTATTCCAGTTATATCACGGCGTGTCAGCTTAATGTGGGAGGAAAGCCTGAAGTGATACAGGTCTCGGACGTTTACCACTTCGGTGAAACCCACGAGCACGGGTATGGTGCTGACAAACCTAAAAACATAATCGGGGCGAACCGGGATTCGAACCCACAATCCTAGGTTTCTGGCGTGCCCAAGTGACGCAACTCTGCACAGCGAATCGCGGCGCCTTAGACGACTGGGCCACCCGTGCCCCCAACTTGATTATGAGGATGTTGGTATGGCGGTTACTTTGTAGTCTTTCGATATAACGCCGCATTTTAGTTACAGGACGGCCATTATATAATCGAATCTGATCAAGAAAATCCAATGATTGATATTATGAGCAAGTTTGTTTGTGTGTTATTTTTTTTATTGTTTAACGCCGCACTCAGCAAAATTCCAGCTATATGACGGCGGTCTCTAAATAATCGAGTCTGGACCAGACAACAAGTGATTGATATCATGAGCATCGATCCACGCAATTGGGATACGATGACATGCATCAACCAAGTCGGGGCGGTCGGGTAGCCTAGGGGTTAAAGCGTTCGCTCGTCACGCCGAAGACCCGGGTTCGATTCCCGACATGGGAACAAAGTGTGAAGCCAATTTGTGGTGTCCCCCGTCCTGATATTGCTGGAATGTTCCTAAAAGCGGCGTAAAACCATACTCACTCACTCACTCACTCATCAACCAAGTCAGCGACTGACCACCAGATCCCGTTAGTCGCCTCTTACCACAAAGTCGCCTTTTATGGCAAGCATGAGTTGCTGAAGACCTATTCTTCCTCGGATCTTCACGGGTCTTTGAGCAAGTACCAACGCGGCCGGGTGCAATGACAAGCAAAAAACCAAGTCTGACCACCCCTACTATGCGTGAGTGAGTATGGTTTTACGCCGCTTTTAGCAATATTCCAGCAATATCACGGCGGGGGACACCAGAAATGGGCTTCACACATTGTACCCATGTCGGGAATCGAACCCGGGTCTTCGGCGTAACGAGCGAACGCTTTAACCACTAGGCTACCCGGTCTTATTATTGTTATTGTTTCCAGACCGCCGCGTTAAACCATAAAGAAATACAAACAAACGAACACCTGTAACACACACGCAGTAATGTACGTTGCCTGCCGTAAACTTATGAGGATTGTATTACACGTGGCCCAAGGATAATCTGTCGATGGCAGAGAGCTTTAATCGGCGCTTTTTCTTCTGGTTGGTCATGAATGAAACCGCATGCACGAACACGGGAAGTAACATATGTCATTCGCCGGCAAACAAGCAGTAAATAAGCCAATCAAAGTAAGCCACGAAAATAACGAGCAGGTGTGTCAGTAACGCAACGGGATCGATACGGCCACGCGTTGTCCGTGAAACTACGTACGATGGGCATTGATTTAAACTACACAAGGAAGTGTACAGTGATCTTCAGTCACAGTGTCGTGTCACTAAAGCTCGAGGAAGGTTCACACAATACGGAGGTGAGTTATTTACCATTCACTTGTAGGCGGATGTGTCTGTGCAGTGACTCGGTGTTATACAATATAACGTTCAGTGAGTATCATCCTTGATCAACACATGGAGACGTTGTGTTAATTACGTAACATCAAGGGCGGATCCAACATTTTTAATAGGGATGGGTCGAGTGTCTGAAACTCAGCAGAGTAAACTGAGAGCCTTAAGGGCTAGCACGTTTTTTTTGAAAAAAAAAATGTAGGCGGATAAAACTGTAGGCCCTTACATTTTAGCTGAAGCAGGGCGACATACTCTTGCAATATAAATTACAAAACATAACCAGTCCACCGGAAGACTTTACTGCCACAGACTGTGGTGGAAGATGAAGCCTACATTTATAAGGAAATTATCAGCTTGTGAGACATCTATGCGAGGACACGTCATTCACCATTTGAAATGTCTAATATCCTACTTTTTTTGCATATGAAAGTTATGTTTATCATCCCAAACTGGCTCCCACAGGAGATATCGCTTGGGTGAGATAAAGCGATATCTACATTTAAGCCTCGGAGTTTATCAACTCGTGTTGATATATTTGACATCAAAAGACACTCGGGAGATATTCTCTGTTTATAACATTACTTAAATAAATAAAATTGCTGAAATTTAAAACTATCAGCCCGAGAACAAATCTGGCAGCCTCGGGCCTACGGGCCGATGTCTATTTCGAACACTGGATGGGTCCAAAATATCCAAATCCTCTCTCATATAATTTAAAGCTCACAACATTTGGTTCAGATGTCTCAGCAACCTATGCTGCTTGTGGAGGGCCAAATGGAACAGGGGTTTCGGCATGGTGACTTGGTTGGTTGCGTGTCAACGCACTCAGCAACAATCCAGCTCTGTGACGGCAGTCTGTAAATAACTGAGTAGACAATCCAGTGATTGATATGATGAGCATCGATCCACGCAATTGGGACGCTGCTTATAATGTCCACTTTGTCCACCATTGGTTTTCTGTGGCCCACACTTGACTATGTACGGTCCGTCGTGGGCCCACTTGCACAAAGCGATCTTAGTGCTACGGCTATTGTAAGCCTATGTGAAAGTATTGGAGTTACGATCATCTTATCGCTAAGATCGCTTTGTGCAAGTGGGCACTGATCATCTTGATGACATTAATATTTCGAACACATTTGGAAACAACATGTTTTTACAATGACTAGGATGTGTTAGGAATGATTTTTTTGACATTTGGAAATACTCGAAAACGCAGCGTGAACCATTTTGTAGTCCTATGTCTATGACTTGTGTACTGTGTCGCACATGAAAACTATGAAACTAATATACAACTCAACTTCTGTTGTTTGTTTGTTGTTTAACGCCGCACTCAGCAATATTCAAGACCTATGACGGCGGTCTGTAAATAATCGTGTCTAGACCAGATAGTCCAGTGATTGACATCATGACCATCGATACGATGACATGCTTTAACAAAGTCAGCGAGCCTGACCACCCGATACCGTTAGTCGCCCCTTACGACAAGCATAGTCGCCTTCTTGATAGGGTGAGGTGAGGTGAAATGGGAACTGACGTCGCACCCAAAATAATTTCACTTATATGGCGACGTGCACGCACGTGTGTGTGTGTGGCTGCTTGTACTAGTCCGTACTGCTGCCGAATTTATAGTGCTAGCCCACTGAAATACCATGCCGCAGATTGAACATACCCAACTCAGACACAATATGCCGACTAGTCCTCGTCTTAGGCCCTTAATGCCGAGCGCCACACAGGGTAACAACAAGTACCATCCTTTAACGTCTTTTGGTATGACGCAGCCGGGAATTGAACCCCGGACCTTCCGTTCTGCTTTACCTCTAGACCACGGAGGCGGTCCTCTGACATTGATAATCAGATATGTAATGTAATATTTAAATATACATTTGACATATACCACTAAAAACAGTTAAGGCCCACCAGTCATTCATATTACCATGTCATGACATTAACTACACTATTATGAAAAATATCGGATGATCCATAACGTTTTCGACCGGCTCCGTGGTCTAGTGGTAGAGCGTCCGCCCGGAGAGCGGAAGGTCCGGGGTTCGATCCCCGGCCGCGTCATACCAAAAGACGTTAAAAGATGGTACTTGTTGTTACCCTGTCTGGTGCTCGGCATTAAGGGGCTAAAACAAGGACTGGTTGGCTCGGAGTCAGTGTACTGTGTCTGAGTGGGATATTCATGTTAAACTGCAGCATGGTATCTCAGTGAGCTAGTACTATAAATCGGCATCAGTCCGGACTAGTACAAGCAGCCACACAAACCCATACAAGTACATGCACGTCGCTATATAAGTGCAATCATCTTGGGCGTGACGTTAAACCCCATTTCACCTCACCTCACTTAACGCTTTCACGAGTACATAATGTTATCAGTTTTTGGTGTCATGGAAAGTTAAAACATATCTCTTTAAAAAGTGGGGTTGTTTATATTATGTAAGTATATTTAGGACACGATGTGACGTAATAAACTGCCACAAACATTTGCTGCGTAAGGTTGCCAGTATATTAAAGTATAGATAAGATATCATTTTTAATGTTCAGATAGCAGCGACAGCGTGGTCCGGAATATTATGTGTAGGGATTTCCTGATTGTGATTAATATTCGTGTCAGAAAACATATTTCATACGCCAGTCGTCACCCGAGTTAGATCCTCGGTCATCCAGTGTATTACATCTGCTTTGGAGTGCCCAAAGTGTTGGGGATAAGTTAGAATTTGTTTCTTCTGTAAATAAAGACTCGTTGATGTTCTCGTTCAAGGTTGTTCAGAATTTAAAGGTATGTTCTTTCACACTATGCTTCCATTTAATCACGCCATGATATAAGTTAACTGAAATGCTGTTTATAGCGGCGTTGGGCGGTTAAAGCCTAGTGGTTAAAGCGTTCTCTCGTCACGCCAAAGGCCCGGGTTCAATACCCCACATAGGTACAATGTGTGAAGCCCATTTGTGGTGTCCCTCGCCGTGACATTGCTCGAATATATTGGTAAAAGCTGCGTAAAACCATACTCACTCACTTCAGAATATCTTTACTTTGTCTAAAAATACCATTTATTATGAATATCAAAGACATAGACTATTCAAATAACATTTATATTGTAAATCTGGGTTTATTAATAACTTTCATGTCATGTTGATGCATGTTGCCTTTGCTTCCCAATTAAATAAATATCTACCACATCAAGGTGAGGTTAGGTGAAATTGGGTTTAACGTCGCGTCCAAAATTATTGCACTGATATAGCGACGTGCATGCACGTGTGTGTGTTTGTGTGGCTGCTTGTACTAGTCCGGACTGATGCCGATTTATAGTGCTAGCTCACTGAGATACCATGCCGCAGTTTAACATGAATACCCCACTCAGACACAGAATACTGACTCCGAGCCAACCAGTCCTTGTTTTAGCCCCTTAATGCCCAGCGCCAGACAGGGTAACAACAAGTACCATCTTTTTAAAGTCTTTTTGTATGACGTGGCCCGGGATCGAACCCCGGACCTTTCACTCTCCGGGCGGACGCTCTACCACTAGACCACGAAGGCGGTCTCTATCACTGAAACCTAAAATAACCAGGTTGGCCAGATTAACCAATGCTTGTTAGCAGGAGTAATGATCCTCGCCATGGGGAAACAATCTTCATTCAGCATGCTCAAACAAGCATTGTCTGATGTAACTGGGGACCTAATCTACATCGAAATACCAAGACAAACGATGATGGCGAGTGTTGTAACGAAGGCTGATCGACTAAATCTAGAAGATAAATACGTAAATCGCCAAGTAATTTACAATTTATTTCACTCAAATGAAACCCGTGGAGATACGGGTGAGAATAGGTCTTCAGCAAGCCATGCTAGGCGACTATGCTAACGATATCAACTAAACCAAAAACAAACAAAACCGAAAACTCAAATGAAATAAATTCTATAAGTCTGTAGCTATCCGCATCAAACACATTTTCTACAAGATTTCTACACGTAAACTTAGCTAATGTCCGGTGAGTCACGTGACTACGACTTCATTCAAATACCGAAATACTGAAGAAACATTTCTGTATTAAATTTCTATTCTATTATATGTTAAATTCACTTGACCCATTTGGTAAAATAATTTGTGTTGAGTCCGATACAACGCTAAAGACGGATATCCAATCATATTAACCTCAAGGGCGAGAGACATTCTGTGCGAAGTTAATGAAAGGTGGGGTGAAGATGTCATTTCTAAAGGTTCTCAGCCCAGGGTATATATCACAAAAATACAGAATTGAGATATACTAACCTTGATTAACGAGGATGGTTGTCGGTTTTGTGTGCGACATATTTACCTACAAGGTGAGGTGGTGTGAAATTGTCGCGTTCAAAATTATTGCATTTTATACCAGTCAGTCTTTAATAATAGTCCTTAAGATCCAAGCCCCAATTTAATTAGCTCTGACAACAAGGATGGGGACCACACCGAGTCAGAATCCTCGAAAATGTTTAAACTCTATATCAGGAAATGTTTTCCTAAGTTGTTTTTAAATATTTGTGTTTCAGGCGTGACCTAACAACACAGATATGGCTGAAAACGGAATTCTCCTCTTCAAGAACAAAAAACAGGATGACCTTGAAACGCGAGAAGAGACGCCTAGCGGCGAGAGCTTCTGGTCGTCCTGGCGAGAGACGTTGGTGGTGTCGGCATCGTTCATGTCAGCGTACACCGCCTACCTCGCCCTGCAGAGTCTACAGAGCAGTCTGAACCAGGAACAGGGACTAGGGGTGGTGTCGCTAGCCTGTCTGTACGGGACCGTCATCCTATCCGGCATCCTCACACCGCCCTTCATACGTCTGGTGGGACCCAAGTGGACCCTTGTGATAGCGTGGGTGTGTCACTGTGTGTACACAGCCAGCAACTTCTACCCCACGTGGGCCACCCTTATCCCTGCATCCATCCTGCTCGGGGCTATAGCGGGACCTATGTGGACATCTCAGGGATTATACATCACCGCTAGCGGTATGCGCCTGTCTAAGATTTCAGGAGAGAAACTTCATGCTGTTTTATCCAAACTGAACGGTGTGTTCTTTATGTGTTATGAATGCACGCAAGTTACGGGTAACCTCATTTCCTCTCTCGTGCTCAAACAAGGTTCTCTCACAGACTCCGACAACGTGACCCAGATTTGTGGAGCAGACGACTGCCCCACTTCCGGTAACACAACGACGGAGCTTGCTGAGCCGGAACCGCACATAGTGTACACTCTCCTTGGGATTTTTCTGGCGTGTGACGTCATTGCGTTGGTCCTCACGTTGCTTTTTCTGCCCCCGTTCCAAAAGACTCCGACCTCGGAAGACAGCACCGAACAGCCCCTGGGTATGGGGCGCACGCTGTTGTCCTGGTTCACGGCCTTGTCGGATCCCAAACTGCTTCTCCTCGTCATGTTCTTCTTGTCCTCGGCCATGAGCCAGGGCATCCTCTTTGCAGACTACACGAAGGTAACACAGCCTTAGAAATTCGTTTTTTGAGACCGCCCGCGTTGTCTAGTGGTAGAGCGTCCGCCCGGAGAGCGGAAGATCCGGGGTTCGATCTCCGGCCGCGCCATACCAACAGACGGTATTTGTTACTCTGCCTGGCACTCGGGTATAAGGGGCTAAAACAAGGACTGGTCGTCTCGGAGTAGTATAAGGTCTCTGAGTGGGGTATCCATGTTAAACTATCTCGGTGGGCTAGAACTATAACATTGGCATTAATCTGGACAAGTACAAGTAGTAAGTTCCAGACCTGTGAAGATCCGGGGTAGAATAGGTCTTCAGCAACCCATGCTTGCCGTAAAAGGCGACTATGCTTGTCGTAAGAGGCGACTCACGGGATCGGATGGTCAGGCTTGCTGACTTGGTTGATGCATGTCATCGCATCCCAATTGCGTGGATCGATGCTCATGATATTAATCACTTGATTATCTTTACAGACCGCCGTCATATAGCTGGAATATAGCTGAGTGCGGCGTTAAACAACAAACCAACCAACCCACGTTGTGCATGCTTATGAATCCGAAGTTCTTATTAAACTAACCAAGTATTATCACTAATGTCTTTTTTGACTGTTACACATCTTTGTGTAGAGGGTTGTTTGATTGTAAGAACTACAAAAGCTGTGGGGTCACTCTGTTGTTTCAACTGTAGATCATTTGTAACGAATTGACAGTTCACTGACCTACTTTCTGCAATGCAAATTTTAAGCCCGTGCATTAATTCTAAGCAGGTGCATTACGAATGTACAGGCTACAGGGACTATGTGTGGTATGAATGATCCGGCTAGGTTCGTAGTAGGTCAGCACGGATACCTCAGCACAAAGTAAAAGATGTATTACGAATGAACTGCATAACATTTCCGTGAAACCTTTTGGGGTTGTTTTATTTTTATAATTTTTTGACTGTTTAAAATCTAATACGCAGAATTTTGTCACTTTGAAGCTGTAATTTAAAGTCAGGTAACACACGCGTTACTGGACGTTCATTTAAAATAATCGTAACAAATTTCCAGTAATTTATGCTACAGACACAACACTTCAATTTTCTGTCAGAATTTAGGATTCTTGTAGAAGGTGAGGTGAAATGGGGTTTAACGTCGCATCCAAGATTATTGCACTTATATAGCGACGTGCATCTACGTGTGTGTGTTTGTGTGGCTGTTTGTACTAGTCCGGACTAGTGCTAGCTCACTGAGATACCACGCCGCAGTTTAACATGAATACCCCACTCAGACACAGTATAGGGGGGCACGGGTGGGCCAGTCGTCTAAGGCGCCGCGATTCGCTGTGCAGAGTTGCGTCCCTTGGGCACGCCACAAACCTATGATTGTGGGTTCGAATCCCGGTTCGCCCCGATTATGTTTCTAGGTTTGTCAGCACCATACCCGTGCTCGTGGGTTTCACCGAAGTGGTAAACGTCTAAGACCTGCATCACTTCGAGCTTTCCTCCTACATTAAGCTGACACGCCGTGATATAACTGGAATACTGTTAAAAGCGGCGTTAAACCCAACTCACTCACTCAGACACAGTATACTGACTCCGAGCCGACCAGTCCTTTTTTTGGCCCCTTAATGCCGAGCGCCAGACAGGTTAACAACAAGTACCATCTTTTAACGTCTTTTTGTACGACGCTCTCCGGGCGGACGCTCTACCACTAGTCCACGGAGGCGGTCGATTCTTGTAGAACATGAAGCTAGTGATGGTGTCCTCTGTTGCTGGACCATTGCTTAAACCGGAGTAAAATTACATGACTTTTCCCCCCATCCTCCCGAGGCAAGGGAGTTAACTGACTCTTAAAGTTCAGTTTCCACCCTTGCCGAACAAGGCTGAAATTATGGAGTAGTATTTAGGCTGGACCAGCGAGCCCCTCATGGTCCAATCAAAATCGCGTAACGAAATCGAGACCCGTTTCATAAACATTTTCCCTCAAGCCCCCAAATCCCAGTGGAGTGAGAAATGTCACCGCTATTTTCACCTTTACACGATGGAATCTGTTTCGGCAGATAATAGAGACAGGTTATTCTCTGGCTTTGACGTTTCATATTTTTCTGTTTCAGGCGTTCATCAGTTGCTCGCTAGGTGTCTCCATGGTAGGGTATGTGATGGCGTGTCATGGCGTTGTCACTGCTCTTGTTGCCATAGTTACCAGCCAAGCAGCAAAATACACTGGGCGGTATGTGTTGTTTGGTGTGTGTATCGTGTGTAATGCCGCCATGCTCCTGACGTTGGTTCTATGGAAACCAAGGAGCGACTTCATAGGACCTATTTTCATCATACCCTCGCTGTGGGGGATTGCTATTGGAATATTCCATACACAGTTTAACGGTAAGTGTGTCTCACATCACCCCACTTTATGCAGATCCGGGATGGAATAGGTCTTCAGCAACCCAAGCTTGCCGTAAAAGGCGACTATGCTTGTCGTAAGAGGTGACTAACTGGATCGGGTGGTCAGACTCAATGACTTAAGGTGTGCATGTCATCTTATCCCAATTGCGTAGATCGATGCTCATGATGTCAGTCACTGGATTGTCTAGACCAGACTCGATTATTTTACAGACCGCCGTCATAGAGCTGGAATATAGCTGAGTGTGGCGTTAAACAACAAACCAACAAACCACTTTTTGCGTATTCCAACAAAAAGAGATTAACCAGATATTCTAATATCATATAAGCTTGTTTGTCGTTTAACGCCACGTTGCCTAGTGGACGGTCCGGAGAGCACAGAATCGGTGGTTCGATCCCGGACCACGCCATACCAAAAGACGTTAAAACATGGTACTTCTTGTTACCCTGACTGGGGTTCGGCATTTAGGGGACAAAATAAAGACTGGTCGGCACGGAGTCGGTATACTGTGTCTGAGTGGGGTTTATATATTAAACTGCGTCATGATATCTCAGTTGGCTAACACTATAAAATCGACATTAATCTTGACGTGAACGAAAGCGCGTGCACACACACACACACACACACACACACACACACACACACACAAACACACACGTACTTACATGCTATATGAGAGAAAACACGATTAAACTCGGTAAACCCGATTTCACCTAAACTTACCTTTATTGCTAGTCTGTTTTCCAGACCCTAGGGAATAAATAAAATCTAACGTAAGTCTAGAATGATTGGGCAAGTCTAGATTGTCTCCGCGCTAGGCCTGAAAATTAAGCATTGCCCTGGCCATTTGGATTCTAATTTTTATTTTGTAGATATATATTTAAAAAAAAACAAACTTTATGTCTTGGACTAAATGTCAATCTACGTCTCGCTCAGCAATATGACGGCGGCATGTAAATAATTGAGGCAGGTCACCATGCCCACTTTACCTTGGTACGATGACGCGCAGTCAACCCAGTCTGACAATCGATTAATTAAGTTGCCTCTTACGACCAGCATAGGTCTCTGGGTACCTCAAGTGCAACCTCTAAATATAGTCTTAAGTGGCATGTAGCTAGCCAATGAGTTTACGAGGTTACATGCAAGTCGCCTCTTTTTGCGTTCATTGGATATAGACTCATGGTTAAAGTGTCGTTCTGTATCCGTTCGATATACAGTAAAGTACGGTTATAACGAACTCAAAGGGACTACTAATTTTAGTTCGTTATAACCGTAGTTCGTTACAAGCATATATACAGCATAACTACAGCAAATAGTCGGGACCAAAAAGTAGGTTCGTTATATCCGTCAGTTCGGTTTAAGCGTGTTCGTTATAACCGTAGTTTACTGTACCTTAAGAACATTAATTTAGGACATATGTTGGCTATTGTTGGTGTTATTGTCGGGATATTGATAAATGTGTAATAAATCATTCGTACCTTTTCCACAGCTCTGGTTGGACTGATGTTCCCCGAGAAACAAGAAGCAGCGTTCGCCAACTTCCACACTTGGAACGCCATCGGGTTCACAATCACCTTCGCCTACGGTGGTGCGTTGTGCGTGCGAGCCAAGCTGTATGTGTGTCTTGTTCTGTTTGCGCTCGGAAGTCTGGGATACCTTCTCGCAGAGGTCATCTACCTGCGACAAACACATTCTGCACGAGCAGAGAGCTCACGGGAGAAGGCCTCAAATTCCAGTGAAGAATTCTAATAAGTAAATCAGGTGCAAATGTACGTGCAGTTTGAAACAAATCGACTCCGAGGTTATGGTCGAGAAGGGGGAACGGCAGGCAGGCCCAGTCGTCTAAGGCGCTGCGATTCGCTGTGCAGAGTTGCGTCCCTTGGGCATGCCAGAAACCGATGATTGTGGGTTCGAATCCCGTTTCTAGGTTTCTCAGCACCATACCCGTCCTCGTGGGTTTCACAGAAGTGGTAAACGTCCGAGACCTGCATCACTTCGGGCTGACACGCCGTGATGTAACTGGAATAATGTTAAAAGCGGCGTTAAAACCCAACTCACTTTCACTGTGGTCGAGGAAGTAAGACCGAGGCAAGGCAAGAGGGTACCGGCATTGTAAGAGCGGGTAGCGAAGCCGGGTGTTATTTCCTCGACCATAACCGAGAAAGAGTGTTTATCTCACCTATGAACCGTCTAAACGACAAAATTAAGAAAACATCGAGATGTCTTATAGTAAAACAATACAGTGTGTCGTGGAATAAAAGGAATGCGATCAAAGCGTGCGAGAGAAACATGTTCAGCATAGACTAAGCTAAGTCATGACATCTAAAATTGAACATTTTTTCATCACATGTCCCGGTGGTTCAGTGGGTTACAAAAGTCACCACCATATGTGAGGTTGCAGGTTCGATTCCCGTCATCCATAATGAGACATTTCATTCTGTCTTCGATTTTACAACATTGGACGTCCAAATTCCATCTGCTACTCGAATCATCAGGTCTCTCTATGAAAAAGGAAAACCTCATACCAGGTCTAACAAGGAAAAGTATACCGTATTCGACATAATAAGCACCCACGGCGACATTTGCTAAGATATTGGCTAGTGAACAATCCCACTTAGCACCCCTTCCGATTGATCAATTTACACAAGACTTATTTATTCGCGTATAATACGCACTCGTGTGTTGTATGCACCCTTAATTATGGGCATTTAATTCTGGAAAAATATATCTGTCTTACATAAACATTTCAGGCTGTCAGCATAAACCACGAAATTTATCTTTCAACTCTGTTTTTTTTCTCACCAAAATAACATTCTAATAAGAGCCCCCTATTTCTAATTTTGAGAGCGCCCTTGGCGCTTATTACGTCGAATACGGTAAGCTAAAACCAGGTCTAACTTGGAAAAGGTAAAATCTCCCAAGAGGTTATTACTAGATAGAAAGTTACCTACAATACAATAGACAGAAGGTTCATGAGGTTCAATAGGATACACTTGCACTTGAAAGGGATGGGATGTTGTTTATTGTTAGGGAACAATCAACGTTCCCTATGTAAAGACGTTATGGTGGTGCATCTTCAGCTGTTGTTGGGCGTTTTTTTATGCCGAATCTTATGTTATTTGTGATCTTCGAACGTATTTTTCCATGTGTTTGTCATGAAGTGGAGTCCTTGTTATGATGTAACCCAAATTTCCTTCGTGATGATAAAGTGTTATAGTTGTGTTCGTTACCAATCGCATGGTTGTGTAACCTACAAATCTCGTCCTGACGTTATACGGGTTTGTCCCAAATGACGTTTAATGGACTTATTGTCTGTATCTATTTTTGTTGGGAAAAAAAATGTCAAAATTTTAATTACGTACCGTGTCATAATCGATTGAATTGTTGCACCACTGCAATCTCATTAAAATCAGATCTGAGTTCTCGCTGTCGCTAAACAAAGGTTGGTTTAGCGATAGCGAGAACTAAGATCTGTTTTTAATGTGATTGGCACCACTGTTACATAATGTGAACATTGTTTCTATTTATTCCTTGTATTACTAGATTATTTGTCATATTTTGGAACGACTTGGTGATAAAAAGTGAACGTAAAATGAGTTTGGGTTGTGTGTTTGTAAGACGGTGCGTGATATGACCGACCACAACACTGTAGCACAGGTAATGACAGCAGGCCATTTTCTCGCCCAACTTCAACACTTGCAACCCGTGAAGGTCCGGATTGGAATACGTCTTCAGCAACCCATGCTTGATGCTTGCTTTACAAGGCGACTATGCTTGTCGTAAGAAGCGACTAACAGGATCGGTTGTTCAGGCTCGCTGACTTGATTGATGCATGTCATCGTATCCCAATTGAGTGGATCGATGCTTTTGTCAATCACTGGATTGTCTGGTCCAGACTCGATTATTTACAGACCGCCGCCATATAGCTGGAATATTGCTGAGTGCGGCGTTAAACAACAAACAAACAAACAAATAGTTGACCAAAGTTCATAATCGGTGCGACTCTGATATTCGAGCCAGCAATCGGAGAATCCAGGCAGTTAAGGGACGTAACTCTGCAGAGCGACATACAGTCCGCCATATACTGAATAATATATGAAAACACGTGCAAAACATGAATACATGAAAAGTCAGTAATACCTTTCCAGAATGTTTTTAATATAATTATTTACAATGTAGGTGAAAAAATAACCGACATTGTTATTTGTTCCTCTAGTCGACCAAAGTCCATTGTACGTTCATTAAGAAAACGGGTAGTGCCACGCGTTATAATGAAGCTTATCTGTGTCCACGACAGTAGTAAAACATCCAATTAAAATAACAATGCTAATACATGTTCGGTTCAACTTGGTAATATCGACATTTATTACCAAGATATTATGACCAGGCTTCATTACAACACTCGCCGTCATTGTTTGTCTTGGTATTTCGATGTAGATTAGGTTCCCAGTTACATCTGCCCATGCTTATTAGAGCATGCTAAATGAAGATTGTTTCCCGATGGCGAGGATCATTACTCCTGCTAACAAGCATTGGTTAATCTGGCCAACCTGGTTATTTTTGGTTTCAGTGATAGAGACCGCCTCCGTGGTCTAGTGGTAGAGCGTCCGCCAGGAGAGTGGAAGGTCCGGGGTTCGATCCCCGGCCACGTCATACCAAAAGACGTTAAAAGATGGTACTTGTTGTTACCCTGTCCGGCGCTCGGTATTAAGGTGCTAAAGCAAGGACTGGTCGGCTCGGAGTCAGTATACTGTGTCTGAGTGGGGTATTCATGTTAAACTGCGGCATGGTATCTCAGTGTGCTAGCACTATAAATCGGCATCAGTCTGGACTAGTACAAGCAGCCACACACATACATTCACACACACGTGCATGCACGTCGCTATATAAGTGCAATAATCTTAGACGCGACGTTAATCCCAACTTCACCTCACCTTCAGTGATAGAAATGGAGTACCTACTGCAGTGTGGAAAGTATTCATTCTACGACAAGTAAAGCAAATATCATTCACACTAAGAGAGTGAATGAGTTGGATTTAACCCCGGTTTGAAAAGTATTTAAATTATATCATGGTGTGTCAGCCTGATGCTGAGGAAACCTGGAAGTTATGCAGATCTTAATATAATCCGCTTTACACCAGGTTTGGTGAAATCCACGCGATCAGGCATGATGCTGAAACGTAAACTGGGCGAACCAGGATTTGAAGTCTCTATCATAGGTTTCTGACACACCTGATTTGTGCAACTCTGTATTACCGGAGACGACGGGGCTACCTGTTCACCCCACATGAAGAGAAGTCTAGGAAGAGGACATGGGTATCAGGCTACAAAGTAACCATGGCAACTAGGAAAATTGTATGGACGAAGTGACACCAGTATGAACTAGAAGATGTTAGAAGCAGCCCAACCACCACAGCTAAAGTCTTAAGGTACTACCATAGACTTCCACGCCTGGTCAATCTCTTTTTGTTGGAATACACAAAAAGTGGTTTGTTTGTTGTTTAAGGCTGACACACTGTGATGTAACTGGAATACTGTTAAAAGCGTTGTTAAACCCAACTCACTCACTAATCAAAATAATAAGCAAGTCTGGATAAAAACTATGAAATATTTTGCTTCAGGATTTTTATTTCTTAGAAATAATCAATAGGTGCAGAAGCTCACCTTTACTAGATGATACAATGCAATACAACAAATATAGTATAAACATGCAATATAACATGACCTGCATCAAGTTTGAGTATTAAGGATATCTGAAAGCACAAGTCTGTTTGAAGGGCTCCTTTATCAGGGTGCCTCCCAGACAAACTGAAACCATTGGCAATAAGACACACCATCCTGGAGGACGCAACACTATCAGCAACACTATCAGCAACAGCAACCAGTCTCTCTCACACTTCCTGAACTGTTCCTGAAGTTCTTCTCATCAGTATATGTTCTTACGGATATGGCTACAAGTTTGTTTGTTGTTTAATGTTGCACTCAGCATATTCCAGCTACATGACGTATGAGTATGGACCAGACAATCAAGTGATTGATACTGTGAAGAGATCCACATCCCGGGGGTAAAATGACAAGACATCAACCAAATCACTGAGCCTGACCACCCAATGCATTTACCTTATTTGACATAATAAGTGCCCAGGGCGCTTACAAAATAAGAAATAGGATGCTCTTATTAGAAATTATTTTGGTGAAAAACAAAAGAGTTGAAAGATCTTAAAGTCTGTGGTTTATGCTGACAGATTTATGCTGAAATGTTTATATACAACAGATATATTTTTCAGAATTTAATTTCCCATCATTAAAGATGCATATAACACATGTATTATATATGAATAAATAAGTCTTGTGTACATTGATCAATCAGAAGGGGTGCTAATTGGGATTGTTCACCAGTCAATATATTAGCAAGTATCGCCGTCGGCACTTATTATAGCGGGGCGCTTATTACATCGAATACGGTAGTTGCCTCGTATGACCAGCATAGATTGCTTGGGACTTGCACTGTCCCGGGTCCCCCTACATTTACCTGAAGAGCTCTGCATCAGTGAAATCTAGTATAGGTCCTTACTTGGCACTAGAATACACACTAAACGTAGCACTGGATGATACACTGAACTTAGCACAAGACTAGACGCTAAGCCTCAGCACAAGATCTACACTGACTGTGAAGAGATACAGGTGGCACATATAATATAAAATAATCTAAAATAAAATATAACCTCAAATGAAATTGGCAGATTTTTCATTTTCACTTGTGAAAAAAACATGATTATGGCAACAGCGACTGACATGATCAGTTAAAGAAATTAAAAAAAACTAAAACACCCCAAAAAAACCCACCAAAAAAAAAGAAAAAAGAAAAAAAAACTAAAGCACCAAAATACTCAAATTTTAGTTTTGAAAATCAATTTGAATGAACAATGATAATTTATTGTTGAATAACATGACTAATTGTTTAAAATGGCACAATAATGTTGTAATAAATAAATAACAGAACAAATTTTAACATAGTTAATACTTCACACAAATGGCTAAAGTAGATTATATGCTGTAAACATGATAAGCACCTAAAGAAGATATTAAAACAGGACAATACAATAGAAAACATAACTGAACAAGTCTAGGGCAAGAAGAGATAGCATACACTGATCCATCAACCACATAAAATAATAACAAAACATTTCATCAATGATGTTTTTGGACACATTAACAAATGGCATTGGCAAATAAGATTTGGCAGAACAGTGAGATCTGGGAACTGGAATGACACCTTGTTAAAACAGACTCTTTTGGTACAGACCACTGCATGCTTAATGATTACCACTGGCAATACAGATACACAGAAAATAAATCTGTACAAATTTTTATTTTTACTACTGTTGTGCAATGCCTTCATCATCATCATCATCATCATCATCATCATCATCAAGCACAATACAACCATTCCACACATAGGATCATGAAAATATCTAAATTGCAGAACCGTAAGTGCATGATTATCAATATGGCAAGACTAGGTCATTATTATCTCAGCGGATTAAGATAAAACCTTGAGGAGATTTAACAGTTACCAAGGCTACACTTGTCACAATCTCATTAAAATCAGATCTTAGTTCTCACTACCGGTAAGCAAAGATCTGAGGACATCCCATTACGGGTCACGTCAGCCCGACCTTGCACGAACTTTGACCGACCGATAGAAGGACTGACAAGAAGTCGACATTAGCCAATCAGAAGGCAGCTTTCTCATGCTTTACGGCACTAATTTCAAATTGGCCACTACGCTTCAAAACATATTTTGACAAATTCTCGATTACAAATTTGAAACCTGAACAAAAGAACATTCTGGAATGGCTAATAGATGGTCTACATTGTATGGATTCAGTCGTTAAACCTGTTGTTCGGAATACCCCGTGTTAAAGTTTTCGAGGTTGCATTATCAGAATTCACATTCCGAATGTCACTTACATGATCTGGTAAGCGACGCTCTGATTGGTCGGATGAAAGGTCGTTCTTACGTGACCCCTCATGGGATTTCCTCAAATCTTTGTTTGAGGGGTAGCGAGAACTAAGATCTGATTTTAATGAGATTGCACTTGTCAATATGTAAATAAATAAATAACATTTGACACGGTGAAAGCTGTTGAAATAGCACTAAAACTGACTTACGTGAGAAGTGTTTTCCAAAGTATGTGATTTATAACGATGATAAAGAGAATAACTATGCCAATAAATATGTCAACTTGAGGTGTTATTAATATCATTACATATAAGATATATCATGAATACTGAATAGACTGGACAGAAAGGTGGAATGGAAACAGCTATTGGCTGATAGGGCGACAGCTGTGGAATATACATGTACCGGTAAGTCATCATGGCTCACCATTCATTCTGTGACATTGTCTTGTGTTTTTGTTGTATACGAATTAATACCCATTTCACATATTAATGAAGTGGTGGGTGAGCCTTGTGGTAAAAGCATTTATTTGTAACATTATAGAAAATAGTGTTTGCTTTGCTATCACAGTTATCATGTCTGCAGCTCTTTTGTCCCGTGGCCTGCTGTGATATTTGTAGAATACTGCTATAAGCAGCATAAATCCATACTCACTCATTCACTCACTCACTCACTCACACACCCACTCACTCACTCACACACCCTCTCACCAATTCTGGGTGAGCTGAGATATTTGTATAGAATACTGCTATAAGCAGCATAAATCCATACTCACTCATTCACTCACTCACCCTCTCACCAACTCTGGGTGAGCTGAGATATTTGTATAGAATACTGCTATAAGCAGCATAAATCCATAGTCACTCATTCACTCACACACCTACTCACTCACTCATTCACTCACCCTCTCACCAATTCACTTACCCACTCATTCACTCACACGCCCTCTCATCAACTCACACGCCCACTAACTGACTCACACGCCCTCTCACCAACTCACACACCCACTAACTCACTCACTCACCGTCTCACCTATTCATTTACCCACTCATACACCCTCTCACTAACTCATCCACTCATTCACACACCCACCGACTAACTCACTCATTCATGCCTACCTGACAAGCTCGATGTACACATTAAAACCTGAGGTCAGCACATGGTTGATATATTGGACCTTGGGCTGATATATTGGACCTTGGGTGGATATATTGGACCTTGGGTTGATACGAGTCATCATAAATAGTGATATTATTCTAAATACAGTACACGATAAGATTAATGTCATGGTGATTGTGAAATTCTCTGCATTACAAATATTCCATGGATGAAAATGAGGTTCAGATCAATTCAATGGCACAAAATCACCCTAGGGCTTCAATAACAACAATGTTCAAGGTGACCACGTCATGCTGTGTCTTGTGTTACACTTGCTGCTTCAACTTGACACGTGTTCCTTCATACAAGGATTCCTACAAGAACGGTGGCGCCTACATCTCAGGCTCCTCCTCAATATCATACAGCACCACTCGATCCAGGCGGATGCCATCTGTCTCGTCTGATGTCAAGCTGCGACCACAACCAAGAGCTAAAACCTGCAACAAGGAAATCACAAAATGTCTCCTTTTATCTTCAACAATAAATGGGGTGGGTTGACATGTGGTATCTCACAGTATACTGACTCTGAGCCAACCAGTCCCTGTTTTATGCCCTTAATGCCAAGCGCCAGGCAGGGTAAAAAAAAGTACCAACTGTTAACGTCTTTTAGTGTGACGTGGCCGAGGATCAAACTACTGACCTTCCCGTCTCAGACGTCCTATCCACTAGGTCACGGAAGGTGACTTTTAACTAATGATGTCTGACGCAATTCCTTATTTTGACTTGTACCATATGTTCCCATGTAAGGACAAAGATGCACTGCGGCATCCAGAATACCACTTAACAGGGCTCGGCATCTGGAGTACCACTTATCAGGGCTCAGTATCTGGCATACAAAAAGAGGTTGTCACCCCCAGAACTGTCACTTCGTAGAAATTAGTACCTTTTCGCTGTGTTCCTTCTGTTTCTGGGCAGCTATCTCGGGCTTGGTGTAGGGGCTGTCGAGGGCCAAGTCCTCCTCCGACACTGCAAGGTAGAGCCAGGGATCACAGCTAACTGACCAGGGAAGTCCTTGGATTCACATAGCATGTAACTGGTTGATCAATATAATATCATCCTAACACTGCATCGTACAGCACGAATAGCTCGATTAGTGGTTTGTGATTCACATTCTGGTATGGGGTGTCCATGGCACCTGGGGGGTTAGGGGCCTGGGAAGAACATCCATCTTAGCCCTACTAGGCTGATAGAAATTGACATGAAAATAATTAAACCCGGACATGTACCATAACAACCAAGTTTCTATAAAAATAAGATAAGCTAGGTGCAAGGAAGCCAGGAAAAAAACCCAACCGAAATCAACCATGGGGAAACGTGTTTTTGGGGGCATTGAAAATTTTGTCGAATGCTGCATTCAGCATAAGATCGTGTGAGTAAGTTGTCCAACTAGTAGTATGTCCTGTCCTAGCCACATCCCAGATGAGGATGTTGGGTTACCTTTGATGCCTCCCCTGAACCAGCCATGTTTGAGGATGTCCGGCCATGAGGACCTCTCCCGGGGGTTTTTGATCAGCAGCTCTTGCAGAAGGTCCTTCAGCTCACTGGGGAAGTTGTTGGGCCAAGTGACAGGCTCCTCCACAATCATCTTGTGCAGCACGTAGGGGCTCATGGAACAGAATGGCGGCCTTCCCACAAACAGCTCGTACATGATGCACCCGAGAGCCCTGGGAAGTGGCATTTAAGATACTGATGAGTTATTCTAACAGTCGAACAACACTATTCCGGACACTTGGGTTTTCTCAAAAATTGTCTGGATAAGTGGGGTTCCACTGTACTCTAGATCCCTTGGAAGCAAACTGTTATACCTGACGCAAAATAATGTATCCTATATGCATACAGATAAAGCTAAATTTAAATTTAATCATTATTAATAATTTAAATTGTGAGTTCAAATTGACCTGTGAGATGCCTAAAAGTGTGGCTGTTTGCATTAATACATTTCTCAAAACTGTAGAATGTGTGTTACATAACTGACATTTCTATTCTAGTAAGAAAACACACTTAAAGGTCAGGGTTTTGTCAATGGTTGATTGATCACGCCTTGGAAGCACATGGCACAAGCCTGGGACCCCCATGTTCATGCCTTGGCAGCACATGGCACAGGCCTGGGACCCCCATGTTCATGCCTTGGCAGCACATGGCACAAGCCTGGGACCCCCATGTTCATGCCTTGGCAGCACATGGCACAAGCCTGGGACCCCCATGTTCATGCCTTGGCAGCACATGGCACAAGCCCGGGACCCCTATGTTCATACCTTGGAAGCACATGGCACAGGCCTGGGACCCCCATGTTCATGCCTTGGAAGCACATGCCACAAGCCTGGGACCCCCATGTTCATGCCTTGGACCTCTAAAACCTATTGCTGAGAGTCCACTGGAGTCTAAAAGAGCCACACCAAAGTAAATCCCTGGTCAGATACTGACTGAATATTCTTCCAATTGTAAAATGATGACAAAAGAGGTTTCACATAAATGTTTCTTACCACAAATCCACCTTCTCTGTATATGAGGTCTCGTCCATCAGCTCAGGGGCCATGTACAGGGGGGTGCCCTGATGATGATGAACAGGTAGTGGCAGATTAGACAGACAATGGATCTCAAATATCTTAAGGTCAGACTTCTTTTTTTACAAATTTGTTTACAAATCCTCTGACTAAAAAATTGAAATGTGAAAAAATGAGAATGATAAAAGACAGTGTTTTTTTATTCCGTTTACCAGAAATCAGCAAAATGTTAAACAAAACACTCTCTCACTTAGTATGTTTACTTTCGCTAGCCATATAAATAAATTATTTAAAATACTATAATTTAAACCTGTTGAAATTTTATCATAAAAACTTCAAAACACAACAATTGTTTAAATTATGACAAATTCCTTTTCCTCCCTTCCCTACTTTTGCGTTTCCTACCTTCTTACTAGTTCAAGGAAATACAAAATATATTTGAAATTGGATTTTTTTTTTTTTTTTTTTGCCCAACCAACATGAAATTATGGGTAAAAAATATTTAAACCAGAAAAAAAAGGTCTCGAATTATTTCACATTTGCATACCATATTTTTGGCACCAATGCACCATGAAGTACCTTGATAGTCTTTGCGTAGTAGGAGTCCCTCCCCATGGCTCGGGCAAAGCCAAAGTCGCACAGCTTGATGACCCCTCCTTTGCCTATGAGGACGTTCTCCGGCTTCAGGTCCCGATGCAACACTCGGTGGGCATGGAGATAGTACAGGGCTGACGACATCTGACACGAGATGTCTCGAACCTGATAATGACAGGTGTTCATTTCTGATATTAATATTGAAACATTTTTGCAACAGTATGTTTTGATTCCGAACAATTTTTAATTTTTGATTTAGAACAATATTTGGAAATTTGGTAACATTAGGACAAACCTGCCCTCATTTCATGGGAACATTTTTCAAACAAAAACAACCTGAAACAGTCTTCTGATTTGATGAAACTTCTGTACTTGAAATACATTGAGGGCACGCTTGTATTTTGAATGTAGATCGGTGCGGAAGTCGTGTTTACAAAAGACATTTTGATTGGTTGTTGATTTCAAGTTCATAAGCAAGAGAAATTCTTTGCTGATTTAGTGACAAACAAGATTGACATAATGACATCACTTCCATAATGAAGCCATGGGGCCAGGGTATTGATCAAAATCGAATGAAGAGGTGAGGTGAAATTGGGTTTAACGTCGGGCCCAAGATTATTGCACTTATATAGCAACGTGCATGTACGTGTGTGTGTTTGTGTGGCTGCTTGTACTAGTCCTGACTGATGCTGATTTATAGTGCTAGCACACTGAGATACCATGCCGCAGTTTAACATGAATACCCCACTCAGACACAGTATACTGACTTCGAGCCGACCAGTCCTTGTTTTAGCCCCTTAATGCCAAGCACCAGACAGGGTAACAACAAGTACCGTCTTTTGGTATGACGCGGCCGGGGATCGAACCCCAGACCTTCCTGTCTCCGGGCGGACTCTCTACCACTATACCACGGAGGTGGTCCAGAATGAAGAAATGATACACTGGATAACTGACTTATCCAGGTTACACCTCATGCAGCTATGTATGTATGTATGTATGTATGTATGTATGTATGTATGTATGTATGTATGTATGTATGTATGTATGTATGTATGTGTGTGTGTATGTATGTATGTATGTATTTATGTGTGTGTGTGTGTATGTATGTATGTATGTATGTATGTATGTATGTATGTATGTATGTATGTATCTATGTGTGTGTATGTATGTATGTATGTATGTATGTATGTATGTATGTATGTATGTATGTATGTATGTATGTATGTATGTATGTATGTATTTATGTGTGTGTGTGTGTGTGTGTGTGTGTATGTATGTATGTATGTATTTATGTGTGTGTGTGTGTGTGTGTGTGTGTGTATGTATGTATGTATGTATGTATGTATGTATGTATGTATGTATGTATGTATGTATTTATTAATTTATTAATTTATTTATTTATTGTTTATTGTTTTATTTATTTATTGTTTGTTTTATTTATTGTTTGTTTGTTTGTTTTATTTATTTATTTATTTATTGTTTGTTTGTTTCAAGCCATACTCTACATTATTTCAACTATATGACGGTAGTCTGCAAATAATCAAGTCTGGACCAGACAATCCAGTGATAGACGTCATGAGGATCAATCTATGCAACTGGGATACGATGATATACAACAACCAAATGAGCAAGCTTGACCTACCGGTACTCGATCCCTTCAGTTGCCTCATGTTGCTGAAGCCCTATTCTAATCCAGATGTTCACAGGGGAAAAGCATGGGTTGCTGGAGACCAATTCTAACCCAGATATTCATGGGGGAAGTGATTTATCAAGGGCATCAAGATATCAAGAGAGAGAGAGAGAGAGAGAGAGAGAGAAGAGAGAGAGAGAGAGAGAGAAGAGAGAGAGAGAGAGAGAGAGAGAGAGAGAGAGAGAGAGAGAGAGAGATGATCACCTTGTCTTCAGCAAACCCTCCTTCATCAATGAGTACACTGAACAGCTCCCCAGTTGCCAGCTCTATCACAACCACTATCTGGAACACAAGCAGGGTGGTCACAGCAAGACACACTTAAAACATAAAGTAACACATACATTCATGATCAAGCTCTAGTGCATCTCATGATAGACATATTACCGTATTCGATGTAATAAGCGCCCCGCTCTAATAAGCCCCCACTGCGATAATTGCTAGCATATTAAATTTTGGATTAATATATCTGTAGTATATAAACATGTCAAAGAGGTCAAAGAGGCCTCAAATTGACCTTTTGATGCTTATGTATGGGTAAACTGTCCTGTTGAGAAACTTGAAGAAAGCTCAAGTCTACCCTGTTCATGTGGACAACAAGGGTGGATAACTCTAATTCTAATTCAAACTCATTCTGGAAAGCTCCCCTCATTGTTGGCCTCAGACCACAGTTATCCCCCCTAAGTTTTACCATGAACCGGAAGGAAAATAGGAAAATATTGTGCCCTGTTCAAATGTGATGTTCACATGCCAATTTTTTTTAAGCAACTTGTGATAGCTTAAATGAAAGATTAGACTTTGTAGTATGTTGCCAATTATTTGTTAGCCACATGCTGTGAAGGTATATTGATTCCAGCCTCCGATGACTTGACGCCCAAGTTGAAGGCCGCTCTGTGTGGTTACTGCGAAAGGGGGCTGGTCAATGCAGGCTGAAACTTTGTGTATTAAGTGGCAGGTTGGTAAGCATGCAACAGGAGAACGGCCTACGACCGATAATAATTATGATGGGCTGTGGTCACTGTAGATAGCAAAGAAGGAAATTAATTGTGGTCTGAGGCCTGTTGACTGGTTCAAATGTGGCCATTACTCGCACAATAACTTTGCCCGTAGCATCACACAGACATTGTAAATGCTCAGATGATGGCTAGTTTTTAAGAGAAAATTCTCTTTTAAAAGTGAATGAGATGTTTTACAGTTGTTCATGTGATTAGAGAAAAGATTATGAATGATTCTTCAGCATCCGAAAACCCATAACACGGGGATAATGGTTTGTCCTTGTGTTCACACAGTGGTATACTCACATCATCCTTGGTCTCGAAGCTGTCGAGGAGCTGGATGATGTGTGGGTGGGCAAGTCCTTGCATGATGGTGATCTCGTTCCTCAGGCCATCCAGCTCCTTCTTGGTCTTGTGGAACTTCGACATGTATTTCATAGCTGATATCTGTGGAGCAAACACAATATTACCGTCTGTGTTAACTGTCAACGCTGAAGCCATCTTCCCGAGGCAAGAGAGTTAACTGACTTTAAAAGGCCAGTTTCCACCCTTGCCGAACTAGGCTGGAATTACTGGGCTCGATCGTAGCGCCACCAGTGGCTATTACGAGTTATGTCCTTTCTATGCCTCTCCTATTGACCAATCAGATTCAACCTCTCGTATCACTAGCATTTGCTTCAAACAAAACGGTGGCGCCCAGTCAAGACGATCTGATCGATAATCAAGATCTATATTGTGATAAAACGAGTCTTACATTGCGAAGTGCATCAAATCACGTGAGCACCTTGATTAAAAACATGAAAAGATATAGAAAATATTTGTTGACAACGAGTTAGCGGTGCACATGCTTTGCAAATCCTGCAGTCGACCGAACTATGCATGACACTTTACAAACCGGATTTTGATTTCGGTGCACAATTTTGATTGGACTATGCATAGACTCGTTAGTCCAGCCAAAATGTAACTGCATAATACCAGCCTAGTTCGGCAAGGGTGGAAACTGGACTTTTATAGTCAGTTAACTCACTTGCCTCGGAAAGATTCACTGTAGCAAGCTGCCACAGGACAAGATGACAGCCTGCACTACACGTCCCCATCACTTCTTCCTGAATATGTGTGGTACCATGAGTGAATTCATGACAACTTCTGTGTGAGTGGAAATAGCCCTTATACTGTCTGCTTCATAATCTAAAGTGATGCACGGTTACAAGTAGGGCTGGGACGAGTCCAAATTTACTACCCGGGTACCCATCCCTCTATTACCCGACCCTACCCGGGTACCCACTGTAGGTCTCAGGAGATGTCTCAAAATGTCCGACTGGGCACATATTTAGCATAGCCCTGGCAAAACGTATTTAGATACATGTATTAAACAATCTGGTCATTCATACACTGAAGCTGAATTAAATAATATCTTTATTCAACCACATGAAAAATCAGAAGGAATGGGTGCTTAGTCAGAGAGAAATGCGAACATTAGTGACTTGTAGTGTAACCATAGAGTTCTCAATAATTTTTGTCATTAAAAATATATTACGTGACTAACCATGGGTCCGGGTAGTCCTGTGGGTACCCGGGTCCTACTCAGTACCCACTCGACCCGGGTACCCGAGTTACCCGTCCCACCCCTAGTTACAAGCTAGGGCGGAAGTGTCACCCACAGAATATTCCGGTATGCAACCATTAGCAACGGAGTCATTATTGCCTTACAAGTAACATTATCACATATTACATTATATAATATATTTGTAAACAATTGAGGCACATTGAGGTTTTGTAAGTTATGCCACACTTCTTAATTTCATGGTTTACTGACTTTTAGCTAACCTAAATGAGGGGTGGTGGGGTAGCTGAGCGGTTAAAGCATTTCGCTCGGGTTCGATTCCCGACATGGGTACAATGTGTGAAGCCTATTTCTGGTGTCCCCTGCCGTGATATATTTTGAATATTGCTAACCGCAACATACAACCATACTCACTCACTCACCATCCTAAATGGTTAACTAGGAGACAGTAAACCATGAAATTAAAAGTAAAATATTTGGGAAGGTGGAAATAAGAATAAAAATAGACTTGGTTTAGAACTCTTACTCAACATTTTTAATATATTTGACATGTTTGGTATAATATTGTTTGGGTAGATCAGCTTTGTGAGAAAAATATATGATAATTTTACAAAATGTTTAATATGTTACTATTTATGTCTTTCTTCATATGAGTTAATACTTTTTTTATAACAAAAAGGGATAAAATGTGCAAAAACAGGCCGAATTGAATTTCTACACAGAGCAATGGGAATTGAATTGCCGCATTCACAAGCGGTCACCCTGACTGATAATATGTCAATTACAGTAACAAGTACATTATTTACTTATGTCACAGAAATATTTATTTACCTTAAATGATGTTTTCAGTAGCAAGAGGCTACACATACAAAGCATTCTGTCAGAAGTTATATCATTAATACCTCATACCTCAGATGTGTATTTTTTCCTTCCTTTGAACACCTCCCCAAAGGCTCCCTCCCCCAACTTCTCAAGTTTGATGTAATCATCTTCTGTGGACTCAGTCATGGTGATTTGTTCGTCTTACGCTGAAAAAAAGAAAATCTAGTTACCATGAGCAACAGGTTAGTTTCAGTGAAAGAGCATTTTCTGTATATCACACTTAATACATGGCCTCTATTTATCATCTACACTTATATAGTTAAAAATCCGTAATAACATGCTGCAAGAATAATGCTGAGCCCTGTAGGGCTCCTGATTTAGAGGGGGTCACGGGTGGCCCAGTCGTCTAAGGCGTCACAAATTCGCTGTGCAGAGTTGTGTCCCTTGGGCACGCCAGAAACCTATGATTGTTGGTTCGAATCCCAGTCCGCACCGATTATGTTTCTAGGTTTGTCAGCACCATACCCGTGCTGGTGGGTTTCACCGAAGTGGTAAACGTCTCAGACCTGCATCACTTCAGGCTTTCCTCCCACATTAAGCTGACACACCGTGATATAACTGGAATACTGTTAAAAGCGGCGTTAAACCCAACTCACTCACTTACTCCTGATTTAGAATTGGCCCCTTAAAATGTACCTTGGATCATGTTAACTTTAAATCTTGGCAGTGTTTGAAATAATTCTAAAACCCAACAAGACAGTCGGGCAGATGGCCCATAACTGTTGCCTGCCCATCTTCAAAGTTACCTGCCCACATTCAGACATGATAAATATAGAAAAATCGCAAAAACTTGAGGACAAATAATTCTTGATTTTCAGTTGAAATAATGCAAACAATAATTGAGAATCTACAAGGAGTTAAAATAAAACTGAATACATGTCGTCTTAAAATTATCTGCCAGACAGTCGGGCAGGTGGAGGAAAATGTCATGCAGCCCCAGAGAAAGGCTACCTGCCACAGGCACACAGTTATTTCAATGAAACGAGGTAACGAAGACTGGCATCAGGGGGTGACACTCTCTGCGATCATCAAATTCCAAATGGCTTTGATCATCGCTCATGCTATCAGTCACTGGTTTGTCAAGTTCAGACTTGATAATAAAAAGGTCACAGTTGGAACATATCTGACTGCACAAGACAACATTCACCCACCCGTAATGCAATACACTAAGTTTGACAACCCAGTGCTCTAGAGAAGGCGTATTTGCATAAAAAAATGCATAAAATAATTTTTTTACCGACAGTTACATTCGGTGAAACATGTAACAAACATGTCTCAATGTGCTACAATGTTTTTTGGGGTTTGCCTGATCTAGACTCCAATTAATGTTTACAGGCAGCCTGATACAGCTGGAATAATGCTGTGTTAAACCCAGTCAGTGAATAACAAGAACCTAACACGTAGCATGCAGTGTATTTCTTATATTTGTCGAATAGTCAATTTTGCAATTAAATCATTTCTATATTTTCAGTTTCACAAATCAGTTATAAAAAGATGTAGAAATCTATATACATATCTATATACGTCTTTGTCTTATACAATCAATTTTATTATAAATCAAAATTTTAATGCTTAAATGTTTGGTTATTATCTATAACATGTAAAACCACGAAAATAGTTGTATATGGCGTATTATGATTTCAAAATCAGAAGAATAGCATGAATATAATATATGTTTAAATCTAACATGTGGCAAATTTACAGAATTTGAAATTGGGCTCCTGAAATTGTGACATTTGGCAGGTGAGGTGTCACTAGGTCTATTTATTATTGAATATTGTTATTTCCGGGTTGTCAATAATACCTTTTTCTACCTCGCTGCAACATTCACGTGCTTCCTTCTCTCTCTTCGACCAAAACCCCTCTTTATCTCAGCATAAGATTAGTTTCTCATCATGAAGTATTTCCATATTTAGCGGTATTGTCACAAACCCGTCATCATGGTCATCAACGCTTCTGTCAGACAGGTTTATCTCGTGTATTATGTCATCTTTGTTTGGGACGACAACTCTTTGAAGTAACCGCCATTATTGTCGTGTGCGCGTGCGCAACAGGAAGTGTCGTTTCCTACCCTCATTTTGGAGGGTTTACTGTCAACACACGGCCTGACAGCACAATGAGTTTGTAGGTCGATATTTCAGTCACAGTATGTCAGATACTCTTCTGAAACTGCCTTCTGACACACATAAGGGAGCAACATATTTTCCGGGAGTGAGATTTGAGATATTTTTTTAAATTTAGAAGCTCAATTAGTTTCCCAAACAGAGATTTCTTGGCGCTGAGTGAGTGAGTGGGTGGATGGGTGAGTGAGTGAGTGGTCTTTCTTCTGTACAGGATGGTGGCCAGGTCACACAGGTCAGCAGATGTCAGATGAAGAACAAAAGAACGCATTATTTTTTTCCTATGCACAATATGCGAGCCATGTAATTCCCCCCCCCCCCCCCCCCCAGTAAAACAGGAGCTTGATTATGTTTTAAGAAAAATCCAAAATCCCTACTGAAAATTAAGTGGTTACTCATAAACATTATACCAGTGGTGATATAATGTAACATGTTCTGTTGTGAATAAAGCTAGATGATGTTTTCATGCACTATTTGCATACTGATATGTTCAGGAGCCAGTTTCAAAATGACCATTAAAAAAATGTCAACATGGCCAATAATATTCTTATGGTGATTTTGACCAGTACCCATTTATCATGTATTCCATAACTTGTTTGTTATTAAATGCTGCACTCAAAAATTGTGTAGCTACATGACGATGATGGAATGTAAATAGGCTAATACAATCTGGACCAGAAAATCCAGGGGTAGAAAAAAACATGTGCATCAGCGATGCAATTCGTACACCAATTACATATGACCACCCGATCCATTTAGTCGCCTTAGATTCCTGGGGACCAATTGTAAACCGGAAACTCAACAGGTAGTTTAGTCAATAGATTGAATGAGATGTGTTGTGCTCTGCAGTCGGCAATATCACAGTGATATGTGTAGTCGAGACCATTTGCTTTAACAACTATCAACACCACCATTGGACAATCACAACTTCACACATTGTTAGTTTCACAAACAAATATGACAGTCTCTAGGGGAGTCATGACACATAATATACATATTTGGTGAGGCTCGTGGAAAAATGTACATTTTATAACAAAATATTAAGTGTCTTTGCATTTTGTCTTTTCAGGGTAGGTCATGAAAAGGACATGGGGAGGGTCATAAAAACATATGACAAGCATTGTGGGAGATTCATTATAGCATAAAAAAACTCGGGATCATATGTGTCACATTTCACTTAGAAAACAAATGGCTGCGTAAATGGCCATACATAGTTTTTACAGTATGAAAATCAGATTTGAACCCCGTGAATAAATCAGGTGGGAACAAGCATGTTAAATTTTAGCTTCCCTGGTCTGGATGTTTCTGAGATGTTTACTGAGATGTAAACTGGACCACACATGCTTGCAAAGAAACACTCCAGAAGCTCACGTGACAAGTCATGGTGGTATTCCGGCTGCCGCAGTGCACTGAGTGAGTGAGTTGGGTTTAACGCCGCTTTTAACAGTATTCCAGTTATATCACGGCGTGTCAGCTTAATTGGGGAGGAAAGCCCGAAGTGATGCAGGTCTAAGACGTTTACCACTTCGGTGAAACCCACCAGCACGGGTATGGTGCTGACAAACCTAGAAACATAATTGGGGCGAACCGGGATTCGAACCCACACTCATAGGTTTCTGGCATGCCAAAGGGACAGCGAATCGTGGCGCCTTAGACGACTGGGCCACCCGTGCCCCCCCCCCCCCGCAGTGCACTGAGCTGGATGCCATGAATGTTGTTATGTTGTTGTGGTACAAGGAGGCCAATATTTCAAGGTTGAAATCTATTTTTAGGCAAGAGTTTCAAATGAATCAAATATTTAGCCCTAAGCTTATGAGCACATTTGGTCATGTATTCTACGTGAAAGTCCCATTCTAATATCATATATAATATTAATTACAGTCTGTTACAGAAGAACCATGGTTCATGACTGTGAAGAACCTGTACCGCAAGTACAGTAGACTGAACCAATGAGAAGCAGTCCCAGACGCAGTGCACAAGTTGTTCCCATCTTCAATACAAAGAAACCTCAGGAATCATCCATTCAGTTGTTGGTTTTCGAAGTTTCGGCTACATACAAAATTATAGTGCAAAACAGAAGAGACGGTGTGGTTTGCTCAGTGAATGATTTATTTCGCTATGGAATGTACAAAACTCGCTTTGCCAACCTCAACATCAAAACAGAATACATGAATAATCAATGTATCATATACTTCAAACATCACAGATGAAGAGTATGATGAAAATTGTCCATAAAAATAGCAGAAAAACATCTCTCATAGGATTTCAGTTTGTATGAACAATGAATTTTTGTTGGTTTGTTGTTCAACGCCGCCCTCAGCAATATTCCAGCTATATGACATTGGTCTGTAAATAATAAAATCTGGACCAGATAATCCAGTGATTGAAATCTTCTCGAGGCCATAAACTAAGGTCCCATACCATCATCATGCCTGTTCAGGGCCACTTGCACAAAGCAATCTTAGTGCTAACTCCCATACTTTAACATAGGCTTACGATAGTCTTAGCGCTAAGATTGCTTTGTGCAAGTGTGCCCTGGTACCATACTGGTTTGAATATTTCAGGCACAATTTAACACTCAACAGGAACTTTGTTCAAACTATGCCCCATCCTGCATTATCCAGTGTATTTGATCCAGTCTAATGATAAATACCAGGGACCAGTACAACACCATAGATATATCATACATCAATGTAGAATCCTATGGGCCATATTCCTATATATATAACTAGAGAAGTTGTGGTTGCATCAGCACAATAACTTTGCTATTTAAGTTCTCCATCTGATTGTATTGCTTTTCATTTCCATGTCAACTGATGTTCCTTTGTTTGCCATGTGTCATACCCTTCTACACAGCTGTGGTTTTTGGAAAACAAGTGTGCACTATACTTAAGAAAATATGGCATCGCTTTTGGAATAGTGTTTACACACCACAGGAGGAGTGGGAATGTCTCCCAATTATGCAAGACTAGAGAAGATTCAGCATATAAATTGATGGAAGCAAGGCTAGGAACAGAGTAGGGGGGATGTGTAGGTGGTGAGGGTGCTTGTTGTGCTACAGGTAATTAGTTGTGGTGACATTATACGGGGACTATACTGCATGTTGTGGTGCCCCTTTCCCAGTCCAGGTAAGACATGGATAATGTCGTGTGTGCACCAGAAAGGATGCTGAATACGTTGACGTAGTTGATTACAGTAATTATGGTATGCAGTGACATAGCTGATTACAGTAATTATGGTATGCAGTGACGTAGCTGGACACAAATGGTATGACATTTTCATGATGTTATCAAGTTTTGATGGGACATTCTTTAATATTATTACCAAATTTGAACTGAGTGTTTAGGACAATTGGATCACGATCAGTCAATGTCCTAGAGTAAGAACTGATCTGGAACTCTGGTATTGTATATTATGCAGTTAATTATGATAGAATATTTCTCACACTCAGTGATTGTGACAGGTACTGTAATATTAACATGTACAAGATGAATTATTACAAAAAGGTACCAGGAATATTGCTAAAGCACATCAAGTATTTCTTCTTGTGGACGGAAGCTCGTGTAAAATCTTCAAAATCTTTTAACATAATGGTGATGGTTCTGGTGGAATGTGTGATAGAGTACATGACATAACATGACATCTTGGAGGGATTTTACAGCATGTGACTTAACAAACACGTCACAAACATCGTCAACATCTTAAAAATACTACTCAACTTTGGATAGTGATATTTTTATCTTTCCATGACACACAAAACAGATTCTTATGATATGTTGTGGATTATTAATAGAATGACATATCTGACTATCCCTATCAAGAGTTGAGTAGTATATAAACAGCTATGCGAAAACAAACTCTCTATGTGTGACATTGGAGGGAATTTGTGTATGGATGGAATAAACACATTAATGTACAGAGGTTACCACGCAAGGTTGACATAATCTTGCCACATTTTGTCAGGGAATAATATATAAATCTATGAGATTCTGAACAGTATGGCAGCTCTCATCAGTCACACATGGTTCATGCATAAACGTGGAACAGGACATGTTTTAGTCAAGGATGGCACTGCATGCAATTCATTTCTTCCATTCAAACATGGCTGTATCATCCCTTGACGCTTTCTTCAAAGATTGTGGCCTGGTACGATTTGTTCACAACTGCGGCATGACACGTCCAGTCGGGGTCGTCCTCTAATCACACAGTGACCTTTGGCTGCTTTCTCACTTTTGTCTCATCTGTTTCGCACCACGGAACTCTCAGAATGAAAAAGGTGTTGATTCGGGCAAAAATATTGTATTGCAATATACTGCGATACAGGTATCTGTATCGCAATACGTATTGCGATATATTGGGACATAGAGTGGCTGACAGTGAGTGACACTGATTGTACACGCAGATCCTATTTTCTACACACTTAAGTAAATATTTCTCAGCATGGTCAGTCGTCATCATTTTATAAACGTCTACACAGGGGAGATAACAATGTGAGAGAAATATCACTCCCCGAATTGATCAATCTCGCAGGGAAACATCATATGTGAATGAACTTCTGTGTAGATTTAAGGTTAAACGAGAGAAACAATATTTTCACATTTCTTTTTCCCCAATATACCAGAACAGACAAAATATTGCAATACGTATCATTTGAAAAGCGTATTGCAGTATACCAGTAATACTGAGCAGTCTGTTACAAAGGTCATTCAGTCCTTTGTTTATGACTTGCAAACACCAATATTAAATTATTTTTACCTGAATTCATTCATCATTTTACCCGATATTTTATTGTGACAGTTCGTTCTGCTTGACATTGCCAAACAAACCTATGTACAGCACTGCAACCATACAGGCTTTCCCTATAATGTATGGTAGGTGTTCTTGAACCAATACTGTACATGGGTCCATGTACGTGGATAATGGCAGTGCCTACTACACACCAGATTGCAACTACTAGCTGCCTTGTAGTAGACGTATGAGTTTGTTACACTGAGAGGAGATGTTGTAGTCTCCCCCTCCCTGCATGCTGAGGCTGCTGCCCCGCCCTGACATCTGGGAGGCAGGGCGGGAGAGGGCGGAGATGGGCCTGGGGGTGCTGGCTGCAGTCAGGTCACATAGCTTGCCGACTGCATTTAGGGACACCATTTCCTGCAAGAGAGAAACATTATTTTGCTACTGAGGCCAGACATTTTTTTAAACTTGATTTACAGATCTGACAACTATCAAAAATTGAGATGTGAAAAAAATTAATAAAAGTGTCTTTCATTCCACCGACCAGAAATAAGTAAAAGGTAAAAAAACTCATTAACTATCGTTATCAATGTAGAATTATTTGAAATACTTCAACCTGTCCAAAAAATATCCTAAAAAATTCAAAGCACAATGAATAATGATGAATAGCAATAGATCAATGTCTATAACAGAAGGGAGAAACTCTAAAGTCTCCTTGTATCGACACACAAGCATATCATATCTTATCATATTTTTTGGACCTACCAACCTGTATTTTGGGGCCAAAATCTGTAAACCAAAAATATTAACCGTCTTGTCTTACCTTCCTGAGTAGTTCCTGCTGTGCCAGACTGCGTAGGGCTAGGAGAGTGTTGGTCTGGACACTGGGGTGATTGTCAGAGCATGCCACATCGATGAGACTGAAGGAAAACCAGAGACATCAACTTGGGGGTATAGGTGAAATGGGGTTTAACGGCTCATTCAAAATTATTTCATTTCTGCCATGCACACGGGTATTTAGGCTTCTTATAATGTTCTGGGCCCCGTTCCTCAAAGCGATCTTAGCACTAAGGTGATCGTAAGTCCCATACTTTAACATAGGCTTATGATCATCGTAGCACTAAGATCGCTTTGAGGAACGGGGCCCTGGACTTACGCCAGTTTTACAGTCTCAGCCCACTGAGATACCATGCTACAGTTTAACATGGATACTCCACTCAGACACATTATACAGACGCCAAGCCGACCAGAACTTGTTTTAAAATAAAATGCTGAGCTCTAGCTTTTGATGTCTTTGATGTAGCAGGGCCAAGCGATAGTTCCATCGGCCCGTGAAGATACGGGGAAGAATAGGTCTTCAGCAACCCATGCTTGCCGTAAAAGGCGACTTTGCTTGTGAGAGGCGACTAAAGGGATAGGGTGGTCAGGCTTGCTGACTTTGTTGATGCATGTCATCGTATCCCAATTGCGTGGATTGATGCTCATGAAGTCAATCACTGGATCTTCTGGTCCCGACTCGATTATTTATAGACCGCCGTCATATAGCTGGAATATTGCTGAGTGCGGCGATAAACAACTTACAAACAAACAAACAAAACGATAGATCCATCAACCTATTTTTTAGGTTTTAAAAGATAAAATTATTGGTTCTCAGTCAATGGTTTTTGAAAATACAGTACAGTATGTAACCAAATAAACAGTTGTGTACAATTAACCTGGGAAAGGGCCTCCCTACATAAATGTATTGCTTGATGAGTAAGATACTGGAAAACAATATTTGACCAGCGTTTGACTTGGAATATGTGAGGATTTTTTTGTTTTTTCTAAAAATGGAAATAAAAACAAACCATGCGTCACACTTTATAATGATGTGGGCGGTGCTTGAGAACTAAGACTATTATTTTTTTTAGCTTTATATATATATTATTTTACAGGTTAAAATAAGGGTATGGAAGCTAAATAAACTTTGAACCTGGATCATATTCTAAACCAAGCAGTTATTACTTAAACTGGAATCTATTGGTACTTTTCTCATGAGAACTTGGGTGGTGGGTTAGCCTTCGTAATAATGCAGGAATATTGCTGAAAGCGGCGAAAAAACCACACTCACTCACTCACATGAGCACTCACACTGCACTTACTGTTCTATGACCTTGTGTTGTTTGATGTCTGGAACCAGGACAGGAGAGTGCATCCCGAGATTCCCACAGGCACCTGAAACAGTCGGTTGTCACCATGTTGAAATCATGTCTTTCCCTGCAGTAAAACCTTCTCAGGTGACAGGACACCATTTCATAGTGCTACCACTATTGTAACTCCCATATTAAAACACAGACTCGATGTTTGTTTTGTTTGTTTGTTTGTTTGTTGTGTTAATGCCACACTCAGCAATATTCCAGCTATATGATGTTGGTCTGTAAATAATCGAGTCTGGACAAGACAATCCAGTGATTGACATCATGAGCATCGATCCAGGCAATTGGGATACGATGACATGCATCAACCAAGTCAGCGAGCCTGATTGCCTGATTCCCATAAATCGTCTCTTACGACAAGCATAGTCACCTTTTACGGCAAACATGGGTTGCTGAAGACTATTCTACCCTGGACCTTCACGGGTCGATGTAATGTAAGTGGTCCATATATAGGTGTGACCATGTTTGCCTGTGTTACACTGTCGGCTGCAAGTTCTGATGAGGTTCAATATGTCTCAGCTGCAGACTGTGGAAAGCTGGTTACTTCCCCAAATTCAGACAGTCCTTACTGGTTATTTCAATGTCACAAGTGTCAGCAATCCGGCTTCCCAATCCCACATCTCTGACATTGTCCATAGAGTTGGTGAGGTGAGGTGTGGTGAAATAGGGTTTAATCTTATGTTCAAAATTATTGCACTTATATAGCGAAGTGCATGCATGTGTGTGTGTGGCTGCTTGTACTTGTCCGGACTGATGCTGATTAACAGTGCTAGCCCACTGAGATACCATGCCGCAGTTTAACATGAAAACCCCACTCAGACACAGTACACTGACTCTTAGCCGAACGCCAGACAGGGTAACAAAAAGTACCATCTTTTAACGTCTTTTGGTATGATGTGGGCAGGGATCGAACCACGAACCTTCTGCTCTCCGGGTGTACGCTCTACCACTAGAGCACAACACACATTCTCATTAGATACCATTGAAATAAGTGGACTTTCTCAGTATCTGACAGAGTAAAAGTAAAAACAAAAAAAAGGGTTCCAGGGTGACCTTACACATGTGACCTCAGCGACCTCACCGTTATCCATTCAAAACGAGATCAAACTAGTACGATTTAGCATCTCACCACCTCTTCTCTTCATCTTCAGCCCATGGGTAATAATCTCATCTACCATACACCCCTACCTAGTATGAGTGTATTTAATAGGGCTGTCACCACACACCGATGTACTGATGCATTGCAAATTTACACCTGAGGATACAATACAAGATATGTTCTACTATGTATCAATTCATGTCTTAATTCTGTATAGCTTTAAAAAAAACGTTTTAAATATTTTGCAATAACCAGCCTCACCACCATCTGAGCTAGCATTACCTTACTGCCTGGACCAAAAAAATGGCTAAACCTGATTTCATGGTGTCATTACATGTCTAGATTAACTAGTGACGCATTCTGAACACAAACAGGTCGACCACAATAACCTCCAGTTGCTGTTCCATGAGAAAATAAAAAACTATGTACGCTATTTATTTAAGGACCGACTGAATATTTTTTCGGTTCATTGAGGTAGGAATCGAAAACCTGATGTGCAAACTGTATGAATCCATCACACAGTCAATCCTTATAATTAAATTTGACAACCAAAACATGTGTTATCTCAAATAGTTTAACCAACAATAGTTTTATATATCAAAGCAGACAAAAATGAAGAGATTGATAAACATTCCAGGTGTAGGAGAACATACTGTGGTGTGACACGAATCAGGTGATTGTTTAATTTATGCACATAACTTGGCACGCCCACAAAGTGAGTAGCCAATCAGCGGAGTCTAGGAACAAAACAAAGTTCATAAGGCCTGTCAATCAAGGCAAGAGGCGAGAAGAACTGCAACAGTCAGGCTGTAACGAACAGGAACAAATATGTCCGGGAAAAGGGGGTTGTTTCAAATGACATGGTCAGTTATCACCAGATTTGAACATTAGTTCCCTGAGAACAGGAAGATACAGTTGGAAAAATGCTGGTTAGAAATGAAACCCAGGCGAGCAGACATAAAACAGGTAAGTGAGCCTGCACGTTTTCTGTTTCATTCCTTCTCGGCCTTTGGTCTCAAAGGGTTGTTTGGAAATGAATATGCATGAATTTTGCTGAATGTCCTGTGCATGACGATACACGTGAGCAGAAAGGGAATTCCCTCGACTATAATATTTGGATCCCCCGACATTCTATAGCAATAAAAGTAGTCCGCTTCAGTGGGCGTGGCTTTATTTTTTACATTCATTAGGACAATCAATGAACGCGACGAAAATCTAATTATATCGTATTCCGACTCAGGTATCCAGGATAAATTTTTTTTATAAATATTTGGATTCCCCAACATTCCGTAGTAATAAAGTAGTCCACTTCGGTGGGCGTGGCTTAATTTTTTACATTCATTGGGACAATGAACAAAACAAAAATTTAATTATATCGTATTGTGACTCAGGTATCAATGAGGTAGGTTCATGGTGACACTTCTACTGCCAATGTGATGTACTTACTGGCTGCATTAGACTTGGTCTTGGTGAGAGGATCTCGGAGTAGTCGGACCAGGTGAGGGATGGCAGGCTTCAACTTGGTGTACAGGTCCCCGCTGTGATACCCAGCATTACCCACAGCATAGCTGGCTCCCTGGAGGTAGGGAGACAGTAACAGTGCAAGAGTGATCTAAACCAGTAACCAGCTAACAAGGGTGGATCCAGCATTTGTAAAAGGGAGGGGTCCAAAATATCAAAATCCTCTCTGCCTGCGACATACTACATTAGGTTTTCAAAAGGGGTCCGGATCCCCTGGACCCCTCCTCTGGATCCGCCTATGGCTAGTCACATCTGAGAGAGGGATGTTAAGACATGGTAACAATGAATGTGTGATAAACACTTGTAACCAGCTAGTCATATCTGGCCCCACTTGCACAAAGGGATCTTGGCGCTGTGACTATTGTTGAAGTATGGGAGTTATGATCATCTTAGCACTAAGATCGCTTTGTGCAAATGGGCCCTAGCAGAGTGGGAACATTTGCTCAATAGTTCATCTTTGATATGCATCATGAGAAACATGGATAAACAATAACTTGTTTATTTTCGTGCTACTGTGTCATTGTGTATTTGATGAAAGTTGACTGACTTAGGTTTATCAGTACCAGTATACAAATCAGTGGATTGTACTTCTTACAAGATGGATTGTACTTCTTACAAGTTGGATTGTACTTTTTACAAGATGGATTGTACTTCTTACGAGATGGATTTACTTCTTACAAGATGGATTGTACTTCTTACAAGATGGATTATACTTCTTACAAGATTGACATTACTTCTTACAAAATGAATCATACTCCTTTTAAGATGGACATTACTTCTTACAAAATGGATTATAATTCTTACAAGATGGATTGTACTTCTTACAAGATGGACATTACTTCTTACAAAATGGATTATAATTCTTACAAGATGGATTGTACTTCTTACAAGTGTAATCAAAAGCTTCTTTAAATATATAAACATTCGTGGCGTGATCTACATGTTTTACCTTTCTGACATTTGAATCTTCATCTTGGAGCCGAGCTATCAATCCTGCCAGTATTTTGTCTCTGTAAACAAACACACCCAATATTTCATTGATATGATATCACACTCTAATAGCCCTATCTGAAGAAACCAACACACTACATCACATCACTGATCCCATTCTTGTCAGCAAGATGACACTGGTCTGCATTCAGAGCATTTAATATTTTCTAAGTACAACAGCTCATCCCCTCATCAGGTTTGTTTGCTTTTTTGTTTGGTGTGTAACGCGGTACTCAGCAATATTCCAGCTACATTATGGCGGTCAGTAAATAACTGAGTCTTGACCAGGAAAACAGGGATGAGAATGGATATGTTCCTTTCCAGCTGAAACTTCTATTGAATGGAGCGTGGTCCATAATTTGTTGGTGTTAATGGGGGGTCAGGGGTCAAATTTAACAAATCTGTGGCCACTAAAATTTGCGGATCTGAGGACCCACAAAGATTCGCACCCCTGGACAATCAAGTGGTTGACATCACGAGCATCAATCTTTGTATTTGGGATATGATGACATGCATCAAACAAGTCTGACTACCAGAACCTGTTAGACACCTCTTACGACAAGCATGAGTTGCTGAATACCAATTCTGACCTGGATCTTCATGGCGTCCCCTCATTAGATTTAGTGTTGGAAGACCTAGCATTCTATTGGATGCTGTAGGTCAAATGATTTGGTTGGTTTGTTGTTTAATGCCACACTCAGCAATATTCCAGCTATAAGACGGCGGTCTGTAAATAATCGAGTCTGGACCAGACAATTCAGTGATTAATATGAGCATCGATCCACACAATTGGGATACGATGACATGCATCAACCAAATCAGTGAGCCTGACCACCAGATCCTGTTAGTCACCTGTTACAACAAGCGTAGTCACCTTTTACAGCAAGCATGGGTTGCTGAAGACCTATTCTGCCCCGGAATCTTCATGGGTCATACACACAGGGTACCACATCCTATAGTCTGATGGATGCACCATATACTCACCTTTGTTTGAGGACAGGGTACATCTGAGCATCATGTTTCATCAGATTACCCAGCAAGCTACATGTCCGAGATCGGACAGCTGTGGACACGTTGGTGATCATCTTGACCAGGGGTTCATAGTCACCTGAAGTGTAGAGAGGGGTCCAGGTGGGGAGTGAGTTTAATGCCGGCGAGAATGGTACATTAATTCTTACAAAACATGGGCACCATTTTTAAGGTCTTTATAGGGCCGTTTCAAGGCAATGATCACACTTTTCAAGGCAAACAATGTAAGATGTTAGCTTGTTTGTTGTTTAACGCCGCACTTCAGCAATATTCCAGCTATATGACGGCCTGTAAATACTCGAGTCTGGACCAGACAATCCAGTGCTTGACATCATGAGCATCGATGTACGCAATTGTGATAAAATGACAAGCGAGCCTGACCACCTGTTTGTCTCTTCTAATGACAAGCATCGTCGCCTCTTAATGACAAGCATAGTTGCCTCTTACAGCAAGCATGGGTTGCTGAAGACCTATTCTAACCTGGATCTTCATGGGTGGCTAAAAATATGACCCAGCTGTGCTTTCAATAGAATTCTTTTTTATTAGAACTTTCTTACCTACTTACTACTCAATTTGTACATCAAAATACACAAGCATATTCCACACATAACGGTTTCAATATTACTTTTGACCAAGATGGAGGCTATCCTTTTAACATTTTTCATAATCACACATAATAAAAAAAACAACAAATTCTTGTATATCTATTTGACAGCATAGTTATAAATTCAAGACCTTTTCTTAAATTTTATTGAATTTTAAGGCTTTTTTTAAGGTTTATTTAAATTTATGTTCTTTCAAGGCAAGAGTGCTGATCATGTTTATGATGTGTCAGCTTGTTGGAGAAAATCCAAACAGTTAGTTTTGACAGCCATAAAACCAGATGATTGCTCTGTATTCTAAATGAACTAATTTCAATGGCTAGATGCCGTTTTTGTTGTAGTTCAGTAGTGACTTGATAATCTGTTTATATCAACTGGAGCAAGGCTGCAGTGTGAGGTGTCAATACGCCATGATGCTCACCTTTATTACCCAGAAAGACTGACTTGACGAGCGAGAGATGTTGCGGAGACATTCTGACCAGGTGGCTGCAGATAGTGATGGCGTCACAGACGACGGAGATTGGGTGGTCTTCCTGGACGACAGTCACCAGGAAGGAAACAGTCTGTACAGGGGAGATAACTCTGGCTATGTAATGGGAGTCACATTCAGACGATTATTCTCTGTTGTAGTTTCTATACATTCACAATGACTTACAATAGTCAACATACTAAAATTGTTTTGCAAAGAGAGTGTTCTTGAAAGTTATCATTTTCATTCCACATTTTCTGATGTACCTCTGAATTAAAGCAAGCAGAATTTCTGCTTCAGACGACTGGGCCACCCGTGCCCCCCTATATATGATGAAAACATGTTAATAGCCAATTAATATAACTGAATTTATTTCAGAGAGCTTTAACTGAAACCGTCCACTCCAAATCTGCACAGGAAACTGACCTTCTCTTCCTTAATAGCTGAGGCGAACTGTTCCACAAATATCCTGTTAGCGAGCACGAGTCTGGCAATGAGGCCCATGGGGGTCTCGAGGTTCTCCTTGGTCAGATAGCAGGTACAGCCGGCCACCAGTCGGGGCAGGAGGTCACATGTGTACAGGCAACTATATCAGATACACTTGTGTTACTTTACAAGTGAGTAGGTCACATGTGTCACTTTACAAGTGAGGAGGTCACATGTGTACAGGCAACTATATCAGATACGCTTGTGTTACTTTACAAGTGAGGAGGTCACATGTGTACAGGCAACTATATCAGATACGCTTGTGTTACTTTACAAGTGAGTAGGTCACATGAGTCACTTTACAAGTGAGGAGGTCACATGTGTTACTTTAAAAGTGAGGAGGTCACATGTGTACAGGCAACTATATCAGATACGCTTGTGTTACTTTACAAGTGAGGAGGTCACATGTGTCACTTTACAAGTGAGGATGTCACATGTGTACAGGCAACTATATCAGATACGCTTGTGTTACTTTACAAGTGAGGAGGTCACATGTGTTACTTTACAAGTGAGGAGGTCACATGTGTTACTTTACAAGTGAGGAGGTCACATGTGTTACTTTACAAGTGAGGAGGTCACATGTGTTTCTTTACAAGTGAGGAGGTCACATGTGTTACTTTACAAGTGAGGAGGTCACATGTGTTACTTTACAAGTGAGGAGGTCACATGTGTTTCTTTACAAGTGAGGAGGTCACATGTGTTACTTTACGAGTGAGGAGGTCACATGTGTACAGGCAACTATATCAGATACGCTTGTGTTACTTTACAAGTGAGGAGGTCACATGTGTTTCTTTACGAGTGAGGAGGTCACATGTGTACAGGCAACTATATCAGATACGCTTGTGTCACTTTACAAGTGAGGAGGTCACATGTGTACAGGCAACTATATCAGATACGCTAGTGTTACTTTGCAAGTGATGAGGTCACATGTGTACAGGCAACTATATCAGATACGCTTGTGTCACTTTACAAGTGAGGAGGTCACATGTGTACAGGCAACTATATCAGATACGCTTGTGTCACTTTACAAGTGAGGAGGTCACATGTGTTTCTTTACAAGTGAGGAGGTCACATGTGTACAGGCAACTATATCAGATACGCTTGTGTCACTTTACAAGTGAGGAGGTCACATGTGTCACTTTACAAGTGAGGAGGTCACATGTGTACAGGCAACTATATCAGATACGCTTGTGTTACTTTACAAGTGAGGAGGTCACATGTGTTTCTTTTACAAGTGAGGAGTTCACATGTGTCACTTTACAAGTGAGGAGGTCACACATGCAATTTGTTAATATGGTGGCAATATGTCCGACTGACAACTCACTGTTGTATCTCTGCAAGAAGTTCCTCGTTAGCATCCACAGCAAAGGGGAAACAGCACAGCTGAGTGATCTCCAACAGCATGTCAACAGCAAGCTGTTTGCCTTCAGAACCAAAACTGGAAAAAAGTATATAGACATGGAAAGTCTTGGACTGTGTCATGAGCTTCAGGCGTGTCGCGACATCAACCACACCACCCAACCAACCACCCCATCCCCTTTTGGAAGCTAGCAGTGTTAGACACTATTTGCTGCAATCTCCTACCCAGAGTCTCTTGTGAGAAACCTTGTACCTCTGCCACAGGACAGCAAGACACAGTTCATTCAACATATGACACACATTTTTTATTTATTTCATGTTTGGAAAGTCGACACATTTAGGTAAAAATATGTGAGGAAATGGTGAACTTTCTTGGGAAAATATCCTAAGTTGTGAGTGAGTGAGTGAGTTTGGTTTAACGCCACTTTTAAAAGTATTCCAGTCATATCGTTGCGTGTCAGCTTAATGTGGGAGGAAAGCCCGAAGTGATGCAGGTTTCAGACGTTTACCACTTCGGTGAAACCCACAAGCACGGGTATGGTGCTGACAAACCTAGAAACATAATCGGGGCGAACCGGGATTCGAACCCACAATCATAGGTTTCTGGCGTGCCCAAGGGACGCAACTCTGCACAGCGAAACGCGGTGCCTTAGACAACTGGGCCACCCGTGCCTCCTTATTCTAAGATGAGAAAAACTATTTCCATTTGTGTATTTCTCCTTTGTATACATTGACTGCATGGCTCCATGTGCTGTCATGGACTTTGTTTGTTTGTTGTTTGACGCTGTACTCAGCAATATTCCAGCTACATGACTGCGGTCTGTAAATAATCGAGTCTGGACCAGACAATCTAGTGATTGACATCATGAGCATCGATCCACGCAATTGGGATACAATGACATGCATCACCCAAGTCAGCATGCCTGACAAGCATAGTTGCCTTTCATTGCATGCATGGGTTGCTGAAGATCTATTCTACCCCAGATCTTCACGGGTCTGTTGTCAAGGAAGCCCTATGGAAGCGTTATGGTCACTCTGACGTGTGGAGATATAATGTTATACTATTGCTGTTGTAGTAGCATATATATAATTATGCAGAGCATCAGCAAAACACACTGAAATGCTTCAATAAGGCCAGTTTACTCTGATTTCAGATAAAACGTGTTTCTTTACAATCAAGAGAAAAATTTGGTCATGTGATATGCATATTGCATGTGGGAGTGGTGTAATGCTAAGTCACTGCTCCAGAGTGTGACGTCATCACAGGGCCAGAGCGTGACGTCATCACAGGGCCAGAGTGTGACATCATCACAGGGCCGAAGCGTGACGTCATCACAGGGCCAGAAGGTGACATCATCACAGGGCCAAGGCGTGACGTCATCACAGGGCCAGAGGGTGACGTCATCACAGGGCCAGAGCGTGACGTCATCACAGGGCCAGAGTGTGATGCCATCACAGGGCCAGAGCGCGACGTCATCACAGGGCCAGAGCGTGACGCCATCACAGGGCCAGAGCGTGACGCCATCACAGGGCCAGAGGGTGACGTCATCACAGGGCCAGAGGGTGACGTCATCACAGGGCCAGAGCGTGATGCCATCACAGGGCCAGAGCGTGACGCCATCACAGGGCCAGAGGGTGACGTCATCACAGGGCCAGAGTGTGACTTGTGTAGGCCCATGTTATAATTAACAATGACTCCTGCAATGTCCACCATCCACTTACTCAGATGCCACGAGGGCTAGAAACCCCTTGTGTAGCACGTGTACCAGTTAACATGTTACAATTAACACTGACTCCTGCAACGTCCACCATCCACTTACTCAGACGCCACGAGGGCTAGAAACTCCTTGTGTAGCACGTGTACCAGTTAACATGTTACAATTAACACTGACTCCTGCAACGTCCACCATCCACTTACTCAGACGCCACGAGGGCTAGAAACCCCTTGTGTAGCACGTGTACCAGTTAACATGTTACAATTAACACTGACTCCTGCAACGTCCACCATCCACTTACTCAGATGCCACGAGGGCTAGAAACCCCTTGTGTAGCACGTGTACCAGTTAACATGTTACAATTAACACTGACTCCTGCAACGTCCACCATCCACTTACTCAGACGCCACGAGGGCTAGAAACTCCTTGTGTAGCACGTGTACCAGTTAACATGTTACAATTAACACTGACTCCTGCAACGTCCACCATCCACTTACTCAGACGCCACGAGGGCTAGAAACTCCTTGTGTAGCAAGTGTACCAGTTAACATGTTACAATTAACACTGACTCCTGCAACGTCCACCATCCACTTACTCAGATGCCACGAGGGCTAGAAACTCCTTGTGTAGCACGTGTACCAGTTAACATGTTACAATTAACACTGACTCCTGCAACGTCCACCATCCACTTACTCAGATGCCACGAGGGCTAGAAACCCCTTGTGTAGCACGTGTACCAGTTAACATGTTACAATTAACACTGACTCCTGCAACGTCCACCATCCACTTACTCAGACGCCACGAGGGCTAGAAACTCCTTGTGTAGCACGTGTACCAGTTAACATGTTACAATTAACACTGACTCCTGCAACGTCCACCATCCACTTACTCAGACGCCACGAGGGCTAGAAACTCCTTGTGTAGCAAGTGTACCAGTTAACATGTTACAATTAACACTGACTCCTGCAACGTCCACCATCCACTTACTCAGATGCCACGAGGGCTAGAAACCCCTTGTGTAGCACGTGTACCAGTTATCAATGTTATAATTAACACTGACTCCTGCAACGTCCACCATCCACTTACTCAGACGCCACGAGGGCTAGAAACTCCTTGTGTAGCAAGTGTACCAGTTAACATGTTACAATTAACACTGACTCCTGCAACGTCCACCATCCACTTACTCAGATGCCACGAGGGCTAGAAACTCCTTGTGTAGCAAGTGTACCAGTTAACATGTTACAATTAACACTGACTCCTGCAACGTCCACCATCCACTTACTCAGATGCCACGAGGGCTAGAAACTCCTTGTGTAGCAAGTGTACCAGTTAACATGTTACAATTAACACTGACTCCTGCAATGTCCACCATCCACTTACTCAGACGCCACGAGGGCTAGAAACTCCTTGTGTAGCACGTGTACCAGTTAACATGTTACAATTAACACTGACTCCTGCAACGTCCACCATCCACTTACTCAGACGCCACGAGGGCTAGAAACTCCTTGTGTAGCACGTGTACCAGTTAACATGTTATAATTAACACTGACTCCTGCAACGTCCACCATCCACTTACTCAGACGCCACGAGGGCTAGAAACTCCTTGTGTAGTAAGTGTACCAGTTAACATGTTACAATTAACACTGACTCCTGCAACGTCCACCATCCACTTACTCAGACGCCACGAGGGCTAGAAACTCCTTGTGTAGCACGTGTACCAGTTAACATGTTATAATTAACACTGACTCCTGCAACGTCCACCATCCACTTACTCAGACACCACGAGGGCTAGAAACTCCTTGTGTAGCACGTGTACCAGTTAACATGTTACAATTAACACTGACTCCTGCAACGTCCACCATCCACTTACTCAGACGCCACGAGGGCTAGAAACTCCTTGTGTAGCACGTGTACCAGCGTGAGCATCACCACGCTGTCAGATGCAGCCAGGTTGGGTATACACTGGTATGTCTCCTGCAACATCAACATACAGGGATGAGGATGGGTTTTAAAAACAAATACTTTTAGCCAGGGCTCTGAGGGAATACAGATTTATGTGTATATTGCAATGGCATGTACCATTTTAGGTGAGGTGAAATGGGGTTTAACATTGTGTCAAAGATTATTGCACTTATATAGCGACGTGCATGTACGTGTGTGTGTGTGGCTGCTTGTACAAGTCTGGACTGATGCCAATTTATAGTGCTAGCCCACTGAGATACCATGCTGCAGTTTAACATGAATACCCCACTCAGACGCAGTATACTGACTCCAAGCTGACTAGTCCTTGTTTTATCTCCTTAATGCTAAGCGCCAGACAGGGTAACAACAAGTACCATCTTTTAATGTCTTTTGGTATGACGTGGCCCGGGATCGAACCCCAGACCTTCCTCTCTCCTGGTGGACGCTCTACCACTAGGCCGCGGAGGCAAAATTCATGCAACATGTGACCACTGACAGATCCACAGAATTCAGTAAATCTGCAGAAAATTCTCATCCTTGAAAATACATTGTCAGTTTGTTCAATGTCGTAATCAGCAACATTTATTACAGTTGATGACAGCCTACATAATCAAGTCTGGACCAGACAAACCAGTGATTGATATCATAAGCAATGTTCCATGATGTCAGGGTACAGTGAGACCTAATAAACCAAGTCACTGATCCTGACCACATCATTGTTTAAGATAATACCATTAAATGGGAATTTTGTAATTCCTATTTGGGAATTCGTACTGACATTAGCTGCACTGACATCTGAGCAGTCCTTGATGAATCCCTGTAGACAAAGGGACATAACTCCACACCACAATAATGTGATGATTCATTTATCTCCACATTGGTTGATCTAGGGGAATTTGCTAGGTTTTGTAGTCAGGATCAAGAAAGTTTCATTGTATTCATTACTTTCTACCATGAACAGAGATCAAGTGTAACACAGGTCTACATTACCTTAGCAAAGACCGAGACAGCCATCTGCAGTGCTGCCATCAGCCCCTGGGGGGACACGAGGCCCCAGTCTGGGGGTACAAACCCGGGGGCTGAGTCCCCGTCGGCCTCGATGTCATGGATGGGCATGTTGGTCTCTGGGTTGTGCACCTGCAGGGCCTGGGCCACACGGTGCCACAGCGTGCCCCAGATCCCACTCTCAATGTACAGCTGGGCCACCGGCACGTCCGACTGAAACAACACTGCCAGCTTTGAAAAGGTGAGGTGAAGCGGGGTGGAGGGAGGTGAGGCGGGGTGGAGGGAGGTGAGGCAGGGTGGAGGGAGTTGAGGTGAGGTGGGGTGAGGTGAAGTGAAGTGAGATGAAGTGTGGTGAGGTGAGGTGAGGTGAGGCGAGGCAAGGCAAGGCAAGGCAAGGCAAGGCAAGGTGTGTGGTGTTGTGTTATGTTGGGGTGAGATGAGGTGAGGTGAGGTGAGGCGAGGCAAAGGCAAGGCAAGGCAAGGCAAGGCAAGGCAAGGCAAGGCGAGGCAAGGTGTGTGGTGTTGTGTTATGTTGGGGTGAGATGAGGTGAGGTGAGGTGAGGCGAGGCAAAGGCAAGGCAAGGCAAGGCAAGGCAAGGCAAGGCAAGGCAAGGTGTGTGGTGTGGTGTTATGTTGGGGTGAGGTGAGGTGAGGTGAGGTGAGGCGAGGCAAAGGCAAGGCAAGGCAAGGCGAGGCGAGGCGAGGCGAGGCGAGGCAAGGCAAGGCAAGGCAAGGCAAGGTGTGTGGTGTTGTGTTATGTTGGGGTGAGATGAGGTGAGGTGAGGTGAGGCAAGGCGAGGCGAGGCGAGGCGAGGCGAGGCGAGGCGAGGCGAGGCGAGGCAAGGCAAAGCAAGGCAAGGCAAGGCAAGGTGTGTGGTGTTGTGTTATGTTGGGGTGAGATGAGGTGAGGTGAGGTGAGGCAAGGCAAGGCAAGGCAAGGCAAGGCAAGGCAAGGTGTGTGGTGTTGTGTTATGTTGGGGTGAGATGAGGTGAGGTGAGGTGAGGCAAGGCAAGGCAAGGCAAGGCAAGGCAAGGCAAGGCAAGGCAAGGCAAGGCAAGGCAAGGCGAGGCGAGGCGAGGCGAGGGGAGGTGAGGCGAGGCGAGGCAAGGCAAGGCAAGCAAGGCAAGGCGAGGCAAGGCAAGGCAAGGTGTGTGGAGTTGTGTTATGTTGGGGTGAGATGAGGTGAGGTGAGGTGAGGCAAGGCAAAGGCAAGGCAAGGCAAGGCAAGGCAAGGCAAGGCAAGGCAAGGTGTGTGGTGTTGTGTTATGTTGGGGTGAGATGAGGTGAGGTGAGGTGAGGCAAGGCCAAGGCAAGGCAAGGCAAGGCAAGGCAAGGCAAGGCAAGGCGAGGCAAGGCGAGGCAAGGTGTGTGTTGTGATGTTATGTTGGGGTGAGGTGAGGTGAGGTGAGGTGAGGTGAGGTGAGGTGAGGTGAGGCAAGGAGAGGCGAAATGAGGCATGTGGTGTTCTGTTGGGATGAGGTGAGGTTAGGTGAGGATAGGTGAGGTGAGGTGAGGTGAGGTGGGGTTTATTGCACTTATATAGCGACAGGTGTGTGAGTGGTATTCTATGATTCATGCAACCCACAAATACCACCAGTAAGGACTTTCCTCCAATACTCAGTATGCACCTGTGTGCACACTTACACTTACTCTCACAGCTGTGATGATGGCAAGGAGTCTGTCTGCTCCATGTATTGCTTCAATTTCAGGGACTTCTCCCTTGCAATCTACTTCCTTCTAAATACATGTTTGTTCTCAGAGACAATGAATTTGAATAAATACTTAGTTGCAGCTTCATTGAAAGGATTAGCCTAAAACCACAATACTGAAATACAGTAATATTATCGGGAAGCAGTTTTTCAGGACTGATAGAGCAATGATGGACAAACCTACCTGAGCTAGGAGTTCACACAGCAGCAGCAACAGGCCGTCAAGGACACCATAGTCAAAGGGACATCGCACACAGATCTAGTGGAACACACACAGAAGTATAAATGTCACTACGATGAAGAATCTAACCTGATACTGAAAAGCAGAATTCACAGTGCTCTCTCTATGTTCTGCCAACACATGATGGTATCTCTTATAAGAGGTTTGTTGGTATCACACACTGGTCACAATTACTGCACCTTGGAACATAGTAAGACATTAGGCTACTATGGCTTAAAAAAAATGAAAGAATTGGTTCTCAGGCAATGACTTTTGAAAATATAGTGTTGGCGTGCAGTTTTGTTTTTTTCCATTTTTGTTGTTGTTGTTCAATTAAGAATTGACCTTCACTTTGTGTGAGCTCAATGGAGTATGAACCTTCATAGAGTGAGGGCCAAACTGTATGAACGTCGGAGCTTGCGACATCAATCACAAACTACTTGCCTCAGAAACCCAACAGACCTCGGTCCATGAAGACCTAGTTACTACAGGCCTCAGTAACCCAACTGAGCTAGGTCTGTGAAGACCACATTACTACAGGCCTCAGCAACCCACCTGAATAGTAACCTAGTTACTATAGGCCTCAGTAACCCACCTGAGCTAGGTCAGTGAAGACCTATTTACTACAGGCATCAGCAACCCACCTGAATAATAACCTAGTTACTATAGGCTTCAGTAACCCACCTGAGCTAGGTCAGTGAAGACCTATTTACTACAGGCATCAGCAACCCACCTGAATAGTAACCTAGTTACTATAGGCCTCAGTAACCCACCTGAGCTAGGTCAGTGAAGACCTATTTACTACAGGCATCAGCAACCCACCTGAATAGTAACCTAGTTACTATAGACCTTGGTAACCCACCTGAGCTAGGTCAGTGAAGACCTATTTACTACAGGCATCAGCAACCCACCTGAATAGTAACCTAGTTACTATAGGCCTCAGTAACCCACCTGAGCTAGGTCAGTGAAGACCTATTTACTACAGGCATCAGCAACCCACCTGAATAGTAACCTAGTTACTATAGACCTCAGTAACCCACCTGAGCTAGGTCAGTGAACACCTTTTTACTACAGACCTCAGTAACCCACCTGAGCTAGGTCCATGAAGGCCACATTACTACAGGCCTCAGTAACCAAACTGAGCTAGGTCCGTGAAGACCTAGTTTCTACAGGCCTCAGCAACCCGCCTGAGCTAGGTCCATGAAGACCTAGTTACCACAGACCTCAGTAACCCGCCTGAGCTAGGTCAGTGAAGACTGTTTCTACCGGCCTCAGCAACCCACCTGAGCTAGGTCCGTGAAGACTGACAGACACGCCTGCAGCATGTCCTCGGGCTGCACCTCCACGGACACACCACAGTACACCATCTGACTGAACAACAGCGCCGCCGCAGCCTACAAGCAACAAGCATAACGGGTCAATAGGTTCCTATTCCGTGGCTGTGTTCTGAGTATCTGGTGAGGCCTCATCATTAACACATCCAATTTAAAATGTTTGTTAGTACAGACTTTGATAGAAGTGTACTTATTTGGTTGCAAAACTTTTCAAACATCTCCTTATTTACTAAATTTTGTCAGTGAGTTGGGTTTAACGCTGCATTGAACAGTATCTCAGAAATATTACATGTTGGGGGTTATATTACTTCATAGTCATGGACAGAAAATCAAGAATTTGTTCCAGAATATCCTAATGTAAAATATATCCAGCAAAATCACTTCTTGTCAGTTTTAAGTTGGAAGAAAGGGCCAAAATAACACAAGTCTGAGCATGCGTAGCTGTATACCATATAGTCTAACCGCGGAGCATGGGAAAGGTGCTGAGGCACAGACAGAGTGGATCTTAAGCCTGGAATCAGGGGCACACCAACCTGGACCACACAATCATTATTCCATGTTGCTTTAAATAAACAGTGAGTGAGTGAGTATGATTTTATGCCACTTTTAGCAATATTCCATCAATATCACGGTGTGGGACACTAGAAATAGGCTTCACACATTGTACCCATGTGGGGAATCAAACCTGGGTCTTCGGCATGAAGAGCTTTAACCAGTAGGCTACCACACTGCCCCTTTAAATAAACAGTGAGTGAGTGAGTATGGTTTTATGCCACTTTTAGTAATATTCCAGCAATATGACAGTGGGGGACACAAGAAATGAGCTTTAACCACGAGGCTACCATCCCTGCCCCTTTAAATAAACAACAGACCAGCAGGTGTTTGAACTCCTGCACAATGCACTCACTGTGTGACTGGCTACAGTGGAGTCCAGGAAGAACGACACCATCATGCCAGCAGTGTCCGCTATCCTGAAAACATAAGTTAGTCATTTAATGTCAGGGAACTAGACTTAGCTTGTTGATCTTAAGTTACAGTGGCCTTAATTTGGAATTAGTCTTATTGTTGTCTTTGTTAGGAACTTAGAAGTTGGAAGAACATTAATACATGACACTTTTATATGGATAAGAACTTATTTTATTCTTTGTCAAAGCTTTTCAGAGCTACTTCTTGCTCCTTCACCAGGTGGAACACTGAGCACACCTTCAGTGTACTTAATTGGCTTCTCTCCTGTTATCCACAAAAAAGTGTCATGCATTCAGTCTTAATGCTGGCACAACCTCCATCATCATCATCATCATCATCATCATCATCATCATATGATCATAATCTTCATCATCATCATCATCATCATATCATATCATCATATGATCATAATCTTCATAATCTTCATCATCATCATCATCATCATCATCATCATCATCATCTGTAACATCATTAAACTCCATCGTTATCATCATCATCCTTATCAACATGAGCAGCACTGCCTGCAGCATCGTTGAAGTTGTCTTACACAGGCGGTATGGTGTGGAGCTGTATGATGATGGTGCTGAGGGAGTGGAGGACCATCTCCGTCACGGTGTTCACTTCCATGTCCGCCACCTCAACCTGCAAACACACATCTCCTCATCACACATGGAAACACATCAATATCTTCTACCACACATTACAACACATCTTCACATGATAAACCTTACTCAGCTAACAATTCAGGTAATTCAAACAAATTCTTAAGTTTGAACATTCTAAAATTGGTTTGTTGTTTAATGCTCACTCAGCAATATTCCAGCTTTATGATGGCGGTCTGTAAATAATCGAATCTGGACCACACAATCCAGTGATTGACATAATGAGCATCGATCCAGTGGGATACGATGATATGCATCAACCAAGATAACTAGCCTGACCACTCGATCCCTTTAGTCGCCTCTTACGACAAGTCAACTGTGAACATTTATAAAAAGATATCTTCACGAGAACGCATCTATTTGTCGTGACGGTGGGGATGTTGTGACTCACCTTGCCCATGAGGATGCCGATGAGAGACTCAATGTGGTGCACGTTGTTGGCCATGAAGGAGCAGAAGTTGTGGGAGGTCTGGCAGCAGTTGTACACCACCTGCAAACACAGAACTCTTCTCATGAAACAATCCTGCAAGGATTTATCTAGAATTCCAATGTCTTTGTCTTTGCTTGTTGTTTAACGCTGCACTCAGCAATATTCCAGCTATATGACGGCTGTCTGTAAAGAATCCAGTCTGGACCAGACAGACCAGTGATTGACATCATGAGCATGGATCCAGGCAATAGGGATACGATGACATGCATCAACCAAGTCAGTGAGCCTGACCACCCGATCCCGTTAGTCGCCTCTTACGACAAGCATGGGTTGCTGAAGAAGTATTCTACCCCGGATCTTCACGGGTCAGAATTCCAATGTAAGCACGTTTGCCAAGCAAATTGAGAAACTGTTCCAATCAAATGCAATAATTAAAAAATTACCAGTAATTATCTTTCTCTTATTGGTCCTGTTAACTGCGAAAAGTCACCTCTACAAAACCTTAAAACAAGTTGAACAACATTCATGGACAATTCTTTTATTCCAAGTTGGAAATGTTTACTGACATTTGCCGTAGTCCCTGGGCTGAATATTGGTCTCAGAGCACGTCTATATAAACCCCTGTACCATTCAATTGACCTCTGTATAGGTTCAACCTCAATGCCATACGAAACTATTCACAAGATGACTTATGGTGAGGTCTTTGATAGGTCATAGATCTAGTCCCATGGACCACTGATTAAAACACTGAGTAAAACTTTGACAAAAAACATGATCTTGATCTCTGTACAACAAATATATCTTTCCGACATGTTTTAATATGATATTGTAAAGAATTAAAACAAATTCAAAATTGATGGAACACAGCTGTTTTGATTAAGCTGAGGTGACTTATATTTACTCGGAAAAAGCGTGTGTCTGTTTGCATCAAAACGGGGTATTATGTATTTAATCTGCCACTCAGAAATCCACGTGCAGCCTGACTTGCTCATGACGGGGTATAAGGGATTTATTCACCTGCTGAGAAATTTGTTTCCCTCCATGACAGGATAGACAGTATTTTATCAAGATCACGTGGACCAATCAGATTTCATCATTCTGACATGAAGGTATGATAAGATCATTTATATCTGTTTTAGGAAGTTTTGCCCACAGCTATGAATGGTAAGTTGATCCCTCACCTTGAGGATGGTGCTACAGGCAGACGGGTGTCGTAACAGTAGGAGGAATTCATCAGCAGACCCCTCAAAGCCAGCAGTGGCAAACTTCTCTCCCAGGTAGTGGGCAATCTGTGGGCAAAACAATAAACAAAACGTTGCTGATGCTGCCACAGGCTTCCATGAAACTGTTGTGTACTTTGCCTGCAACATTTACTCATTCACGATTTTCCAATTATTTTTCACACCATCATAATTTCCTCATTTACCAAGTTCTAATCTAACCATATTCTCTATTGCTTGTACTCCCACCTTTCTTTTGCCGTCCACTCCCTCCTGCGCCTCGAGCACCACGAAGACGAGGGATGAGAGACTGCCCACAGACAAGTGGATCAGGTGCTCGTAGCGGTCAGCGGCAGCCTCCTCGTCACCCTCCGCTAGCTCTGCAAAGAACAGGTAATACATAGTCATAAGTTTGAATGACTGTTTGTGGTCTAATGACACACTCAGCAATATTCCAGTTACATGACGACAGTCTGTAAATAATAAAATCCAGACCAGACAATTGAGTGATTGACATCTATGCATTTGGGATACGATGACATGCAACAACAAAGTCAGCAAGCCTGTCAACCCGATCACCTTAGTCTCCTCTTATAACAAGCATGGGTTGCTGAAGACCTATTTCTGAAACAGATCTTCATGCAGGGTTGCATGACTGAGTAATGAAAATGATTTATTTGTCTAACTGACGAATGCAGGTGTTATCAACAGCAGACTGTCAGTGTTAGGTTGCCTGGAGCTGGCAGGTTCAGGGTTAGAATAGGTCCCCAGCATTGTGTATTGTGTGTCGGACTTGGTGAACTGGATGTACACTGACAGTATGGGATGTTGCTCAAATGTCAATCACTGTCTTTTCTGGAGTTGAATTGATTATTTACAGGCTGCGGTTACGTCTGGAATATTGCTCAGTGTGGTGTTGAACAACAAACAAGTGATATCATGAATAACAGCCCATCCCATCCCATGTGGGAATTATGACACACAATCAACCAAATCACTGAATCTGACCTCCTGGGGCACCCTTCCACAAAGTGATCTTTGTGCTACGACTATCGTAAGCCAGTGTTAAAGTATGGGAGTTACAATCACCTTAGCGCTAAGATGGCTTTGTGGAACAGGCCCCACATCCATGAAGCCAGAGCTACAGATAAGCAGCGTATTTGCGTAAAATACCACCCCCAAAATATTCAAAACCCAATTATTTTTAATTAACTTGCATACAGAAACGCATGTCTTTTATGAAAAACTCAAATGTATAAAAACAGCATGTGTAAATACCCAATAAAGCTTTTTCAGCATCTGTACAACAGAGCTAATTTCCGAAACACAATTACAAGCTAATTTACTTTCCGAGTCCAGCCTATATTTAGAACCGTTATATACATCTAAAACATAATTTCATTTTTTTTAAAATCTCAAAATGTTTACTCATTTTGGGAAAACCCCCAAAGAGTGATGAATAGATGAGTGAAAAAATATTGGTTACCCAATAAAACATGTAATAAACTAATTAAAATAGAAACCATCAAGTAAAAACTCAATTCCTCAAATTTATCTGGAGTTCTGATTTAGCCACCATGTACGACAAACATAGATTGCTGGGGGCCTATTCTAACCTGGGCCCACTTGCACAAAGTGATCTTAGTGTTACGACTATTGTAAGCCTATGTTAAAGTATGGGAGTTACGATAATCTTAGCTCTAAGATCGCTTTGTGCAAGCGGGCCCTGGAGTATCACTTTCCTGGAAAAAAGGAAAGTTCCTCAGAGGAGAACTGAAATTATAATCACCTGTTCACATATTATATCTCTGACAAACTACAACCAGTTTACCCATAAATATGAGTTGGCAAATCGAGGATGTGAATTCGACAGTAATAATGTAAATAATTATAATGCGCCAAACCCACACCCTAGAGCATGCTCAAGGTGCTACATTATTACCCCAGTCATTGAATCATAGTGATCTTGATTTTCATTCTCAGCTCCCTGGGAAGTATTCAATTCATCTGCCTAGAAGGTAAACAGTCACATCTCATCCTACCGGGTACCCAGTCACTGCTGGGTGAACACTGAGGCATATTCAAACAAAGTCACTTGCCCAAGGAGACGCCACATGTGTTACATGTGATAGTGTGGGGCAGGACAGAAGCCCTTGAAAATATCAGTAACCCATCCAACTACTTTCCACAATCAACCCTGTTGGTTTGTGACCTGTCTGTTCACAGGACCACGTGCCACAACGTCTACCAACTTTTCTTGTTGGAGGAGGTGAGCTGCATGTCCTACCTGTGAGTTTCTTCAGGGCTGGAGGGTCTGCATGGGTACAGTCCAGCAGCTTGTCAATGGTGGCAGTGTGTTTAGAGGCGACTGCTAGAAAATACTGGTTGGCAATTCCTAGACACTTCCTGTCCATCGCCTCACTCAGATACACTGTACACTGTGGGAAGAAGCAGACACGAGGGGGATGTACTAACATCAAGAGTTGAGATGAATAAGTGAGTACCGTATTCGACTTAATAAGCGCCCCGCTCTAATAAGCGCCCACAGCGATATTTGCTGATATATTGGCTAGTGAACAATCCCCATTAGCACACTTTCCGATTGATCAATGTACACAATACATATTTATTCGTGTATGATACACACTCGTGTGTTATTTGGACCCTTAATTATGGGCAATTATATATACAAAATATATCTCTCGTATATAAACATTTCAGGCTGTCAGTATAAACCACAAAATTTACCCTGCAACTTTTTTTTCGACAAAATAATATTCTAATAAGAGCCCCTATTTCTAATTTTGAGAGCGTCCTGGGCGCTTATTACGTCGAATACGGTAAATCCAATTTACTGTTGCAACATGGTGCGGACTCCCATGTTATTCTGTATGGTGGTGATGACTACTGGCCTGAATTTCGTATCGCAATTTATTGCAATCATGATTAATGTACTGTGATATATACCACAATCATATGTGCCCTAGGGTCATATCACGTCATGAGACAACAGTGTGTTGTTTACGTCATCTGCACGGCATTGTTGACGTCATTCGAATCTTATTGTGACGTGAGGTCGGAATGACGTCACACTAGAAACGGCATCATAGCTGAAGATTGTAGACGTCATTCCACTTATTGTGATTCAGCTGCTGTTGCGACTTGCAATCCTTATAGGTAAACAATAAAATTCACCTGTGTACATATGTATCGTCTTTGGTTATAAATAGAACATTATTACGTGTTCAAGTCATACTATGTTTACGACACTTGTGCCTAAATTCCGGTATTAGACACTGGTGTCATAAACATAGTATGACATGAACATTCATATAATATCCTCTATATATTGCACACATTCTTTCATCTGTAATTGGTTATGAACCTGAATAAAAATCTCCCCCTGCGCAACTTTGACAACTTTGTATTTTGTTGGAGGTTGTTTTGGTCACAAAGGATGAAGTAATAGACACATTATATACAGGAAACTGGTCACAAAGAGTTTCACTTTTTCAATCACAGGTAACAGCTAATTTCATAATTTCAATTCAACTTGTCCATTGTTGACACTTATGTAAACTTTGCCAACAAGATGAAAATCAATCTCATTAAAATCAGATCTAAGTTCTTGCTGCCGCTAAACAAAGATCTGAGGACATCCTATTACGGGTCACGTCAGAACAACCTTTCGTAACCTTTGACCGACCACTGAAAGGACTTACAAGAAGTCGACATCAGCAAATTAGAAAGCAGCTTTCTTGAGCTTTGAGGTATTTGTTTCAACCGGGTGACTTCCATTTCAGACTACGTTTGTTTCGATTGTATTTACCATATCATACAGTTTCAATAGAATACATGCAAAGCTGCTCAAATTTGTTTTTCTTTTGATCATGAGTGGTAATAATTTACATATGGTAATGTGGAAGTTTCTTTTTCTCAAATTATTAGGGTAAAGAAAAAACAAATCAGTCATATCTCAAACTTTACTTTTTATTTGTTGTTGTGGTTATCACAGTCAAGGGAAACTTCAGTTCCAAGGTTTAATTCAACTCTAAAATCCATATGAAATGATGCACTGAAAACTATCGATATTTATCGCAATAGTTTCTTTCAATATCAATAGTTATTGCAATAGTTTCTTTCAATATCAATAGTTATTGCAATAGTTTCTTTCAATATCAATAGTTATTGCAATAGTTTATTTCAATATCAATAGTTATCAGAATAGTTTCTTTCAATATCAACAGTTATCAGAATAGTTTCTTTCAACATCAACAGTTATTGCAATAGTGATTTCCGGACCAATAGTCACCCAAAGTACTGACCAGCAGGGTTTGTTCCCGGAGTCTCAGATCCTCATCTATCTGGAGAGACAGCAGCTTCGGCACCAGCCCCAGGAACTGCAGCATGTTGGACAGGAATTCCTGGGCTCTGGAGAATACACACATTTGCTGGTTCAGTGATTTAGTGGTTGGTGGGATAGTGGAGAAGTTGGTTGGTTGAGTGGGTGTTTGTTTGGTTAGTTAAGTGGTTCGTTGAGTGGTTGTTTCAATGGTTGAGAGATTGGATGGTTAGTTAAGGAGTTGGTTGAGTGGTTGTTTCAATGTTTGAGAGATCTGTTGGTTAGTTAAGTGGATCGTTGAGTGTTTGTTTCAATGGTTGAGAGATTGGTTGGTTAGTTAAGGAGTTGGTTGAATGAGGGAGAGGCAGGTTGGTTGAGTGTATACTTTATTGGTTGAATGAGCAGTTGGTTGGTTGAGTGTTTTTCGTTGTGTAAATGGTTGAGTGAATGGTAGGTTGGTTAGCTGAGTGGTTGGTTGTGTGGTTGGTTAGATGAATGTTTATTGAGTGGTTGTTTGAGTGGGCATAATCGTCTCAAGCATAGCTGAAGTAATCTATTTGTACTTACACTTCCTTGCCGACCCTGTCACTCCAGCTGATCTCGCTGGCAAAGTAGGCATTGACCGTGATGACCAGGTCTATCAGGATCTGCTGGCACCAGGGTTGCTGTAGCAACACACAACATTATACTCGCATTGCAAAAAAGTAGTATTCTACCTATCGGAAGAAAACTGTCACTCAGTGTGTTATTCTGGCCATCTATCCATCCATCCATCCAAACCTATGATTGTTGGTTTGAATCCTGGTTCGCTCCGATTATGTTTCTGGGTTTGTCAGCACCATATCCGTCCTCGTGGGTTTAACCAGCAGGTAAACATTTAAGACCTGCATCACTTCAGGCTTTCCTCCCACATTAAGCTGACACGCCGTGATGTAATTGCTGCTGATAGAAGCGGCGTTAAACCCAACTCACTCACCCACTCACTCATACATCAAGAATTTTAGCAGATCAAGTTTGACTTCTGACCAAGACAATATTGTACCTGTTTGACTTTGGGTTTTTCCAAGATCTGGGTGAGGATATCAAACACTTGGCCTGGCACGGACATGGACTTGACAAATGACAGAACCTTGAACACGTCGCTGAAACACGAGATGTACAAAATAACAATGTTTGTTTCTTGATTAATGCTGCAGTCAGTAATATTCCAACAATATCACACCAGTCTGTGAATAATCTAGTCCAGGACAGACAATCCAGTGATTGATATTATGACTCTATGAGCAACATCCCATACTGTCGGGGTACAATGACACGAAATCAACCAAGGCCATAGCCTGACTACTCAATCGAGTTGCCTCTTCTAAACTAGTAAGTAACTAAATAAACAGTTGTGTGGCCAGATAAACAGTTGTGCACTATCAGTGAAAGGGCCTCCCTACATAAATGTATTCCTTGATGAGTAAAATACTGGAATACAGTTTTTGGCTAAAGGATTTAAAAAAAATGGAAATAAAAATGAAACGTGTGGCGAACTTTATGATGATGTGGGCGGTGCCTGAGAACCAAGACTATTATTTATTTATTTAGCCTTATATTCTGATTGTGGATTTTGGCTCTGGTTCATTGATTCTGTGAATAAAACAGAAAATAGCAGTGTAGCCTTATAAGACGTATGGGACGAAGGAAATGAGGCAGCGTGAAGCATCATGCCTACCAAACGTACTGGTATTCCTAAGGAATGCAAGGAATGATTCCCGTCTCTTCATCAAAACAACGAAGAATGTTTCCCTTTTTAACAAATGTTTAAAGGCATTTTTCATTCTCATGATGTGATATCACAAACATTTCTATTACAAAACACAAGTATTGCTACATTCTACGATGAATTAGGAAATTACTTGATCCTGATTGGTCAATCAGAGGCTATTAAATCACAATAAACTCCTTCTGATTGAAACAGCTGGTTTGACGGCCGCATCACTGCGGAAGCTAATATTAATAGAATAGTACTTTTTTTCAGTCATTGTCGGTAGGCATATTTAATTAACTATATATACAATTATAGGTTACAAAATGCATGGTTGCGGTTACTACAATATTCAAAGGATAAGTGGAAATACATTTCGTGCAGAAAACACGATAGGAATCTACAAAGAGAATGTATTTACATTTTGGCACAAACAGAGAGCTTGGAATTTGGAGCTTTTCCATATAGGTCTATGACATCATATCTTTTATGTCATAACGAGCGACATGACGTCATAATGGTGACGTCATGTGTAGAACGAAAACCTTGCAAAGCTTGCTTCGCGTTCTTTAGGGATGCCCACCTCATGTTAGCTTACCAAGTTGCTGTGCTTATATGTTTTCAATGCCTGTCATATGTTTGAGTGAAGAATTACTTTGTTAACAAACTGCTTGAGCATATACAGCACCATATTTTGTTCACAGGCTGTTGTCAGTGATTCCGTAATTCAGATTGTCAGCCCACTCAAAACACTGGACTCAACCCATGCCGCTTCACTCAATATATGTGCTAGCATCAAAGAGTTCGCATTTTATTAAGTCATGGTAGAATGGACATAAAGATGATAAACATACTGTGTTTTCAATGTTGAGCTAGGTTACCTGTAAATTTAACCGCGCTAAATTTAACATTTGAAACCTCATGCTGCGCGTTTGGTTCCAAAGTAGGTTTATCTCCTAATCTAAATAACAGTTACCAAACAATGTTTGTTTCCTTCTCACCATTTGAGTGTGACAAGGTTTGTGAGGACCCGTAAGGCTGTCCTGAGTCTGGCTGCTCCCTCAAGCATTCCGTCCTGGACTTGAGCCGAGCTGCTCTTGAGCCGAGCGTCCAACTTGGAGATGAACTTTGTGTCCTGGAGGAACTGAAGGGCAACGTCCGGGTCGCCCTCCTGGTCCGTTGTCTCGATCACCACGGCCCACTCGTCCTCACTGTCCACTTCCTGTATGGACACAGCGTTCAAATTATTGAAACAAGTTCACCACTACAGCAATAATATTCTTGTAAGAACATCACAGTGTACACATCCCCAACAGAACACTTACAGACCAGATGCAATCAGCAAAGAAATGTTATCAAACGACCCTGGAGGTATACCAGAACATACAGTCATACCCAACATGACAACCTCAACTTCTAGAGGACCCCTTCTACAGTTGGGTTGACTGAGATGGCACAGACAGAGGCACCTTGATCACAGTTTTCAACACTATCCGTTTTCGTACCCTTCCAGTGTTCCTGCTGGCTTTTGAAACTGCCAGTCCTATTGGACTGGCATCTCGCGAAATTACCAGTCCTCCCCAAATTTTTGTCTAGTTTTAATTCTTTCAAAATCATCTACGTTCATGGTTCACAAATTCAATGACATCATCTCTGAAGCAACTTAGTGAGATTTACATGTCATTGACATAAAGTTCAGTCACATATTTTCTCTTTATCTCCGGGAATATTCTCATTTTGGTTTGAGATTACTTTACTGATTATCACTGATGCTTTGTACTTTATTTGCCAGTCCACAGGGACTGACAGTCACATGAATTACCGATCTAAGCCTAAGTTTACCAGAAATAAACTGGTAATTACTGGTAAAGAGAAACACTGCCTTCTACAGCTGGGTTGACTGAGATAAGTTGGTATGGGTTGGAATTGGTCTTATGCTGGTCACGAGGGGCTTTAAATGATCAGACTCGATGACTTGGTTGATTGCATGTCATCGTTCCTGGAACATGCTGAAGGCACTGACAGTGCTCATATCAATCACTGCTTGACTCTGTTATTTAAAGATCACGTGGATATACATGTAGATGGAACATAGCTGAATGCATCACTAAACAAAACTTGAAATCGATTAAGTAAAATTTGTTTCAGTTTGGTTATTTCACTCAGCTTATCCAGATAGTAACACTAAACTCTACTGCAGAAGTATCAGAAAGACAGGTTCGGGCCTTGTTTCACAAAGTGACTGTATCGCAACGACTTTATCAAAGTATGGGAGGTACAATTATTTTAGCGCCACGATGATTTTGTGGACAGAGACCCAGGCAAGTAGACTAAGAGTGTATTTTGTTTAACGTCCCCCTCGGCAATATTCCAGCTATATGATGGCAGTAGACCAGAGGCTATTGCTACAGCCTGCTGAAAACATTCCTGGCCTTTTGATTCATGTAACACAAACAGAATTGTTACCTCAACACCAAAGGAAAATCATTTTCAAAGACCATCTCACATACGATTTCAGATATTTCATAAATCTAACCTCTTCTCCTTCTAGCTTGACATTCTCGATGTTCTTCTTCTTCTCTGGAATAGAGTTCTTCCTCTTGATGGTACGACGCCCCTCAATCTCAATACTCGGATACTCTTTTTTATAATCCTGGCTGATTCTGTTAGGTCGTGGAGTAGGGTCCACATTCTTATAAGGGAAAAGTGAAGTAATTATAGAACGACAAACATTTAGCTGAATGTGACCCTTTGGTATATTGCAGACAGATTGCAGATATGACACAAAAATTAACAATAATATTACTACAGTATGTATCTGACTTATGTTATATATTTTATATGATTCTAATATTAAAACAAGTGTTGATCATGTTAATGCTGCATGTCCAGGGAATAATAAATCCTGAAATACATCATTTTCTTCTGACTACAATGGACTACAGGGATTTCTCTACATCTGCTCAGAGGCCAAGAGGCCCAGAGAAGTCTGTCCCAAAATTCCAAAATTGAAAAAGCAAGTTATGGTATAATAGCAATACCTACTGTGAAGGATTGGCTTACATTTCATAAACAAGAAGAGTCTTTAATCTTTAGTTTTACATTTGTGCACTCAATGAAATATAAAAATATCCTTGAGTTTAAGAAAAATATATGGACTTTTAAGAAAGTCACAATTGTGAACAATTGCGCTTATTTTGGAAAGCTTGATAAATCCCTGGACTACGTAAGCTCAAGCAACGGAACGATGAGTCAGTGTTTTGAAACACCCATCTTGCACAAACATGGGAGATCATTAATATGCTTCAGCCTCTCCTGTATTTCTGAAGCAGTGCAAAAGGATTCTGATTTCAAATTCATAATGAGAAGGTAAGAAAAAACAAAAAATATTAAAGTCATTACAGTGAAAACACAGTTTTCCTATTTTCTAAAAAAATCACTTGTGTAACTGGTCACATTCAAAATGCGACTTTATTTCTAAACACTGACGTAATTCACTTTAGAATGAACCTAAATAAATTATACAAAAAAACATATGCACTGAAATTAATAAATATACCTTGCAAACTGACCACCACATTTAACAACTGTCTGAATTGAACTGTAGACCACTTCTCGTAAGAGTTACCTCCCTTACTACACTTAAAATGATACTTTTAAACACTAACGTAATGCTCTTTAACATGAAGTCCCTAAAAATTCTAAAAAACATGGATATAAATCAATAAATATACCTACAAAACTAACCACCACATTTGACTAAGTACTGTCAGAATGAAACTAGGTCCCTTGCAAGAGTTACCTCCCTTAACCCCCATCCCCTTTACTTAAATAAATGAGCATATAAAACAAACCAATGACAACACAGTAACTACACTGAGAAGTAGCAGTTAGACGGTGAACATAATAGAAACGTTGAGAAGTTACAACAGTGATAAAAAGTGATACAAACAGTTGAAAAGTTTACATTTTCGTTTCATTCTTAAAAAAACCCCATTAAGTTTAATCATGTCATCGTTACCTTTGTGTAAACAAACGTAAAGATATCAAATAATGACATCTCAATTTACAGCATGCGTAGGGTACTGACATACCAAGGATTATAATCAAACAATCTCAGACCCTTGAACTATCATAGGATCCTGTCATGCCAAAGGGAGGCAATCCTGCACTGGTACACGAGCTTGAGCCATTTGATGTGACTTATAATAGAACATAATCAAAGCACATGTTCATAAATTCTTATTCATCCAAACAATTACCATTTTGTCACTGTGATTTTTCCCCATATATTTCTTTTTACAGCTCTTGAAGACGAAATGGTTTGAAAAAAAGAATTACAATTAATTACATAAAATCATCTAAACATGTTGAAAAAAAAGAAAAAGAGAAAGAGCATAAAAAAGATATATATGGACACAATCCATTACTGAAATAAGCACCACTACAAGAACTACAGGCAGGAGTAACTACTTTCAAATATATAAAATGTAGAGCCATATTGGCAAAATACAGGACATGAAAAATATAAGCATGATAAGATGACATTGAAATTCAAGAAATGATTGAATAAAAGGTAAAGACAAGTGAAGGGGTGTGAGTGAGTTTGGTTTAACGCCACCTTGTGCAGTATTTCAGTTATACTTAAGAGTGTCAACTTTGTCCCGACCGGACCTGCTACACCACCCCTGGGTGTCTGAGGGCTTTCAAGGAAGGGCGGACATGGGGTACTGGTTTCTCCTCGCCGGACTGCTACATCATCCCTTGGTGTCTGAGGGCTTTAAAGGTAGGGCGGACATGGGGTACTGGTTTCTCCTGACTGGACTGCTACACCTCCCCTGGGTGTCTGAAGGCTTTAAAGGTAGGGCAGACATGGGGTACTGGTTTCTCCTCGCCGGACTGCTACACCATCCCTTGGTGTCAGAGGGCTTTAAAGGTAGGGCAGACATGGGGTACTGGTTTCTCCTCGCCTGACTGCCACACCATCCCTTGGTGTCAGATGGCGTCAGTGAGTGATTATTATCTTACGCCACTTTTTGCAATATTTCAGCAATACCATGGCGAAGGACACCAAAAAAGGGCTTCACACGTTGTACGTGTTGGGAAAAGATCCCAGGCCCCCGGTGTGACATGCGAACGCTTTAACCACTAGGCTCCCTCACCACCCCTTGTCAGCTTGATGTGGGACAGTGGGATCCAAGTGATGCAGATGTTGGACATTTATCACTTTGGTGAAACCCATGGGACCCATGTGCCTGTTGCTGCCAAATCTAGAAACATAATCAGGTTGAATCCGGTATTTGAATCCACAGGTTTCTAGCACACCTAAGGGACACAACTCTGCACAGCAAAATACAGTTCTTTAAAAGACTTCGCCACCTTTTGCCCTCCCCCCTCCTACAGTGAAGAAAAAGAGAGAGTGAGAATCAGAGGTGTTCTACACTATAGCCTGGGTATGTAGAATCAATGAATGTCTCTTTGACTGCAGAGAGGATGATTTAAGAAAAAAAAATACAATCGGTGAGCATTACCTCCAGGATAGTTGGCTCCTATACAATTATAAACAAAATAAGTTATAAAATCATCTTAAACTAAGAACATATAATACCCGGTAACAAACGGTTCATACAGCTCATTCTTAAAAATTCTTCCCTGTCAAGTATCTTGCTAATATATAAGATTTACAGATTATTTATTTAGTACTTTTGAAATAGCATATTATCTTCTGAAATCTCCTCTGCAAACAACTCAACAATATTATCATGCTATTGCACACATTCTTGTAGAAGAACTAGAAAGTGATTAAAACTGCTACAGTGTCTATAAGAGTCGACAGGTAGTGTTTTTCTGGGCTGTTATCAATCAAGAATGGTTTGTGATTTTCAAGCTTTTCAAGAATTACAATCAATCTCATTAAAGTCAGATCTTAGTTCTCGCTATCGCTAAACAAAGATCTGAGGACATCCTATTATGGGTCACGTCAGAACGACCTTTCATTCGACCAATCAAAGCGTCGCGTACCAGATCATGAAAGTAACAGTCGGAATGTATTTTCTAATCATGCAACCTCGAAAACGTTAACACGGGGTATTCAGAACGATAGTTCAGGCCCGTTCGACTAATTCCGTTTAAATTATTGCCAATCTCTCACTTCCGTGGGATAAACATTTGAATGGAGGAGGCGTTGCACAGTACGTGGGAAGCACTACCATACAATTGCAACCATATATTAGACATTCTGGAGAGTTCGTTTGTTCAGTTTCAAAATAATAATCGAGAACTGTGTCAACATATTTTTCAAGCGTAGTCTGAAATGGAAGTTGCCAGGTTGAAACGAGTGCCGTAAAGGTCTAAAAAAGCTGCTTTCTAATTGGCTGATGTCGACTTCTTGTTAGTCGTTTCATTGGTCGGTCAAAGTTCGCGAAAGTTTGTTCTGACGTGACCCGTAATGGGATGTCCTCAGATCTTTGTTTAGCGGCAGCGAGACCTTAGACCTGATTTTAATGAGATTGGAATTACAATTGTCTGTCATATCATTTCAGTGGAGAGTCATGTCACATCCCATGGTACTATGTGACCATATGTCACATGTCAGGTGATGTAAATGGGGTTTGAACGCCAGCGACGTTCATGCACATATGCATGTTCATCTGCTTGTACTTGTCCAGACTTATTTTGGTTTTACAGTACTAGCACATTGACAAAGATGCTGCAGTTTAACATGGATATCCCACTCAGACACAGAATATTGACGCCGAGCCAACCAGTCCTTGATTTATCCCCATAATGCCAAGCCAGACAGGGTAACAACAAACGCCATCTTTTCATGTCTTTTGGTATGACGCGACCGGGGATCGAATCACTGACTTTCTGCTCTCTGGGCAGAGACTCTATCCACTATCACCATGAAGGCTGTCTATGTCAAAGGGATAGTGAGTGAGTGAGTTTGGTTTAACGCCGCTTTTAACAGTATTCCAGTTATATCACAGCGTGTCAGCTTAATGTGGGAGGAAAGCCTGATGAAACCCACGAGCACGGGTATGGTGCTGACAAACCTAGAAACATAATCGAGGCAAACCCACAATCATAGGTTTCTGGCGTGCCCAAGGGACGCAACTCTGCACAGTAATTCGCGGCGCCTTAGACGACTGGGCCACCCGTGCCCCCCTCAAAGGGATAGTAATTAGCACTAGCCCACTAGCCCAGACCAGTTTTGTTAATGTTTAAAGTGTCCTAAGCATGCTAAGGGGGATTAGAATTTCAAACATTTTTGGGGTATTACTATATGTTATCTCTAATCGTGCTAAACTTTCTTGGTAATTTTCTACCCCTGATGTCATATGTAGAATGTGGACACAGCAACATGACACAGTATGGTCCTGCTGATAACAACCATTCAGGCAATGTCTGATGGGACACTATCTCCTGTGGAGATAGTGAGGCAGCAATATTCCAGCCATATCACCAGACAGTCACAAATCAAGCCTACAGCAGGCAGATCATAGGTGGATCTTGATCTGGTTGACTAAAGAAATTACATTGGCTCATCTCAGATGCAGGAAGAGAACACAGTTTAGAAGGTCTACCATCTTTGTGTCATAACAGACAGCTCATAAGTTTTGTTTGTTGTTTAACACCTCACTCAGCAATATTCCAGCTATATGATGTTGTCTGTAAATAATCAAGTCTCGACCAGACAATCTAGTGAATGACATCATATGCATTGATCTTCGCAATTGGGATACAATAACATGCACCAACCAAGTCACCAAGACTGACCACTCGATCCCGTTAGTCGCCATTTATGACAAGGAATTGCTGAAGATGTATTCTAACCCAGATCTTCATGGGTAGTTCATAAGTAAAACATGTGATCCTCTGATTTGGAAATCTAAAAAACGTTCATTATTTCTAAGTGAGTATAATCCCTGAGAAAGTCTGTAAGTACCTTGGAAGTGCCGTTATCCTCCCACTGTTGTGAGTGGGGCCTGTCTGGGTGGATGGGCATCGGCTCTGGGGCAGTTCCTTCTCTCTTGTCACCCCATGCCTGGGGGCGAGTCTCCTTAGTTGATTTCTGAATCACCAATACCAGCACATACAGTACAAGCAAGCTTTGAAATGGGTACCCAGGGTTCGACAAATACGCCGGCCAACTAGACAAATGCTAGTGAAATGTGATCTGGACAAGTAATTTTATATTTATACTGGACCAGCTGGCTATTGAAATAATATGGTGTACCAATTGCTTTAAGTCAGGTCAAAACTCACGCGATCTTTTATTCAGTCAAAAAAAAGCTGTACATCAACTTGTCTCTGCCAACTATCAATCTTAGTTACCTCCCTTACCGAGACCGTAAGACGATGTATAAAATATCTGTAAAGTGGCTATTTGTGTCCGTGTGACAAGTCCACACAGTGAAAAACACCAGATGACATCAGACACAGGGAACACCCCTGATGACATCAGACACAGCGAACACCCCTTATGACATCAGATACAGTGAACACCCCCTGACGACATCAGACGACATTATGATTTTATAGGCACTAGACAATTTACAAAATTTGATACAATCAACACCATCTCATTACATTTTCATGACATCTGACACAATGTACTCTTCATGACATCCGACACAGTTAACACCCTTTATGACATCTGAAATGGTGAACACCTCCTTATGACATCAGACACATTGAACACCCTTGATGACATCAGACACAGTGAACACCCCCTGACGACATCAGACAGTGAACACCCCCAGACGACATCAGACAGTGAACACCCCCTTTGGACAGACAATGAACACCCCCTTTTGACAGACACAGTGAACACCTCCTTTTGACAGACACAGTGAACACCCCCTTTTGACATCCGAAATGGTAAACACCCTCTTTTGAAAGACACAGCGAACACCCCTTATGACATCAGATACAGTGAACACCCCCTGACGACATCAGATACAGTGAACCCCCCCTTTTGACAGACACAGTGAACACCCTCTGATGACATCAGACACGGTGAACACCCCTGATGACATCAGACAGTGAACACCCTGATGACATCAGACACAGTGAACACCCCCTTTTGACATCAGACACAGTGAACAGCCCCTGATGACATCTCAGTGAACACCCCTTTTATGACATCAGACACAGTGAACACCCCCTTTTGACATCAGACACAGTGAACACCCCCTGATGACATACCTTCTTCTCTTCCTCCATGGCCTTCTTCCTGGCCTTGGCGAGGATCTTGGAGGTGCCGGGTGGGTGGGCCTTCTCTTTGGCCTGCTGTTCCTTCTTCAGCATCATGGAGGCTGACAGGGGCTGGGTGAACGGGCTCTCTATCTTGGCATCTTCCTCATTTACTGGAACATGCAAGAGACACACAAGCTACATAGGAACTGTGTAGATAGATGTTAAGATGTATCAACAGAATTGAAGTAACTGATGAATGAAAATAGTTGTACAACAAGAAATACAGTTGAACATCTGATACCAGGACATTCATGGAAACAAATCTTTAATGTTCACTCCTGAGAAAGAGTTGACATATTTAAACAAAACTGTCAATACCCCATGTCCCCCCTACCTTTAATGCCCTCCGACACCCAGGGGTGGTGAAGCAGGTCTGACCAGGACAAACCAGTACCCCATGTCCCCCTACCTTCAATGCCCTCCGACACCCAGGGGTGGTGAAGCAGGTCCGACCAGGACAAACCAGTACCCCATACCTTTAATGCCCTCCGACACCAAGGGGTGGTGAAGCAGGTCCGACCAGGACAAACCAGTACCCCATGTACCCCCTACCTTTAATGCCCTCCGACACCCAGGGGTGGTGAAGCAGGTCCGGCCAGGACAAACCAATACCCCATGTCCCCCCTACCTTTAATGCCCTCCGACACCAAGGGGTGGTGAAGCAGGTCCGACCAGGACAAACCAGTACCCCATGTCCCCCTACCTTTAATGCCCTCCGACACCCAGGGGTGGTGAAGCAGGTCCGACCAGGACAAACCAGTACCCCATGTACCCCCTACCTTTAATGCCCTCCGACACCCAGGGGTGGTGAAGCAGGTCCGGCCAGGACAAACCAATACCCCATGTCCCCCCTACCTTTAATGCCATCCGACACCAAGGGGTGGTGAAGCAGGTACGACCAGGACAAACCAGTACCCCATGTCCCCCTACCTTTAATGCCATCCGACACCCAGGGGTGGTGAAGCAGGTCCGACCAGGACAAACCAGTACCCCATGTACCCCCTACCTTTAATGCCCTCCGACACCAAGGGGTGGTGAAGCAGGTCCGGCCAGGACAAACCAATACCCCATGTCCCCCCTACCTTTAATGCCCTCCGACACAAAGGGGTGGTGAAGCAGGTCCGGCCAGGACAAACCGATACCCCATGTCCCCCCTACCTTTAATGCCCTCCGACACCCAGGGGTGGTGAAGCAGGTCCGGCCTGGACAAACCAATACCCCATGTCCCCCCTACCTTTAATGCCCTCCGACACCCAGGGGTAGTGAAGCAGGTCCGGCCAGGACCAACCAATACCCCATGTCCCCTCTACCTTTAATGCCCTCCGACACCCAGGGGTGGTGAAGCAGGTCCAGCCAGGACAAACCAATACCCCATGTCCCCCCTACCTTTAATGCCCTCCGACACCCAGGGGTGGTGAAGCAGGTCTAGCCAGGACCAACCAATACCCCATGTCCCCCCTACCTTTAATGCCCTCCGACACCCAGGGGTGGTGAAGCAGGTCCAGCCAGGACAAACCAATACCCCATGTCCCCCCTACCTTTAATGCCCTCCGACACCCAGGGGTGGTGAAGCAGCTCTGGCCAGGACAGTCTCTGACGGGGGTTCTTGTTCAGCAGACCCTGGAGGAAGTCCTTGAAGGGAACGCTCATGTTCTTGGGCCACTTGACCGGGTCCTTGATGATCATGTTGACAAGCTGGAAGATGCTGTTTGTGTAGAACGGTGGCGCCCCAGTGAACAGCTCATACAGGATACAGCCAAGAGCCCTGGTCAAGTGGACAGGGAACGCAGTACAATAATGGCTTCATCTTTAAATACAGACCGCCTACATAATGAGTCTTACCATGTGCCAAGTCATTTTAATGTCTATGAAAATACTGCTGGAAAGAAATTTGTTAGTCTATAAGTTTGTTTGACTGTTAACTGTTAACTCAGCATTAATCCAGCTATATGACTACGGTCTAAAAAATTTGAATCGAGACCAAACAATCCAGGGATTGACATGAGCATTGATCCTCACAATTGGGATAGGTGACATGCATCAACCAAGTCATTGAGCCTGACCACCCGATCCATTTAGTCTCTCAAAACAAGCATAGGTTGCTGGGGGCCTATTTTCTTACCCAAAGTCCCTATGGGTTAGTCTTTAAGCCACAACAGAGACCTTTAACCTCAGGTTTGGTCAAATAAGAAAATCTACCAATTTGAACAAAACGATTCTATCATCAATGTCTTTTACAACAGGTTCAAGTTCTGTATGTTGGTTTATGCCCAAGTCAGCATATTAACAAGACTGTGCCAGTCAAACCAGTGGTTGATATTATGAGCAACACCCAATGCTTTTGGGAAAAGATGACACCTAATAACACAAGTCACAGAGCCTGACCACTCAATCAAATTTACATGCCACTGAAAACAACCGAGTTATTGCTCTTACAAGATTTATGTTCTATGATCACTAATGTAATGTCATCAGCACTGTTCATGCTGTTATCAGTGTTCCCCCCCAGGACCCAAAACAGACAGGGTGACAGAATTTTAAAAAATGCACCCAGCAACAGATTTCCATGTATAAATTCATGTTATGTGTGTGTGGAAGATCATGGAGTCATCCCCCAGATGACATCCTTACCTTGTCAACTTGGTCATATGGACAAGGCGTCTGTCCGACTTCTGATCAGAAGCGGAAATTTTATGGCCAATACATGTGCATGTGATTATCAAAGGCTAAAAGAGAGCAGTTACCTGAATAAATAACAAGTCCCAAAAATCCCCAAGTGTTAATATCATTTATTAATAATTGTTATCAAACAATTTTTCAGTTGCAAAGGGAGGCAACTCTAATTTTCTTAAAATCCGGACATACAACAAACATCAGAAAAGGCAGGGCAGGCCAAAAAAAAAAAAGGGGCAGGGCGTTAAATATAAATAGCAGGGTGCTGTACCCTGCTAAAAAAGTCTTGGTAAAACCCCTTTTATGAATATACCAAAAACATGAAATGGCAAAAGAGACAACGGCTGTAGAGCTCCCATACTGACGACAATCTGTCACATCTGTCATTAGACAACCATAAGTTCCCCCCAAACTCAATCTAATTAAAATCAGATCTTAGTTCTCGCTACAGCTAAACAAAGATCTGAGGACATCCAATTACGGGTCACGTCAGGCCGACCTTGCACAAACTTTGACCAACCAATGGAATGACCAATCAGAAGGCAGCTTTCTCGTGCTTTAAGGCACAAATTTCAAATTGGCGACTACGCTTCGAAACATATTTTAACAAATTTTCGATTACAAATTTGAAACCTGAACAAAAAAAACCATTCTGGAATGGCTAATAAATGGTCTAGATTGTAAGGATTCAGTCGTTAAACCCCATGTTAAAGTTTTCGAGATTGCATGATTAGAAATCACATTCCGACTGTCACTTTCATAATCTGGTAAGCGACGCACTGATTGGTCGGATGAAAGGTCATTCTGACATGACCCCTAATGGGATGTCTTCAGATCTTTGTTTAGCAGTAGCGAGAACTAAGGTCTGGTTTTAATGAGATTGCCCCAAACTCAACGTCTTGCTGACAATGTTATGAACTCACCACAGATCTGCTGTGTGATCATAGGGTTTCTCCTCCACCAGCTCCGGGGACATGTACAGTGGGGTACCCTGCAATCACCAACACATGTATGTCTTGAACCAGTGTAGTACTGCCAGCACTATGTCATGGACAGAGTGAGAGCCTAATGTCATTCTCATTGGTGTAAAGATATGTCCACAATATATGTATCCTAATACAGTACTCATATTTCATCTGTTCATATTCTTTCTTCTTGCAGGTGAATCACAACCCTGAATAATTTGTTTAAAATTTCAGAGATCGATGATGGGATATTTTTGGGCAGAAACATATAGGCTAGAGGGCACTGTGAAGGTTATGCTCACTACAGCCAACCAGGAAATACTAGAGAATCTGTGTAAGCTGGTTGTTGTTCAGTTTTGTTGACCATTTAAATTTGTTGTTATTTACATGTTTTGGGGTATGTATCCCGATACAGGAGTTGTAAATCGATGAATTGTATCGTGGGCCTTGTATCAGGATACAATACAGTATTGCTATACCTCTAGTCACTATGAAAAGTATGGAATGCTGAGTCAACCAAATGTGGGGAAAATAAAAAAAGTGACAGATGTTGTAGACTTGCTAGGGTCCTTGGTGAAACCAACAAACATGGTTATGGTTAGGGCTGGCTAAAACAATTGATAATCAGAATTATCGTTGATGGGTAAAAATATTAACGATAATCAATATGAAATTATTGTCATTGATAATAACTTACATGAACTACAGTGATGAAATAAAGTTTAGATTTACCAAAACAAACTTGCTGTTGTCATCAATGCTAATTGTCGAAGACAGAAAGCAACTGTTTTTGTTATATCTCAAATGTCTACAAAGTAATCTATGCAATAATGTGTCACTGCTCACCAGTGGCTTGAGATATGTTGATTTCTTTCGGGACTTTTTTGCATATTTGTTTAAAATTACTTCTCCGATATATAGCAACAATTGATCAATATTTAGTTAATGATTATCGATCTCTATAATCTATATCAATAGCCAGCCCTAGTTATGGTGTGAGTATTGTTTTGTTTGTTTGCTTGTTGATTAATGCCGGACTCAGCAATATTCCACCTATATGCTGGTGGTCTGTAAATAATCGAGTCTGGACCAGACTATCCAGTGACTGACATCATGAGCATCGGTCCACGCAATTGGGATACGATGACATGCATCAACCAAGTCAGCGAGTCTGACCACCCAATCCCATTAAACGCCTCTTACAGCAAGAATAGTCGCCTTTTAGTGCAAGCATGGGTTGCTGAAGAGCTATTCTAATCCTGGTTCTTCATGGGTTAGGAGTATTACTGAGAAACAGAGATTGGAAACCCAACTCAGCTAAACCTGGCACAGGTAAGGGAAGTAACTCTGCACAGCATATTGTGGTTTCTTGGGGCCAGTGTCCCTTATCATGTGTATCAGTGTATCTGACAGCGGGTCATCGAGTGAACCAGGACAAAGTTTCAGGACCAAGAATGACAAAGAGCTATGGTGAATCATAAGGACTTATTATTATCAAGAGCTCATTCAACACTATATTTCACATGTGCTCTCAACTAAAGACATTTTCTTGAGTATAGTGCGCACCCATGTATAATGCGCACCCCCCTCTAGCGGGTTCAATATTTTGGAAAAAAAAGAAATTTGAATATTATGCGCAGAATTTTTTTACACCGTACCCTTTCAGCGAAGTCCGGCAAACGAACGGGTGCTGAGAAACTTCGTCAGTACAAATTCGAAATTTGAGATAAAAAATCACCAGACATGTTTATTTACTGTTTAAATAGTATTTATTGTTCTGCTAGGCATTGTTTTATATTTAGGGATTAAGATTACCTTGCGTATTTTCGCGTAAACTAAGCTGGAAACAGCAATCAGCTGTACACACGTTTTCTTGGAATCGACCGGTGATTCGGTCAAGACACACCCAATGATATAACTTTATAAGATTTTTAATGCAAGGATCGGCAACAATTGTATCTGAAACTATTTTAATTTATCAGGAATAATATATTCCATTATTTTCTTAATTACATGCAACCTTACTAAACATATTTAAAATAATAATGACCCTAAGCGAAGCAGCCGATCGCTATTCCCGGGTATTATTTTTTACATGGAACATGTCTGACCAGTCACCCTCATGGCTCACTCGCACGTGATCACGTGATCGCGAGAATTTCATGTTGACATAGAATCGTCAAACAAAACCAAATATGACTTTTAACGAGTCAAAGTATGTCATTTATGATATATGTATCCATTCTCTGTCAACTAAAGTTTGTTTCAAGGCGTCAATAGCGGTATTCTGACCGTGGTTGCTGTTAATAACGGTGAGTTGTGCGATCTTCCGATCGCTTCACACACGATTTCGCCGAAATTAATAAAAACAATATTATAAGGAATTTTGAATAAAATCAATGAAATAAGTTACAAACATAAGTCCAGATATACAAAGAACACTTTTATAGCCAGACAGTGCAATTATTTTGCGTACTTCAGTATGGATTTGTTGACATGGTATTCCCGGTGTTTCGTGCTCACGGTAATGTCTTTCCATGGGGTAAAAAACCATCCAAACTCATAATTCGTGTATAATGCGCACCCCCTTCTACACAGCTGTATTTTTTCGAAAAAAAGTGCGCACTATACTCAAGAAAATACGGTAGTCAACTTGTTGATCACAAGTTTTCAATGTCATTCATTCATAAGTTAGTCATTGAGGTTTTACAGCATGAGAAATTTGAACTAGATAGTCCTGTAGTCCTTGCCAAACTGCCCAATAGTTAAAGTATCACAAGGACTAGTAGAAATTTGCCATTTTTAAGGGTTTTGCTATATGTCATCATTATAAGGACTAGTGGACTGAAATTGTTAGTTTCTACCACTGGTTTCACCATGTTCACAACCCTTGCAGGTATCAGAAACAATGCTTTTAGGGGACAGCTATGCTCTTCACCTTTATAGACGTGAGGACAAACGTGTTGAAACTCATGGCCCGAGCGAAACCAAAATCACACAGCTTGACACATCCTCCCTTGCCCAGCAGGATATTCTGGGGCTTCATGTCACGATGGAGGATACGGTGGGAGTGGAGGTAGAACAGGGCGGACACAAGGTGACAGGCGATCAGCTGAACCTGGAACACAGGCAGAGTCACGTGAACAGATGCTGGACTATAGACACACAGTCGGAGTCAACTGTACACATGCTAGACTACAGACACACAGTCAGAGTCAACTGTACACATGCTAGACTACAGACACACAGGCAGAGTCTGCTGTACAGATGCTGGACTATAGACACACAGTCGGAGTCAACTGTACACATGCTAGACTACAGACACACAGTCAGAGTCAACTGTACACATGCTAGACTACAGACACACAGTCGGAGTCAACTGTACAGATGCTGGACTACAGACACACAGTCAGAGTCATCTGTACAGATGCTAGACTACAGACACACAGTCAGAGTCAACTGTACAGATGCTGGACTATAGACACACAGTCAGAGTCATCTGTACAGATGCTGGACTACAGACACACAGTCAGAGTCATCTGTACAGATGCTAGACTACAGACACACAGTCAGAGTCTAATGTACAGATGCTGGACTACAGACACACAGTCAGAGTCAACTGTACAGATGCTAGACTACAGACACACAGTCAGAGTCTAATGTACAGATGCTGGACTACAGACACACAGTCAGAGTCATCTGTACAGATGCTAGACTACAGACACACAGTCAGAGTCAACTGTACAGATGCTGGACTACAGACACACAGTCAGAGTCAACTGTACAGATGCTAGACTACAGACATACAGTCAGAGTCAACTGTACAGATGCTAGACTACAGACATACAGTCGGAGTCAACTGTACAGATGCTAGACTACAGACACACAGTCGGAGTCAACTGTACAGATGCTAGACTACAGACACACAGTCAGAATCAACTGTACAGATGCTGGACTACAGACACACAGTCAGAATCAACTGTACAGATGCTAGACTACAGACACACAGTCGGAGTCAACTGTACAGATGCTAGACACCAGACACACAGTCAGAGTCAACTGTACAGATGCTAGACTACAGACACACAGTCAGAGTCAACTGTACAGATGGACTACAGACACACAGTCGGAGTCAACTGTACAGATGCTAGACTACAGACACACAGTCAGAGTCAACTGTACAGATGCTAGACAACAGACACAGTTGGTGTCAACTGTGCAGATGCTAGACTACAGACACACAGTTTGAATCAACTGTACAGATGTTAGACGACAGACACACAGTGGTAGTCAACTGTACAGATGCTAGACAACAGACACACAGTTTGAGTCAACTGTACAGATGCTGGACTACAGACACACAGTCAGAGTCAACTGTACAGATGCTGGACTACAGACACACAGTCGGAGTCAACTGTACAGATGCAAGACAACAGACACACAGTTGGAGTCAACTGTACAGATGCTAGACTACAGACACACAGTCAGAGTCAACTGTACAGATGGACTACAGACACACAGTCGGAGTCAACTGTACAGATGCTAGACTACAGACATACAGTCGGAGTCAACTGTACAGATGCTGGACTACAGATACACAGAGTCAACTGTACAGATGCTAGACTACAGACATACAGTCGGAGTCAACAGTACAGATGCTAGACTACAGACACACAGTCAGAGTCAACTGTACAGATGCTAGACTACAGACACACAGTCGGAGCCAACTGTACAGATGTTAGACTACAGACACACAGTCAGAGTCAACTGTACAGATGGACTACAGACACACAGTCGGAGTCAACTGTACATATGCAAGACAACAGACACACAGTTGGAGTCAACTGTACAGATGCTAGACTACAGACACACAGTCAGAGTCAACTGTACAGATGGACTACAGACACACAGTCGGAGTCAACTGTACAGATGCTAGACTACAGACATACAGTCGGAGTCAACTGTACAGATGCTGGACTACAGATACACAGAGTCAACTGTACAGATGCTAGACTACAGAAACACAGTCGGAGTCAACTGTACAGATGGTAGACTACAGACACACAGTCGGAGTCAACAGTACAGATGCTAGACTACAGAAACACAGTCAGAGTCAACTGTACAGATGCTAGACTATAGACACACAGTCAGAGTCAACTGTACAGATGCTAGACTACAGACACACAGTGACAGTCGAGTTACTATATACTCAACCTGTTCTTCGGGTAGATTCCCATCATCTTCGAGGATCTGAAACAATTCCCCCTGTGCATAGTCTGTCACCACAACAACCTGAGAAAATAACAACATTTGGAAGAAGAATTACAAAAAATAATATAGTAAGCAGTAATGGAACTAGCTTACATCATGAACAGACTTAACTTTTTTCCACAACTATAGATATCGTCAAGTAAAACATGGTAAAAGATGCTAAGTGCATCGCTAAGTTCAGGTTTGACTTACCTCCTTATCTGTTTCGAAACTATCTAACATCTCAATGATGTTGTCGTGATGGAGGCCACGCATGATCTCAATTTCCCGACGCAAACTCCTCAGTTCCTTCTCCGACTTGCCGAACTTGGGGATAAACTTGAGGGCAACAATCTTAACAGGAACATAAAATGTCTCTTGAAAACTCATCCACAAAATATTGTTAAATATATCAGATCCTTGATAATCATGATGAAACCTCAATGTGGTCTAACGTCTAAGGGAAACATTTTTTGTAATGTGCTTGTTCCAAATTTCTATATTCATGTAATCAAAAACCATGGTACAAGAAAAATGTTAAACTTAATGATTTGCATTTTCATCACGTTCATAAAGTTCATTGATGATGTATAGAATTACAAAGATTTAGTCATGAAATGTTTATCTTTATATGATAACGAATGTTCACAAAGGACCCCTTGACATTCATGCTAAATTTTGAACACTCCTGCACATGTGTCAGTTGCAGACATAACATGTAATGACACGCTTGACTGTTTATTTTAACTATTATTTGCATGTCATTCGGTAAGTTTGTTGGTTTGTTGTTTAACGCCCCACTCAGCAATATTCCAGCTATATGAAGGCGGTCTGTAAATAATCGAGTCTTGACCAGACAATCCAGTGATTAATATCATGAGCATCGATCCACGCAATTGGGATCAATGACATGCATCAACCAAGTCAGCGAGCCTGACCACCTGATCCCTTTAGTCGCCTCTTACGACAAGCACAGTCGCCTTTTGCGGCAAGCAGAGGTTGCTGAAGACCTATTCTACCCGGGGTCTTCATGGGTCATCATTCGGTAAGAAGTATAATTGTCATTAACTGAAGGTGATCAGCTGGTGATTGTATTTTATTTGTTTCATGAATAACACTTGTAGAGATGGTTCGTGTGAGTTGCAGAAATCCATGGTCCATTGACTGAGTGAGTCAATATAGTTTTACGTCGCTTTTAGTAATATTCCAGCAATATCTCAGTGGGGAGCACTAGAAATAGGCTTCACACATTGTACCCATATTGGGATTCGAACCGGGACTTTGGTATGATGAGTGAACATTTTAACCACAAAGCTACGTATCCTGACTGCCCCAACATACACATACGAGTGACCCTTTTATTTCATATTGAACTAAATAAGACATGTTCCCTGTGAGAAATAAATGACACAAATGCATGATAAATAATTATACGAGTGACCCTATGTCAGACAAGCACTTGAATGTGTAATGGAGGACACATCTTCTGTGGGCTACATGTTACATCGTCTACTGTGTGTTAACAGCAAAGACAACATGATTAAACCTACCTGGCCTGTGTACTTTTTCCTGCCTTTGTACACCTTGCCAAATGATCCCTCCCCAATAATGTCCAGTACATGATAGTTGTCCATATTAGGCTCTGTGAGATTCTCAGAGTGTCAAGGTTCAATGATCTGGCATCACCTACAAAATTTCACATGTCACACAATGCATTTCAATGGCTGTTTCACAGATTCATCAGCATGCTGAGTTTTGTTTGTTGTTCAACGACTCAGCAATATTCCAGCTATGTAAATAATTGAGTCTGGACCAGACAATACTGTGATTGATGTCACGAGCATGGATCCAGGCAATAGGGATACGATGACATGCATCAACCAAGTCAGTGAGCCTGAACACCCAATCCTGTAAGTTGCCTCTTACAAGCATCATCGCCTCTTACGGCAAGCATATGGGTTGCTGAAGGCGAGTGTATTGAATTTATAAGTTGTCCCCTTGAGTGAGTGAGTGAGTTTGGTAAGCATGTTTAGAGAGAGATTTCCAATTTGGTCGTTTTATTACAACTTTGAAGCATCAAAGAAATAACCACATATCTACCAGACCTGCGAATTGAAATCACTCATCTTGGAGCAAGATCTTAGACTTAGACTCTCTGAGATCGAATCTAAATAGGAAACAGCATAATCCATATGGACACAGACAAAATATTATAGAATTTTCTGCTTCGCGTCATCATTGCTATCTGAAGCGCTGAAGAAAATTTCCCCAATTTGTACGTTTGATCTGCGATCAGCACCAACAATATTCATGAAACTGAACAATACTGGTGAATTAAGTTAGATTGAGAACGTGTGACTCTTGGATACCTGAAAACGGCAGCTAGTTGATTGTTTAAAATGATAACGAAGATGCTCGATATCATCGTATCCAAAGAAAACAACTTCTCGCCGCCATCTTGTTTGTATCGCGTTCCATTCTAAGCTCCACACAGCATTTCGCTAAGCCTCGGTAGCATGGGCGCTGTAGTCGAGTTCGTCAGGAATACGCGGTGAGGTGAAATGGGGTTTAACGTCGTGTCCAAGATTATTGCACTTATATAGCGACGTGCATGTACGTGTGTGTGTTTGTGTGGCCTATGTACTAGTCCGGACTGATGCCGATTCATAGTGCTAGCACATTGAGATACCATGCCGCAGTTTTAACATGAATTTGAATTCTTCCTTTGAAGATCCAGGGTAGAATAGATCTTCAGCAACCCATGCTTGCCATAAAAGGCGACTATGCTTGTAGTAAGAGGCGACTAACGGGATCGGGTTGTCAGGCTCGGTTGATGCATGTCATCGATCCCACATTACGAGGATCGATGCTCATGATGTCAATCACTGGATTGTCTGGTCCAGACTCGATTATTTACAGACCGCCGTCATATAGCTGTAATATTGCTGAGTGCGGCGTTATACAACAAACCAACCAATCTTAAGTATTAATGACATGTTGCACCTTAAAAAGGCCTCTGCACGGTTGTCACGCTATGTAGATGATGACAACCAGTCTCAAATCAAAGCTAAATTATTCCTGATTATGAAAAATCACATCCTTTCGGCCGCCCTCATTGTACCTCATTGTACCTTATTGTACCTTATTGTACCTTATTGTACCTCATTGTACCTCATTGTACCTTATTGTACCTCATTGTACCTCATAAATATAAAATGTCAATACAAGAGAATAACCGGTCATGATTATCCGCCGAAACATATTCCATTTGGCGTAAAGGGCAAATCATTTGTGAAAATTATATGAATAGACAACTGCAGCTGGTTGGTTGGTTGTTTTGTTGTTTAACGCCGCACTCAGCAATATTCCAGCTATATGACGGCGGTCTGTAAATAATCGAGTCTGGACCAGACTGAAAATCAGTGATGACACCAGGTGTTCACGAAAAGGCCAACCCGTGAAGAGTTCCGGGGTGGAATAGGTCTTCAGCAACCCATGCTTGCCGTAAAAGGTGACTATGCTTGTCGTAAAAGGCGACTAACGGGATCGGATGGTCAGGCTCGCTGACTTGGTTGATGCATGTCATCGATCCTAATTGCTTGGATCGATGCCCATGATATCAATCACTGCATTGTCTGGTCCAGACTCGATTACTTACAGACCGCCGTCATATAGCTGGAATATTGCTGAGTGCGGCGTAAAACAACAACCAACCAACCAACCATCATACACCACCGGTAGCACCCGCCATTCACACAATTTGTATAAAAAAGTATTCATTGCCCGACGTCTCACAGCAGTACTACTGCCCTGCGACGGCGACCTGTAAACAAATTATAGACAATCAAGTGATCGATGAACCTAAGCATGTTCAATTGCGCACCGGTACGACTGATGTAGAGACAATTCGTCAACAAGTGTACGATACAATTCAAATCCTTTGTAAATGTTTTGTTGCTCCACGACTACTCAGGAGACGTTTGTTGGTTGGCCGGTTGTTTAACGCCGTACTCAGCAATATTCCAGCTATATGACAGCGGTCTGTAAATAATCGAGTCTGGACCAGACAATCCAGTGATTGATATCATGAGCATCGATCCACGCAATTGTCAGTTTTTCAATTCAATCAGTAACGCTGCACCCAGCACTATTCCAGCTATATGACGGCGGTCTGTAAATAATCGAGTCTGGACCAGACAATCCAGTGATTGATATCATGAGCATCGATCCACGCAATTGTCAATATTATTTTTCAATTCAATCAGTAACGCCGCACCCAGAAATATTCCAGCTATATGCCGGCGGTCTGTATTTAATCGAGTCTGGGACAGACAATCCAGTGATTAATATGAGCATCGATCCACGCAATTGAAATCGATGACATGCATCAACCAAGTCAGCGAGCCTGACCACCCTCCTGTTAGTCGCCTTTTACAGCAAGCATGGGCTGCTGAAGACCTATTCTACCCCGGAATCTTCACGGGTTCCACGCAGTTGGGATCGATGACATGCATCAACCAAGTCAGCAAGCCTGACCACCCGATCCCGTTATTCGCCTCGTACCACAAGCATAGTAGCCTTTTAAGGCAAGCATGGGTTGCTGATAGTCAGGTTGCTTCACAACAAAACATAATTGGATTGTTACACGCCGGATTGAAGCATGACACTTTGCACATGTAATGTATATGGTATAATTATACCTAATAAAATACGGTGACCGACCTCAGTCTTCTCAGTTTTTAGATTTATGCAGTTTTTTTAGGTGATAAAAGTTCACGGAATATACTGACCAAGATGATACGTGAAAGGTAAGGAGTATTTTATTTACATTTTGTTTACCAATATGGACGTCGAACAAACCTTCTTCTTTACTTATAATGATGCCATGGTAATTACACATTTCCTAATCAATGAAAAAATGATATTTTGATGGGCTAGTTAATTCTTTGCTGCAATAAAAATAGTAACTTCCGAATCAATAGACAATTTAGAGCAGATCACACAGTCATGTCTGCCGTTTCTCATCTCAAAGCCCTGACGTGAAGATTCAGAAATTTAAACAAAATGAAATTAATTGAGTTTGTAAAGTATTTTTTTGATAATATGGGATTTATTTCGATTGTTTTATCAATGTACTAGCACATATATAAGGCCAAGGAAAAAAACGGGCCGATAAAAGTTAACACGGGAAGGGGAGATCACTCTCAGTTTTCTCACAGAGTACTATATTCGTGTCGTCATATCATAATATATGCAGCACTCTGTTGAATCAGAAAACATTTATGTTGAAATAAAAGCTTTCATGAAAGCTTTAATGATAAAAATATTATCGATATGTTTTACCTTTTTCTAGAATCCCACAACCATCTATTATCATCAGTTATTACTAATTTTCTCAAAGTAAATTGACAATTACAGGGAACTAACTGTACTTTTTAAGAAAGTATAAGGAGAATAGCAAGCTAGTCTTTCATTTTAAGATTTTCAATAATAATTACTTTTCATATTCTTCAAAGATTAAAAAGACGAAACATTTCTGACAAATCAAAATTGATAATTTAGATAAATCATTATATATTAACATAATATGCAAAGTTTTTTGAGAAGACGTTTTCTACACAGCACACAATCGTTTCTTTCTGACTATTATTTCAAAACTTATTTACAAACTCTTTTTATGATGAAAGTTATGTTATGTTCTAAATCACTTATTTCTCTTTTCAGACCACTTTTTGTTGGCGAATATGGACTGGTAGAGATGTATAATCTGTGGCCAGAAAGACAACACATTGAGATGTCCTGCAGATATCGTCAATATTGAGGGATGTCAATATTATGAAGATTTCACTAAGAACGTACAGGGATTTCTTGACATTGGTAAACTACGTACCAAAGCTCATGTATCAGAATCGTACAGTGCAGATGAACTCTTGAAGAACCGTGCTAAATGGCACAAAGCATGTCATTTAAAATTTGCCACATCAAAACTTGAGAGAGCAACGGAATGTTTGCAAAATCAAAACACTCCTTCATTAGAACGGTGTTCTAAACGTTTAAGAGAATCGGGTTTAATAACTCATGAAGCATGTGTCTTTTGCCTCGGATCACAGGGGACTATGCACAATTGTTCAACCTTAGGGGTATTTAAGGAAGGCATGTACAAACTGATGAAGACAGCTGTTGATAATCGGGACTTCGAACAGGAAGCACTATTCTTGGCTAACTATTGTAAGAATGTAAGGAAGGACATGTTTGAAAATGAAGTTAAGCCATTTTCTGGGAACTTTTCAACAGATTGTAAACAGAAGTCTGTGCCTCAAAGCCTGTCAATGTTATTGTATGGCCCTAATATTAAAGATACCAGCATGAGTGATTCGCGTGCGTGTTTCACAGTCTGTCAGCTCATACTTTTCAACTGCAAAGAGAGAGAGCCAAGTTCAACATCTTCACGTCATCTAAAGTCTCGCGAACCACCTCTCCCTATGTATATTGGTCTCAATGTACATGCCCTCACCCGTAGCAAGAAGATGATATCTCAGTTATATGAGCTAGGACTGAATGTCAGTTATAACCGTGTCACAGAGGTTGAAGATTCCATCACAACAGCTGTTTGTGAACGCTATTTTGAAGAAGATATGGTGTGTCCAACATAGTTAAAGAAAACTATCTACACAGTAGGAACACTTAACAATATTGACCACAATGCAACATCGACATCTGCTCAAGGATCATTTAATGGGACTAGTATAAGTATTCTCCAACTTCCAACAGCTGAAAAACCGGGGATCACTAGAGAAATCATCATATCTCATTATCTACAGCAGCTTGAAGAACATCCTTACCAGACAGCTATGCCATTGTTAAGGAAGTATCTTGTTGTCTTCAAACATTGAATGTACCAGAAGTACAAACGCAGTCAACAAACAATGACAATGTTAAAAAAGCATTGAAGGACGAGATCAAGTGGTGTGAAAGAGGTTTCAGTCTACTTGATAAGGAACATCTTGAAATAGATGATTATATTGCATGGGGAGCTTTCCATTCATCACAACTGAAAGAAGATTGGTTGGTTGGTTTGTTTTTTAACCCCGCACTCAGCAATATTCCAGCTATATGATTTGGTTTTGTTTGGTTTGTTGTTTAATGCCGCACTCAGCTATATGACGGCGGTCTGTATATGATCGAGTCATGACCAGACAATCCAGTGATTAATATCATGAGCATCGATCCACGCAATTGGGATCGATGACATGCATCAACCAAGTCAGCGAACCAGACCACCTGATCCCGTTAGTCGTATTTTACGACAAGCATCGTCACCTTTTATGGCAAGCATGGTTTGCTGAAGACCTATTCTACCCCGGAATCAAGCTATATGACGGTGATCTGTAAATAATCGAGTCTGGACCAGACAATCCAGTGATTGATATCATGACCATCGACCCAGGCAATTGGGATAGATGACATGCATCAACCAAGTCAGTGAGCTTG